TAGTAGTAGTAGTAGTAGTAGTAGTAGTAGTAGTAGTAGTAGTAGTAGTAGTAGTAGTAGTAGTAGTAGTAGTAGTAGTAGTAGTCGATTACTCATATACTACGACGTAATTACGGTCTGTGCCCATGCCCAGCGACTGCGGGGAAGTACTACTCCGTACAGAACGATGACTCCCCAGCTCCCAGCTCCCAGCTCCCTTCTGCCTTTCTCCCTTTCCTCTATCCCCAGGCAGCCATAGCCATGGCCACGGTTTACGGCAGAAACAGTCCTCCTGACAGCGAGGAAATCACCAGCGCACCCCGGCCGGCAGAATTCTTCGAGCTCGACGTGCCTGACGATGATGATGCATCTGCCCTCGAACGCGTGGTGCCGCCTGAAAATGCTCAACCAGCCATGAAACCAGTGTCGAAGGAGCGCCAGACAGGCATCTTGCTCTGTGCCTTCTTTGCCGTCGTCATCACCATCGGCCTCAATCAGGCCTACGGCGTCTTTCTCAACTACTATCTCGCCGACGGAAGCAGCCCGAAGGATCCGTTCCTCCCCAGAAGCGAAGTCTCGAGCAAGGCCATGCTGGCCTTTATAGGAACTTTGGGTTATGGGCTGACCTGGGGCGGTAGTATCTTTGTCAACCCCATCATGGCCAGATCGAAGGATCCGAGATGGATCACGGGCGCCGGTGCAGTGCTGATCGGAGTCAGCTATGTGCTGGCCAGCTTTTGTCACAAGGTACGAATACCAATGCTCTCATTCTTCATTCATTGGGCCGAGCTCCTTATACGCCCTGTCAAGGGACAAGACCAGGTCCAGGTCCAGGTCCAGGTCGAGGAAAGAAGCTAAGATTGACCAGGTGTGGCAACTCCTCCTCACCCAGGGACTGATGTTTGGAGTGGGCACATCGTTGATGTACTTCCCCATCCTGGCAGTGGCGCCTGAATACTTCGATGCCCACCGCGGTTCCGCTATGGGCTTCATCCTGTCAGGTGCCGGTGTCGGAGGTCTGGTGTATGCCCCCGTCGCTCGCGTGCTGCTGTCGAAGCTCGGTGCAGCATGGACTCTACGGGTTTTTGGGCTCGCCAATCTGGGCATGAGCATTCCCATTGTCCTGGGCACGCCTCCATCCCGGAGTCTGTCTAAGCGACCCACGCTGGTGGATGTTCGAATTGCAAAGCGGCTCACGTTCATCCTACAAGCACTGGCCGCCATGTCTCAGGCCGCTGGAAATTTGGTCCCTCTGACCTTCCTGCCCGAGTTCAGCACGAGGCTGGGCTATACAGCTGCCTTGTAAGACGAACGCATCCCGGCTTGTGCAGACCGACCAGGTTACTGACGAATTGGTCTTGTAGTGGTGCCGCACTGCTTGCAATCAATAATGCGGTGAACACGGTCAGTCGAATTGCCATGGGCTTCATTGCAGATATCGCGGGCAGACAGAACACTCTGGTGCTCAGTGTGCTTGGAAGCGCCATCACCGTAGTGGCATTCTGGCTGTCGAGTGCCTACGCCGACGACATGGGCCTGTGGATTGCCTTTGTTGTCACCTACGGCATTTTCGCTGGAGGTATGATACGAACCCGTACCACGAGCCAGGAGCCAGATCACTGGCAATTTTAATGACAACGACACCCACTGGAGAATGCTGGACAATGCTAACCCGAGTGTCCATTCCAGGCTACAACTCGCTTTTCCCGACGACGCTGATCGAGGTCTTTGGTACGCAGGCGTATGCCTCAGTCAACGGCTTCATCTACTTCATTCGCGGCCTAGGCGCTATCTGGGGGTCGCCTGTTGGAGGCGCTCTCGTGGCAGGCAGCACTCGGCCTCAGGCATACGTTTCACTGATTTGGTACGACTTTGCGCTGCTGATGGTCACGAGTGTCTGTGTGATTACCGTCCGAGGCCTCGATGCAGTGGAGAAAGGTCAGTTTAAACTGAAGGCCTGAGCAGCGAACACAGGGATTCGAGCACACTGGGATGACAGAGGACAGATGACAGTATGGATCCTGTCCCCGTACATTGCAAATGGCCACAGAAGAGTCCTCAGGACATTGCATATATACATACATACCCGTACATACATCTGCATCACATAGGAACATATGCTTTCCTTGTCTAGAGATATACAAGAATGTATAAAAGAATGTGTATTTCTACGCCCATACAAGGAAGAAGACACATACAGACCGGCAAACACCTACAGAGGACAGAGTAATCGCATCTCACACCCCATGTGTCCTTGCACCTCGGTACCTGAGGCTGAGCCTTGCCCAGCCTTGCCCAGCCTTGCCCGTTCCTTACCGTCTTCTGCTCCCCGCACTCAGCCATATCCGGCGGAGAGCGCGTCTAGCCGGGCGGGCGTCAAGTATCCGGATGTACTCCGTACTACTAATAAAGTGTGTCTCCTGTTTATCCTCCATCTCCAAGTCCATCTCCACACACGGATATTCTTTCACTATTCCATCCGGCCAGAACATTTCGCCCTCGCCCTCGCTCTCACTCTCATCCTCGCCCTCGCCCTCACCCTCGACTTGTACCTGCGCTGTGTGCTCTGCCCTGTTGGCCTACCAGAGCCTTTACCACTCGGTCCAGGCCATCTCACACGCAAAATCAAGGCTTGTTTGTATCTTGTGAATGAGCTGCCGCCGCATGACCGGTCCGCCATGAACACCCTCGCCACACGCATCTCGCCCTCGGCGCGGAGATGGACTTGTGCATCTACAACTCCATCTCCATCTCCATGTCCATCTACCTCTGCATCTCTATTCCGCCACCGCCGCAGCAGCCGGAACTTCAGCACCTCCAGACGCCAGGCGGCCGACCATGTAAGAATAGTCGAGGTCGGGCCGCGCGATGGCCTCCAGAACGAAAAGAGCTCGATCCCGCTCGACACCAAGCTGGAACTGATCCGGCGCCTGGCACAGACCGGAGTGACACATCTGGAGGCCGGATCGTTTGTGCCTGCGAAATGGGTGCCGCAGGTGTGTGATTCCTTTATTCCCCTTGACCCAGCCCAGCCCAGCCCGACCCAGCCCAGCACACAGCAGAAACCCCAAAGCGAAAGCGAAAGCGAACCCAAACATTTGAAGGACAGGTATCTGACAATAATGATGGCAGATGGCCTCGACCAGCAACATCCTAGAGCAGATCCTGACGAATCCTCCGCCTGCGCCGCACGGCATCGCGTACAACTACCTCGTACCCAACATTCGAGGCATGGAGAACCTAGTCAAGACGTTGCAAACACACAAGGCCCAGAATGCGAACCCATCCGCCTCCGTGTCCGGGGCACCTCCGACGCCGCCTCCGTCGCCCGGGCCATCGGCCACCACTATCAGTTCGAACCCCGATGAATTGGACGCGAACCGCAGCAGCAGCACCAGCAACTCGACCGAGATCTCACTCTTCGCGGCCGCGACCGAGACGTTCTCGCAGAAAAACACCAACTGCAGCATCGCGACGAGCCTGGAGCGATGCAAGCCGATTGTCGAGCTTGCCAAGCAGCACAGCATCCGGGTGCGCGGGTACGTGTCGGTCGCGCTGGGTTGTCCGTACGAAGGGGCGGACGTGGACCCGCACAAGGTGGCCTCGATCACGGCGACGCTGCTGGAGATGGGGTGCGACGAGGTGTCGGTGGCCGACACGACGGGCATGGGCACGGCGCCACGCACGCGCAAACTGCTCGAGACGCTCAAGGACGCCGGCATCCTCAACGAGGACCTGGCCCTGCATTTCCACGACACCTACGGCATGGCCCTGGTCAACACCGTCGTCGGCCTCGAGCACGGCGTGCGCATCTTCGACAGCTCCGTCGGCGGCCTGGGCGGCTGCCCCTACAGCAAAGGCGCCACCGGCAACGTCGCCACCGAGGACCTGCTGCACTTGTTGCACAGTCTGGGCTGTGACACCGGCGTCGATCTGCTGAAGATGGCGGAAATCGGCGACTGGATCTCCCACCAGTTGGGCAGGCCTAATGACTCGAGAGCCGGCAAGGCTGTGCTGGCGAGATTGAAGGATTCTTCCTAGCTTTACAAATACAAATATAAAATAAACATGAATCTGAACAAAAAAAATATGACCCGACGGGAAACGAGAACAGGAATAAAAAAGAAAGACCCGACGGAAAACGAGAAAATGACAAGATGCGTTGGAAAGGAAAGTCGATATTTCAATAGTCATCTTCATCTTCATCTTCATCTTCATCTTCATCTTCATCTTCATCTTCATCTTCATCTTCATCTTCATCTATGTCTATGCCTATGTCTACATGCTTTGCTTTCGTCTCTGCACCTTATCTTCGTGGTGTCAGGTCGCCACTGGTGCCGGCAGTGGTGCTAGTCTGCACCTTCTTTGTGGTGCCGGCAAATGGTGCTAGTACCCTGAACGTATACTGTTATATGCCTCACGTCCAAGTTAGTACCTCCTGTACTGTTATGTGCTGCATGTCCAAGTTCCGTACTGTTATTGTTAATGCATGTCCAAGTTCGAGTAACCGTCCAAGACCAGACCAGACTATATGTGTCCAGTGAATAGTGTAAAGATATACATGTCCGAGTATACATAGTCCATCTGGTAGGTGCATGTATACGGCCGGCATCTCAACTCAAATCAGTAATGCCCAGATCAGTAGTACCCAAATCAGTAGTACCCAAGTCAGTAATGCCCAGATCATTTTCCTGCAGTGGATACGACATCTCGACTTGGCAACTTGGGATCGGGACGAGGTGTGGTGGTGTTGATTTGACTGCAAAGACACTCAGTCGGCACTAGTAGTAGGCAAGCCTTGTGGCCTAAGCCCTGAACCGAAATACCAAACCTACACGGTAGAGATCCAGTCATCGATAAGTCTTGTAGCGATAGCTTTTTCCTCTTCAGGAGCCTGCTCGGCCGGCCAGGATACTGTGGTGTGGTGTGGTGGCGTGGTATTGGAAGCTCCAGACGAACGACGTGGACATTTAGAGCGTCCAGTTGATCCGGAGCGTCGGAGCGTCCAGCGCAGAACTGATGGCCTACAGTTCTGCGGCCTTGGCCAGCAGCTCCCTTCCCAATTTCTCTAGAAATGCTTTGGTCACATCCTTCGGAATCTGGTCCAACACGAAAGCGGGCTCGATCTTGGTCTCGGTCTCTTCATGTCCAGTAAGACCAGAAGTCTCCTGGCCTGTCAACCGTGCGGGCTGAGTATTATTGTTGATGAATCTCTTCACGATGTTCTCAACGTCGCGTCGCCCAGCCTCATAAGCAACAAGCTCTGCCTCTCGGAATCCTCCGGCAGACTTGGTATACTTATCTGCTGTTATGGTTCGGAAAAAGACTTTGATTGTAACATCGACGGTGTCATCTGTCAGCGGGGGCCGTCTGCCTAAGCTAGCAGGGCTTGCGCATTCCGTTGCCGACTCGCTCGTGTAGCCGGAAGAACATGAACTTTCAGACGTCACGCTGGTCGGTCGGCTTGATCTTGTCTGCTGAGATTGAGATTGCTGAGTTTTATTGACCAAACAGTCGTGACTGGTGAGGCCAAAATCCCGCATCGACGTGGCGGAATAAGTCCAGAATGGCGGGATGAAGAGCGAGTCTCCTGGTTGGATGATGGCAACATGCGGACTCGTCCCCGGCGGCGCCTGCAACGGCTTTGCCCTTGTTTTCTCATTGAAGACTCGAAGCTCACATCTACCTAAGCCAGGCAAGATTTCGAGTCTGTTAAGGTCGGTGGGTGGGAAGAGAGCAACCTTCCTTAAACCTTTGACTTGAAACAGGACAGTAGCCGTCGTGTCATACTGGAGGAGTGTCGTGCCCCTTGACACATCCAACAACACAGAGTCAACATGAGTTTCTATGCTTTTCAGTTGCCAGGGGATTCGAAAGTCGACGTCTAGCTCTGGCGGCTTGTCGAGCTGTCCTTGCTGCAAAAGAGTATTTGTTGCAATCGAAGAGCTTACACGAAGTTTGACTGGCTTGGCTGGACAGGTGATCTGGTGGCCGGAACTGTCTTCCAACCTGCTCCAACCACGGCGCTGAGGCAGTTCATCGGAAGGAATAGAATTGCCACTTCGTGTAGTCTTGGCCATCAGATGGTCAAGTGACCAAAGTCGTGCACCGGTTCCGAAATCTAGATCTGTGATTACTCTGGGCCGTGATCGACGCACGACCGAGACAAACTCAACAGCATCCGCCAGCTGCGTTCGGTTCAACACGACGTCCACCGGCTGGACTGATGGCCCGTTCTTCCCGCTGTCGGAATCTGCCGCAGAGATGCTTGAGGCACGACTCGGGACGACGACCCAATCTGCTGTAAGCCCAGCCTCTTTCTCATGAAGAACCCAAATGCCCTCGTTGAAGTAGTCGCCATAAGTATAACAGGTGGCGCCTCCACCGAGAATCACATACATGCCTGTCCGGGTCCGAAGAGTCGAATGTCCAATGAGAAACGGCCGAGGACAGTCTGGAGGTCGGACTGGTTGCACCGAGGTCACCCTCAGACCCAACTCCTTCCCATCGCCCAAGTTGGAGAAGGAGCCGATCAGTGACAAGATTTCATACGGCTGTGGTATGCAACCTCCTCGAGCAACTCCTCCGATGACGAGTAAATAGTCCTGGACGAAGCCATAGGAGGCCCCGAACCGAGCAAACCATGGATATGCTCCGATACTTGCATGTAGAGCGTGCGAAGGACGAAAAGAGATTCCGGCGACGACATTGTCGCGTACCACCAATCGCCAACGCCAAAGATCTGGGCAGATGACCCCATCTTGTCTCATCCCACCAAATAACAGTCCGTGATTAAAGCCGAGTCGGATAAAGTTGGGGCCGAATCTAGGAACAGGGGTGTTCCGGAGATGTTGAAGTACACGCCACCCTACGTTTGGTTCCCAGAGAAGAATGTCCGTGGCGACGGTGGCAGGGCCTGTCTTCCCGCCGTAGCATATGGCACCAAAGACGTGATTCGGGAGAGTAACTCCCACGACCCTGCATCTGTAACGTGGTTCCGGCAAGTCATGTATACGGAACCATCGGTTGCCCTTCTGTAGCCAACAGTCCTTCAAGGGTTCGGTTAGTGAACGTCGACCCCCAACCAAGATATTGCCTCCATCGTTCATGCCGGTGAGAACGTGACAACATCGAGCGCCCACCTCAGGGGGCAAGACAACCGGCGTCACCTCGTCGAGATGACGTGGCCGGCAAACCGCGCTCGTGGCTAAAATCGACTCGGGCCCTTGACCTCCATAGATGGCGATGGCGTCCTGGTCAGGAATGGGATATGATGAGCCATGGTGACGCCGACACAGGCATCCGGGATCCTTGTAGTAGCGAAACGCAAACAGTTGAGAGTCGGGATGGGTCGGCGCAGAAGTTCGTGTAGAAATGTCAGAAGCGTCACTAGAGTCCGAATTCCGTCGGGATAGGACTCGCTCGGGAAGGACAGGGTCGCCGCGGTTATGTGCCACGGCGAGACAGTGATGACTTGCCCACAGAGCAAACTCCTCCCAAGCATCAAAAGGCTCGATACCATCCAGCGCCATTCGTTGTGATGGTGATAGGAACCGAGGGTCCGCCCAAAGTTCCCACAAATTTTGATACTCAAGCTGGGTGAAGCCCGCCACTCGGAAGCGTTGAGTGTGGCTGTGTTGCCCGGGGTACTGAAACACAGATCTCAATGGTGTGCCGAGCTTGGTGTAATGGCTCGCCATCTTTGCCGTGAATGGATTGTCCGGTTGATCCGGACAGATGGGGTCCAGAAGGCAGAAGGTGGTATCTGCAAAATGTTAGACATCTGAGACGATCTCTTCCAAGGTTGAAGACAGCGCAGGGTTGTTAACCTGAGGACAAGGATGAACTCCACGCTATCAACGCATCGGCTGCTTCGGTGGGCATGTATGCAACCGAGTCTTCGGCAATGCAGAGTACAATGCTCTGTTCTGGCTCACACACAGATTTGAGCAGTCGATCCAATCTTCGAAGGTTCCGCAAATCGCAGCCGATAGCGGCATATTCACGGCTATCGAGAAGAATGGGATTGGTGGCAGTCGGATTCGTCGTGACCGAGCGTAACAAGTTGCTCGTATCATGCCGATTCAGGATGATCTCGCATTTCGTCTGCAGCAGCGGTTCGTAGTCGACGTCGACGAATTTGGTAGTTGCGCAGAGATGATTCTCGCGAGACAGCCATTGAAACGGCAAAAGGTCACTGGACATATGAGCGCCCAAGCCGGCAGAAGAGGGTGGCAGTACTCACTAACCACAACCCAGGTTGACGATTACTTTTCGGTGGGCTGATGGCTTTTCGAGAAACTGACGGACGACCCATTCAATGGCTCGCATTCGCAGCCAGTATCCCCGGTTCACCGCTGCTGATGGCCGGACTGGCTGTTGCTGTTTGGCGAACTGCTTATAGAAATGAGGCTTCGGCAGATAGAGGCTTTCTGCATTTCCTTTCAAGGCGATGGTGGTCGTGTTGGTCTTCCAACAATATATTAGTATGAGTCATTCCAAGTATTATCAACCATTTGCCATATGCCATATGCATATGCGGCCTGGCGCTTGGTGGAAGAGGACATAAGGACATACTGCCATGAGGAGACCAGCATTTCTTTCCAGCTGGATGCCATCGTTGAAGACATCATTGCCAGGGTGCTCGGTTGCGCCCATCGTTGGGGTGTGATGGATTGAGGCGACAGGGTTTTCGGCTTTTAGATCACTCTAGGACACAGGAGAAACAGAGTGCCGCGGCTGAGGTTGGAGCCATGGCACGCCAGCGACAGTGATGAGTTCTAGTTTTATCCTCTCCTCTCCTCTCGCTGTTGGATACCATACACATTCAGGCTTGCGATGCCCGTCGGGAAACGAGAAACGGCAAATCCGGAAGAAATTGATGTGACTGGACGGTGGAGGTTGCAAAATGCGTCTGAGGCCTGTTTGGTCTCCCCAACTGTACGGCGGAGCATTAGTCTGTATCAGATTTTATCAGATATATCGCTCTGTGCCTCGGTTCAGCCTTGCTTGGTTACATTGGCTGCCTCCCAAGTAAGTAGTAGCTGTGAATCGTGTGGCGTGTCTAAGTGTCTACTACGTACAAGACCCAGCTTGATAGAAGTGATGCATTTGGTTATCTCACTCTACACCTGGTGATGCCTAGCAGGTGAAGTATGAAGCATGAAGCTGCATCACCCAACCTGGTTCTGCAAGAGGAGATGCTGGTTTGCAAGCTGCAGCAACACTCTCCCTCCATGCCCTCACAATTGTTCGGTTTCTTCTATTCTCTGTTCTCTAACCGCCTCTCCCATTCGAGGGGCTATTCAACAAAAATAAGATCCCAGCCATACTACATCTTCAGACTATACAGTCATGCCAGGAAGATTCCCTCGCAGAAGCAGCAGGGAAGACGCTGACCGCCACCGACGTCGACCGGCACCCCGACGGCCTGTCTCTCAGCTGTCAGCAAGCAGTGGTTATGACGATGGACACAGCAGCAACTATGATGATAAGTACGACATTCATCCTTGGGATAGAGTGCTCATCTCGCTGTTCCCGGCGTTGCTGGCATGGGTGGCCAATGGCCATGGTTTGATGTAGATTCAAATGTTGACCATGAATATGATTATCTAGCCACCACCATTCGTCCTCTCATCCTCGCCATCGCCATCGCCGTCGACTTACTCGGCGCCGGCACCAGCTAATCCCAAATCCTAACTCGTACCCCTTGCCGTCCACGTATCCTTACCCTCCTCGCCATATCAACCCTCGTTCTCATGCGCGCCAGCACCGGCCTCGATATACACCCCTCCTTCCCGCTACACCGGGTACACAGGCCGCTATAGAGCTTACGCCCTGGATACTTCGGATGGACACGACCGAACATAGATGTGCCGACCTATGGCTCTTTCGGCCGCCCTTCGCGACAAACTCCCAGGTCAATCACCCCTCGACGCGCCCCGAGGCTGAAACAGAGGCTGGGCTTGTGGGCACTGTCGTCCTCCCAATCCTCCCCGGCCCTGTCCGTCGATTCCACTTCGACGTGTCAGTCATGACGCTTTCGCCAACGGTATATACCCTCGGTGCCAGGTACTCGGAACTCAGCTGGCCAGTACTTGCATCTCAGGGGTTCACTATGAATGAGTTGCATCATAACCATGAGCATGACGCGACTTGGTGGCATTTGGAGCACGACCAGACCCTCCCTGCAGGCCAACAACACCAACGCAAAGAGGCCATGAGGGTGATCCGCCACCGAGACCTCCCCGGCGTGGATATCCTATGGACAGGACACAACGAGGCCGTTAGTCCTTATGCGTTCGTTCACCTGACGGCGACTGCCATGGTCGATCTCAACATTTGGAGTAGAGGAGTCGAGATGGGAGTTGTGGGACGATGTGCCGATGTCGATATAAGCACGCCCGATGTGTATCACATTACCGTGCGTGACAATCCCTTGGATGTCCCCGGTGCTGGCCCAGATGCTGCTACACTCGGATCTAGGATTACTGTTGGCTGGATACACCCAAGCAGCGAGGACAGTGGCAGCAACGCCGATGATGGAATATTCGAGAGCATCGTCCAGGGGGGCTTGGGAACAGACAATTGAGAGCGTCAATGGGCAGTGAATTCAGGCACGCAGAGATTCTTCCTGATGGCCCTTCGAACAAGTCATGTCGTGGTCACCGGCAGGCCTGAATATCCAAGCGCTCAACCTCCATATTCGTAAAAACCTATAGCAGTGCACTCACCTCGTTATGTAATGTCTATCCTGTTAATCTACCTAGAGCCATCTCACATCACACTCGAATCTTCAAGCCATGCTCTCTCAGTTCAGCTGGATCGTTTCTGCCTTCGCTGGCATTAGTAGAGCCAGTCTCATCTATGTTAGAGTACCTTACGGGAGGACTCCAATGAGACTCAAAATCCCTTCGGGTGCTGCCGCTTGCCACACAGTCCGACCTGTCGAGACACCCGAGGCACTGATGGCGTGATGTTCCTGCTCGTCCGTCTCCACGTTGTTTCCCAAGTCCGCATTGGCGGTCACCAGAACGGGCTTCATCTGTCATACTGCTGCTAGAAGGTTGGTGTGTGCCTTGTTTCGTGGACGCAAGAGGCCTTTCCGCCTTATGTTTCAATGTGGCTGCGCTGGCTCTCTCGAGCGGTGGATTGTCAGGCTTGCTGTGACGTCGGAGACTAGTTCGGGGCGGAGAGTTGGAAAGGTGGTGGTCGTGGTGGTGGTGGTGGTCGTCGTCGTCGTCGTCGTCATCGTCAGAATAGAATGGCTCAAGATAAGTGCCCCAAGCATCGGGCATCTGCTGGAATGAGTAGCCTTCAGGCTCATCGGAATTGTGAGCTTGGTGTTGGCGGTGAGCTTGGTCTCCACAATGAGGGTCTGCTGCCGGATGCTTGAAGCCGCGCTGTCGTGGGCGACCTCGAGTATTCTCGCGTACTTCTCTGGAGTCTGCGGTGGACGAGGACGATACCAAAGCTATTGAGCTGGAGGGGGAGGATCGACGCCGGAAACTCCCTTCTCGAGCAAAACTGCTCTCTTCGTCCGACAGACTATGGAGGTGCCGGAGTGAGTGGCGGCCTCGACTAAGGGGTATAGTTGAAAGGAAGTGTGCTGGAGACTGTGACCGTCTCCGTCTGCGATGCGGGCGGCGGCTTCTGGAACATTCAACACTTTTGTCCTCATCAGAAAGCCAGAGGTGGTCATCTAGCGGCAGCTCGTAGCGAACAGAATCGATGAGAATCGGAATACGCGCTCCACGGTTGTCTGAGCAACCAGCATGACGAGATAGTGGTTGACCCAGTCTCGTCCCATTTAGGTACACAGTAAGTTGGTCGAAGATTGGTGAAAGGTATTGTCGGGGCCTAACCCGTCGCCCGGTCCCAGGACGAGGAGGCCTCTCGAGGTGAGCGCTTTGTTTGTATCTGTTTCGAGGCCTTTTTCGTTCCACCGATAACGAGTTAAAGTCTACACGTGAGAACGAGTGATTGATCTCTCGCTCTAGTGAGTTCAGAAACTCGTCAATTCCCCTGACCCTCACGCCGGGGTGTCGTTGGATGTGAGAAATTTCATCTTTCAAGCACTGTCTGGCGGCATGAAGTGCCTCTCCGCGCATTCTTGCTCGGACTGCGGCTAGCATGCATCTGCCTTGATGTTGTCGACGCGGAGACCAAATTGTGTCAGTGTTTGAAGATGTTCTTCGAAACCTGTCATATCGCCTAGGGTTATAATTTGCTCGAGACTGTTCTTTCTCCTTCAGTAGCGCTTGTCCTGTGCCTGTGTTGTCTCCAATTCGCGCACTGTCCGGGTGCACTCCTGAACGCCCATCACCTCTTGATGCTAGTTTTACTGTCTGAACAGCCTCAGGAGGTATGCGAGTGGTACTTGGTGGAGGGAGGCTTGATGCCTTTATTGTCCGGATAGTGGAGGATGGAAAGGAAGACGGCTTGTCTAGCTCATATGGTTCTCCAAAAGCAAAGGTTGGTTCGGAGTCTGACTGGCTTTCCTCTCCTTCCTGCTGAGACATAGTTGGAATTTGCCTGCTGGAGGGTTTCTGCGTTGCCATGGTGTATCTGGAAAGCATCAGCGATTGATTTGGGTTCGGCTGACTCTATTTGGAGAAAAGAGGCCTTAAATAGTGCATCCTCGCGCAAACGGATACAGGGCGTTTGAGGTGACATGCCGTGTAGGCTTCGTGAGACTGAGGTCTGACACTTCTTGTTTGAGTCATCACCACTGTCTTTCACCAGTCCAATGGATAGGCATGCGAGAATAGATAGCGATGAATGTCTCGAACCTCATCCCTAGAGAATGCTTGTCCACCAGCTTTGCCAGGTTTTCCATCGGATTTCCTGTCTAGACCCGGCCGTCAGCACGCAGAGGGTATTGGAGGGTTTTAATGACGCTTCCTTGTCGTCTAGACCCCAGCCACGGGCACTTTGATTCGATTTTGCAGTCAGCATGTATGACCTCATCGCCAGTGTTGTACCTGACATACTCTCACGCAATGGTCTGTCGGCATTTCGATTTCGTGGTTCTCGGGCTGGGAAATCCTCAGGCAAGACGGCCAAGGGGTGTCTCGAGATTAGCAATTTATATGTCAAAGACCGAGGGACCACGAAACAAATGCAATAGCACCGAGGAGTGGAAGGCAAAAACAATGCAAATTCGCCGACTCTGGATATCCACTCTCTTACCTGCAAGCGCGGGCATCGTGAGTCACGGCGTCCCAAGCAAAATAGTGGTAAGAGCAGCACATCTGGTATGTTCTCCCATCCGTAAGTCATGAATTAATGGCGACTTAGACTGAAGCCTCAGGAATAAGGCCAGCCGACAAATAATGTACAAGGAGCTGAGGTCAAGGGTTGAGGCCTCAGATTATGACATGTCACCAATTATGTCTCGCTCGTGAGTCTTTCAGCTGCTTCCCGGGCCTTCCGCAAGTCCTCCTTCTGTTTTCTCATTTCATCAATCCCGACCTGCACACGCTTTCTGTCTACTTCCGCCTTTTGGAAGAATGCGTTGAGCCGCCTCATGAGTTCCACGTCTTCTGGGGATTGAGGGATATCTTCACATTTAGTGGTCTTCTGAAACCAGTGCCAAATCTGTGCAGGCCGCTTGCCCGCAATGTCAACTGTGGCGCGTCTCGTAAAGATTTCGGCCGGAGGTGAGGTAGATGAAGGCGCGCTAGGGTCGGCTGCCAGTTGAGGTTTTGATTCTATTTTAGACCACTCTTCGTTGAATTTCTCCGCTTTAGATTCGGAATCAGTTGATTTAGATTCCAAGGCCTCTAATGTACTCCGGTCGGTGCTTTCAAAAGTTGCCTCTAGCTGTGACCTAGTAAAGGTCTCGACTCTGATCGGTAGAGCAGGATTGTGATATTTCAGGCGTGGCAGGTGCTCGTTCGCAAATAATCTTGGGCCATGTACTGGTTTGCGCCATTCTCCTCGAGGAAATCGGAGGAGGAGATGGGTTAATTGAGGAGATGGTGGTGGTGGGAGAACGGCGGCGCCTTGCCCATTTCGTATTCGCCATAGCTAGAGGTGTAAGTCAAAGAACAGGGCTGTCTAGATGTAAACTCACTTTCTATACACTGTTAGTAAATTCATTAACTTCGTGAACCAAGGCACTTACAGGTTGGAAGCTTCGTATGCGTTTTGCGATGTTGACCATGATGGCGCAGGCTCACTGAGCCAGGGTTGAAATGTGAGCACAACACTATTATGCGTCGTCTACTGGGTAACAATAAGCTCTGCGCTCTTTCTCCACGCTGGACCGGCCACAAGAGAGAAGAGGGTCGTGATCAGGGAGATACTTAGATTGGATGCGCAGGTTGCAAAAAGCTGAGGATCCACGACGCTTTGATACAAACATGCCGAGCACAGCCTTGTCTCGGCATGTTTGGTGAAGTTTGTCTTTTACCCCTGCGCGCCGAGAAATTTAATCGGGGCACAAGGCAGCGCCTGAAAAGGGGTATGTTCAGATAAGTAATACGTGAGCCAAACTATTACTTGTATGAGGATGGAGAAGGAGAGATTGTGATACAAAGAGTCAGGGTGGTACATTTAGTGGGGCGAAGACGCTCAGCCATATATCTACATGTATATATCTGACTGTACTCGCCAGATTAAACAGGCAGTGAACATGCAGGTCTAGCCATCTTGGCCATGAAAGACCTTTACTACATGACCGGTCACAAACTTACGGTATAGGATGTAGGATGATAGAGTGAAAGTGGATATGGGCAAGCAGCATTTTAGGATTTTGTTACAATTCTTGAGTCCTCTATTTTCCATGTCGATGACAGACAAACTACAGCAGCAGATCAGACATAGACAGGCATATACAAAGTCCAACTGTGTAGCAACCATGGCACTAACGGCAATGTTTATAGCTGTCGCACCAACCAGGTGATGCCCTGGTTCCCTGTGTATCCATGTTTCAAACCTTGGGCAGAGCATTCCATCAGTAGCAGCAGCACAGGTGTGTCATGAGCAGTCTCTAACAAGTCTTGCTGTAAGTATACGACAAGCCGTTTTCAGAACTGGCATGGAAGAAGTTTGCTGTTGAGGATAGTTGTATTCTGCCTCTGGCATACTACAGCGCTCTGTCAGAGAACACAATGACCATGCTATGCACTGAAGCCAGCATAAAGAGACGCAGTCTGGGGCCAATTGTCTTTTGACAGTGCTGTGATTGCCATACTATGCCCACGCCTTATTCACATATTGTGTTCCTGTTGAAACTGCACGCGTAGCAGATTGAACAATGAACAGCACCAACGACTGCTTGATGTGAGAGGGTATGAAGGAGATCGACAGGAATGCATGGATGAGCCTAGTCGACAGAGGAGGTTGGAGGTCAGCGAGACGCTTAGGATAGAGTTTCTCGAGCCAAGTAGGAATTGCAACATTGGGTTTAGGTGAGATCGACAGAGAAAGGATTCGCTGGGAATCAGAGGATAGCAAGCAAGCATTGAATTCCAGACGAGATGTTCAATGCTGTGAGAAGACTCTGCAAGAAGTTCAGCTCTCGAATATGCATTCTCTTCAATCAGGCTTTGCCAGACAATGCCACATTCTCCTCCCATGAACTCGTACTGCCAAAATGGGCACAAGAAAGGGCGTGGTTGACCAGATGGAGAGCAGTGCTTCGTTTGCAAAGTAGCCATGGACTGAGATCGTCAGAGAATAGCCAAGGCCTTGTAGATTGAGCTCACCAAGGACAGGAAGGCTCCTCAAACAGATCGACTAGAGCCAACCTTTGGTGCAGATGGATAGCAATCGATCTGAAAGATAGCACCCAGTGGAAAACCTGCCCAAAGGCATTGCCTGCGCTGTGGGAATGGTAGGAACTGTGAACGCAGCCGGCAGTACTTCCCGTTTGGATGGGCGGTCAAGGGCCTCTGCTGGTGAATGCTTTCCCGGCTCTCCTCTTCTCTCTTCTTCTTAACCATCTCTCCTGCACCATCACTCCATCCTTTATTCTTCAACACAATCACTCCTCCATTGAATCATCCAAAGCTTCATCAAGGCTGTCTCGTAGTCATCTTCACGAGTTCCAAAGAACACCAGTGAAGGTGACTGCGTTGCCACCTCGACCAAGGCCCATCTTCACTCATTCTCCATCACTCACACTTTGATCCATCACAATTTCATCCTTCTTGTCTCTGAGACACCCCCTGCTGCACTCTATCAAGCTCCTTGCCTTGTTGTATTCACTGTGAAGCACGTCGGCATCATGGCTGAACCTGTTTCGGTCGACGGTCACCTCGACGTCACTTCGGTCACCCAAACTGCACCAGCAGCTGTTGTTCAAGTGGTCAACCAGCAGGCTGTCAACCAGCATGCAGTCAACCAACAGGCTGTCAACCAACAGGCTGTCGTGCCGTACAACATCATCACAGTCGAAAAGAAGCCAGCTGTGCCCACCTCGTACATTTCGAGCACCTTGACAGCTGTTAGTCTTGCCAATACCACAGCGTATGTCATCGCTTTGATTGTCCATCTGGTGAACGCAACAAGCCTTGGACAAAAAAACCTCCTCCCTGCACAGTTGTTTGCTGCAGCACAGGTCTTTGAAAATTGTGAGTAGATTGAGCCGTCGTATCTTCTGAGCTGACATCGTCGTAGGTTCGACCATTACTGAAACCCTTTGGCGTTTGACAATTGGCTTCATTCGCAACCCTGTGCCACGACCAACCTACCGCATCCTTGGTGACTTCGTCCCAGGAGTGGATCTCATTATCGTCGCCTGCGGTGAGCCAAATGATATTGTGCTTGACACTGTCAAAGCAGCATGTCAAGTCGATTGGCCTGTCGCCAAACTGCGTATTGTCCTTGCCGATGATGGTGACGATGAAGAGTTGAGAGAAGACGTCAAGGATCTTCGTAAACAACACCCAAATCTTCATTACTTTGCTCGGTACAAGCCACACGGCGTCCACCATGGATACAAAGCAGGCAACCTCAACGCTACCCTGGCGTATATTGACACTCTGCCGGGAGGACAACATGAATTCATGGCCGTTCTTGATGCTGACATGATCCCCGAGTCTTGCATCCTGCGGGCCCTTGTGCCACACGCTCTGCAGGCGGATAATGTGGGTATGGTTACCACTGCTCAAGTAAGTTCTTCCACAGGACCTCCTCTTGACTTTGTTGATGTTGACGGATGTAGCATTTTTACAACATTCCCAACAATGACCCATTGTACCAGTCCAACGTCACGGGCACCGGAGCAGACGATGGGGTTAGGGATTCTGTTGGGGCCGCATGGTGTCCTGGCAGTGGCTTTGTCCTCCGCACCGCAGCATGGATATCGATGGGAAAATTTCCAGAATTCACCATCACTGAGGATCTCATGACCAGCTGGTTTCTTCATGGTCATGGCTGGCAAATTTCTCTCTGCCATGAGATTCTCCAGTGGGGCCTGCAGCCAGATTGTCTCTTGACGCACCTCAAACAACGCCGGCGCTGGGTAAGTGTAGATCCACCGTTCGTTGCAGCCTTGACCGAGAACTGACACTTGGTAGTGGACCGGACATGTTCGTGATGCTTTCAGAACCAACTTCTCAATCCGGGACAAACGCTTGGAACAGGCCACCTGGATCCAGCGTGTTGCCATGTTCCATCATTGTTGCCGACCATACTTCAACACCGTTTTCAAGGCATTGTCGCTGTTTCTGGTTGCCATGGCTCTTTTCTTGCGGGGTCCTGTTATTGCCACTCCGACGCCAACTACTCTTCGCATGATGATGATGTCTGTCTTCTTCGCCAGGATTCTCGGGAGAATCTCGGAATTCCGTGCAGCTCAATCGATCAGTCTCTGGAACCTTAGACGTCGACAAGCTACCAACACCTGGTTGGGTATTCACTTCGCTCGAGATGTCTTCTTCAGTGCGTTACCGAGAGGAATTGGAGGCCTTCGTCTTGGTTTCGATGTGACTGGCGTTTCCGATACTCACCAGCCTGTCAAGGAGAGAGATGCTGTCCATCGACCTCGAATGTTGACTCGACTCTGGATCCTACATAAGAGAGAAGGAATCCTGTATCATGCCGTCCTTGTCGTCATAATGACCTTTCTCATCATCCGGGCAATCAGGTATGAAGTGGTCAAGGCAACTGTCGATGGTCAAGTCATCCTGGACAAAGTCTTCTGGGATCGTCTTCTCTCAGGCGCCGGATATCCTGGTCTCTCACTCATCGAACTGGTTCCGCTCTTTTTGACTCCGGTCATTTATGTCATGTTTCCACCAACCATGCCTCCGCGTCGTGAGCGTATGCTCTTCAACGAAGACACCGGCCTCTGGCGTGCGAAAACCGAGTGCAAGGGTATCAAATGGACAAAGGAGAGCTTCTGGCTCGAGATCCCTCACTTCATGGGAGCTGTCTGGATGGTGGTCTCGTACATGATCCTCCGTCACTTCAGCATGACCGATGACTAGAGTGTGAGAAAGATGAAGGGTGGCGGGAAGTGTCGGCGCGGAAAGTGAAAAGACGGGCGGACAGCACGCTCCACCCTACGCACTCTCGGCGCCTCCCACATTCGGCGTCCTCTCAACAGAGACAAAGCAAACCAGCAAGAAGAACGATTGTCCGCGTCATCGGAATAGCAAGTACACGACAATGGGGCTCAAAATGAACAGGGATTGCATGGCTTTTATCATGAGTGGGGAATAATCATCATCCAGAGACCATGAAGGGATCGCAGGTCGACCGGCGCGCCCGCGACAAAGTGGATGATGCTTTTACAACGTTTTTGCTGGACAGACAAACACCCCCCGATGCTAGAAGGAACACAGTGGACAGAGAGCTTTTCGTTTCCTCATATTGCCAGGCAAGGCAGCACACAGAATGTACTCGATCCTGCACGCAGACTTAGCTTTAGCTTATGAAAACAGCCGGAATATTAGCTGAATCAAGCATTCCGTGCGTTATCCAGAATCTCTTTTGCTCTCAGACTCTCTTCAAACTCATCAGGGCCTTCGAGCGCCTTTTCCTGTGTGCGCTGTGGCCTCAATCCCAGTTCTGCCAGTTTATCCCAGATTCGATCGTGCCGCTTGGCCCATCTCTCTCTCCTCTTCTCCATCTCCTTTTCGGATGGTCGCCATTTGCTCTTGAGAATGCGGCGAACAGCTTCAGGAGAGACTTTGAAGTGATCTGCGAGGACAGCCGTGGACCACCGGTCCGGGTCTTGTTCGTGGAGTGTTCGAATGCCTTCCATGGTGTCTGGAGATAACTTCTTCCGAGGATTCCAGCCCGCGTCGCCGAACTTCTCCTTTAATGCTTGTTTCTGTATCTGCCATGGTTCTTTCTTTTTAGGAATGGCCAGGTCTTTGAGTTCCAGCCGTTTGTTCTTTCCTTTGCCGGGTGCACCCCTAAGTGGCTTGTGACTCTGGAAAGGTGTTTTCAGACGGCCATCCCCATCAAGTACATTGTCTGTTGACGAGATGCTATGTCGGTCTGCCTTTTGCATTTTTGATGGTTGTTTCTGAGGTTGGAATGGTTGGAAAGGTTGGACGTCTTCATTGTCGGGATTGGGAGCATGGCTTCTTTGCGTATCTTGCATATATTGTCCGGCCTGCTTGTTCACCGACAGGGGCGCGGGCGCGGGCGCGCCCTGAGAGGAAGAATATCTACGCCTCTTCTGGACATGAACATCTCGAACCGCACCAAAGGCACAGGGGATCGTGAGAGAGGGCGGCTGGCTGGACGGTTTGATCAGGGGGTTCCGTGCACTGGAATGCACATGGCGAGAAATTGTCGTACAGGAAGACCTTGAGCCCTGCGCCGCAGCCCAGAAGACTCTACAGCTTGTTTGCATATTCAAAGATATATCAGAGACTGATTGAAGGCCTGCAACGTTTCCTTATTGTTGAAAGGAATCCCCAGCGCGGCTTTAAACCCAATTTCAGACTTTCAGTAATTCATGACTAGTCAACCAGCCGAGACAAGCGAGCCGTGACTCGTCCTCCCCGCTAACCTATAGCACTTATTTATGACTAATCCATGCGGTGGTGCGCTGGGCGAGTCGTAAGTACTACGGTACTACTAAAGACTGCCTCCATCTTTTGCCTCGCCATCCCTGGAGTCATTCTCTTTCCTTCTCGCAGCTTGCTGCCCTGAGAAACTCCTCTTTTTGTCGGCAGTATGGCGTGGCCGAATCCCTTCAGGAGGAAGGACGAAAACACCCGAACATGCTGGGGTTACACATTCCAGTTGACGCCGGAGCATCTCACTCCGGAACAAGCGCATCCGTTAAAGTATACATACGACGTGCTAGGGGAAGAATGCTATGATATCCTCAACCAAATCAGCTCATCGGAGGCAGAGGCAGAACCGCAACCTCCCAACGGAGTCGGAAAATCTCCTTCGTCAAAGCAAAAGCCAAAGCGAGATCTGTATCTCCTCCTCGAGGCCAACGCGGAAAAAGACGAGAAGCTCAGGCAGCTCTGGGACGAAGTGACGACGGTGCCTTACTGGGTGGACTGGGACCAGATTGGGCGTGGACAAGATGTCTTCTACCGATACGGAGGAGCGACCTTGACGGGGCTGGCCTTCCAATCTTTGCTTGGAGGCATGGGCGCAAACCGAGTGGTCGAAGTGCTTGCCAGAACGGGAGGGTTCTCGGTCAAAGTGGCTCGACACCGACTGTTTGAGACGACGCAGCATATACTGGAGTGCACCAGGTCAATCGAATCCATCCAACCGGGAGGCGCCGGGTTCGCGTCCAGCCTCCGAGTGAGACTGTTGCACGCAGCCGTCAGACAGCGGATCATGAAGCTGGCAAAGACGCGGCCGGGCTACTACAGCGTGGAGAAGTACGGCGTGCCCATCAACGACCTCGACTGCATCGCCACCATCGGCACTTTCTCCGGAACCATCATCTGGCTTTCGCTGCCGCGGCAAGGGATCTGGTTGCGGGAGCAGGAAATCCTCGACTACATCGCACTCTGGCGACTCATCGCGCACTACATGGGCACTCCGACCGAGTGGTTCGAGACCCCGGCCAAAGCCAAAGCCATGATGGAATCGCTGCTGATGAACGAAATCCATCCTACCGAAACATCCAAGATCCTGGCCGCCAACGTCATCCGCTGCCTCGAAGCCCAGCCGCCCACGTACGCGTCGCGCTCTTTTCTCGAAGTCAATGCCCGTTGGCTCAATGGAAGCGAGCTCTGCGACGCCCTCGGTCTTGCTCGCCCCTCGGCCTGGTACTGGGCTCTCATGGCTGGCCAGTGTATCTTCTTCATGTCGATCTGCTACGTGTACCGCTCCATCCCGGCGCTGGACAGGCGGAAAGTTTCGACCTTGCGCAAAGTCTTCTGGGGGCTTATTGTCGAGGGCAAGCACGGCCTGGGGGAGAAAACCGTATTTGAATTCAAATACGTCCCCGATTATCACGTCCTGACTGCCAGAGGAGGAGATGAACATGCCAAACCCAAGGCCGTCGGCATCGAGAGAAGGAATCTCAATTCCCTGCTCATCGCCACCGGCTGTCTCGTTGCTGCTGGCTACGTAGGCTTGAAGACAACATCGGCCATTCTGGAGAGGATCTTCTAGGGTACTAGTACTACTACTGTACAGGATCCTAGCTCCAGACCAAGAACAGCAAAAACCCCCGCGCAAGACTCCCCGACACTGGCTGTGGGTACCTACCTAATACATCGATGATGTTTTCCATGCCACCGGATGGCAGATGGCAGATGGCCGTGGACGTGAGAGAAAATCAAGCCCAAGCCCAAGCAGAAAGGGTAAACAGACTCCACGAAGCAGAAAAGAAAAACACACTCGACGCTTTCTTTCGACGTCACTCCCGCGTCAATACATATCGGCGGAACTGAATTTCAAGCTGGGCTAGCGAAATAGCTACCCAGGATCCAGCCGCAGTCTTGATTGTTTCTGGTTTCTGGGTTATTGACATTGACATTACAACCTTTGAACCCACGCGCTTAATTGAGCGCACTCCCTCATACCCTCCTCCACACTAAAGGCATGCCTATTTCCCAGATGTCCATCGAGATCCTGCAGGCGGGGCGGGTCGGCGACCTTCCTCCGGGCCTCGTCACACGCTTCGCACGCACGGTTCGCGGCCAACGTGTACGCTCTGAGCACCTCGGGATCTGGTTTACGCTCGAGAGCACGCGAGATACTGCGCGTGAGGGACAGTCCGAACCCTGAGCCTGGGCTTGAACCTGGGCTTGAACCTGGGCCTGAACCTGGGCCTGAACCTGAGCCCGAGGAGTCCGGATCCAGGCACGAAGAGGAGGCTGGGGCTGACGCTGACGCTTTGGCCGGTTTGGCTTTCGGACAGCACTGTGAGATGGTCACCTTGTGCGTCGGGTGCGCCGGTGTGCAGGTGAATGTGAGCGTGATGTCGCGGCACATGATGCGTTTAGGTATGAGGTGATGATTGATGATCAGTACTCTGTAGTAGCGGGTGCTTTCTGTTTCGGACGATTGGCGTGCTTTGATTGTGATCTGTGATCTGGTACGGAGTACTCTGTGGTGCTCCCTGCTGTCTGGTCTGGTATGGTCTGGTCTGGCCTAGATTCCTGAATATTAACTATATATTAACAAACAGTATGCTATATGTTACATATGTTATGTTATGGCTTGAGGTGTTGTGTGCTGTAGGTCTCTGCTACTAGTGCTGTGTGCTGTGTGCTGTGCTGTGCTGTGTGCTGTGCTGTGCTGTGTGCTCTACTGCTAGAAGCTGGAAGTCCATTCCAGCCATTCATCACATCTACCTAATTACATATAGCACTTACTCCTTACCTTACCCATGCATCCCACCTTGGTTGGCACTGTACTGAGTGTACTGTACTGTACGGATACTAGTCAGGACTCATCCCACCTCCATCCCTCCACCCCTCCATCACACTGACACTCCATCCCACCGTCCCATCTGACTCTCTTCAACTCTCAGGTGGTACTAATGAGGTTTCTTATTCGACACACGCCTCCCACTTCCCCTCAGAGTTCAAGCCAAGCCAAGCCAACCTTGGGAACCGTAAGCATTTCTTCGCAACTGCCGGACTCTAGAGAAAGCTTAGCCTTAGCCTTAATCAATCTTAGGATCGATACAGGCCCCTGGGGCACTCTAGCTTGCTTGGACTTGGGTACGGCGTACGCATTAGCACCATCATCATCACCATCGCCATCATCACCATCACCATCACCGCTAGCGTCAGGACAACTCTCACGGCCAACTGCGCAGGATGTGCATGTGCATGTGCATGTGGCAGGCCCGAAGAGCACTGTCCTGTCGCAAGTGACCAGTGGCCAGTGACCAGTGACCAGTCGCTAGTCGTTCCGTTCCCTCGTCATGCGTGCCTGCCACGAACGAGCACAAGTACAAGTACGAGTACAAGCATGACTACAAACACGACTACAAGCACAGCACGAGCACAGCACGAGCACGACTACAAGCACAAGCATAAGCACGACTACAAGCATAAGCACGACTACAAGCATAAGCACGACTACAAGCATAAGCACAAGCACGACTACAAACACAAGCATAAGCATCGAGTGATCTCGATCCAGACGTGATCTGGGACAGGACAGGATAGTAATCTCGATGCTCAGTATCCGTACGGATTACATCAATCAAGGCCGTTGGTTGATTTATTATGCTTATGCTAACCCTAACTCTAACCCTAACCCTAACCCGTGATTGAATGATCCTACTTACTCCTTCATTAATATTGGATCTATTCTACTTACTCCTTCATTAATATTGATTTATTCTACTTCCTCCTTCATTAATATTGAGCACCCACGTAGGTTATGTGCTGTACGATAATGATAATGATAGTTCAGTCATCAGCATTCGACCAAGCTAGGTTGGTGTTAGGTATTGTCTGGCTAAGCCATCTTATAGCCATCAACTTGCACCAAAAACACCCCTCCCGTCATTCTGGCCCTGCCCCCAGTAACCAAACATATCCAGCCTGAGAAGCAAGTGTTCGAACAAGTTCTCATCATCACTATCTTCAATAAACTCGTGAGGTGTATTGTTCCCATCAGCCCTTGACTGCGAGTGCTTCGAGGAAACACCTTGAACCCGCAAGGCGTCTATGAACTGCATGACTTTGGCTTGAAATTCTTTCGCAATCGTGTCCGTTCCTATGTCGTATCCCTTCCTAGGATTGTGATTCGTCGTGGTCTCGTGAACATCATCTTTCATCCTCTGTTCGTCGGCACGGGTCATCACCTTCAAACTTGAACGGTTGTGCCTCTGGCTGGGCGTTTCTTGCGCCGCAACTCGTAGAATCAATGTAAATACATCTTCCAAAATCTGTCTGGTGCCGGATTGGTTCCGTTTTAACAGTAACGCATGGAGAAGCTTGTCCAAGGTGTTTTCATGCAAGGCGCGAAGATAATCTTGACTCTTGACCAACTGCAATGTACGCTCATAGTCGTTGTTATTAATATGTCTTTCGACGTCGTGTAGCGTGCCTTCGAACTTCTTCCAACATACGTTGATCGCGACATTGTGGCAGTAGTCAGCGAGAGTCGACGTGAAATGGTGCATCTGGACTATCATTCTGTGGTCTGAACGCGTGCCAGTCCGGCTAGGCAGATGATCGAAGTTCTGTCTCAGCAGCGTTTGGGTCAAGCTGTGTATCCGCGACAGACGCAACAGGTGTTGAAAAAGGCGGTCATACTTGTCTAGGATCCTGGGAGTGAGCACTGTCTGGAGTAGCTCGTTCGGAGGTTTGTATTCTAGTCGGAGGAAGTCCAGAGCGTGGATTGAATCAACGTCGCGGCATTTCTCGAGTTCCTCAACCGGCATGTCGCGGATTGCAAAGGAGATCGTATCATCTAGAAACTGATCTTTAGAATTCGCCAGACTATCCGACAAAATGCCCATCAGCACAAGCCTGAGCTCAGAGCCCGCAGGCGGCCAAGTGTCCCGAGTTTGGAGACGGAGACCAGTAGAACCACCAGATGGCCGCTGACCTTCACTACTGTTTTGATCCGAGTCGAACAGAGCCATGCTCAGGCGTGCGGAGAAAGGGCCATCTCCCAGTAGCTGGAAACCTCGCTGGAGATTTAAATGTGAGAGGAGCTGATGCTTCTGAAAGAGTAGACGGAGTACAGAGTAGGAGAGAAGACGATGTTGTGCCGAGACAAGAGGAGTGACGGACAAAGTCACCACTTCCATGTAGTCTAGCTGGAATGGTGATTTTTCGGCCTCTGGGTTGTCAAGATATGCAATGACATTGCTATAGAGCCCGTCGGCTTTGTCAAGGTCAAGCACAGGGACGTGATGGTCGAAAAGGCCCAGTTCGAGATGGAAGGGATCGGCCAAATTAGGCCCTGTAGTACCCGTCTCCTCTAGTCGTAAGGATGCAGAAGTCGAATGGCTTAGGGAGCTTGTCGATGCAGACAATTCCCTAGACAGGAAAGACGTCTTCATTGCATCTTCATATGCAATAGACTGGGACTGTAATTGGCATATGTCGTCAAATGTAAAGCCTGGTTCCAAACCCATAAAGTATGATGCCGAGCTGCACACACTTGACAAGACGGAATAGTCGTCGGCAAATGATCGTAGTATCCCTAGGCTTTGCCGTGTTTCTGTGACAGTTTGACAGAGATAAGGAGGAAGAACAGAACTCCAAATGTCGACCTCATGCTCCTTGTCCGAGCACTGCTTTCCATGGCCATTTGTTTCACTTGGTGTCAAGGCAACTTCATGGAGTAATTTCGTCAATAGTGGTCGCAAGGTTCTTGAAATTATCTGTTGTATCACTCCGTCTATTGCTGAATGACACAAAGACGCATTCGCCGCTTGCCGCATTAAGGCCAATACAATGGCAGGGTCAGTCTGGCAGCTGTGTATTGCATCGACAAATTCCTTCAGCGTCGCTACCAAGGCAGCAACCCTGCACATGGTGTCTTTCAGCTGAAGGAGGGACACGATAGTTGGCCGTAAGGTTTCCAGGTAGTTTTGAGTTGCATGCAAGGCGGTTCGGGAAGCAGCAATGAATGCTATCCTCGATGGTGTTAATTGCTGTGACTGGTTTTCCAGGCCGTCGAAGCAATTGTTTAGTTTCCTAGTGTATGTGCCAATCCTCAAGAGGTCTTCGAAGAAATTATGCAACAGAGGTACACTGTAGCCGCAGGCTGCGATCTTTCCCCAACAATGCGAGAACCTTTCTTCCTCTTCAATCCATTGAAAAAGTGTCGAGCCTCTACCGGTAGCAAGTTCGAAAGCCGCGTGAAGTAGTGCATCAGGCTTGATAGGCTTCGACAGGAGGTCTCGGTCTGATGACTGCAGGATTGTACTGAACACTCGGGGATTCGCTTCGCTGATGTATGGTGTCGGCGGCTCTTTATGGCTCTTGTTCAGGAAGATATCCCAGCTGACAACGCTATCCTTCGGTCTTGCTCGCATAATCTCTGGCAGAATCCAGAGATCGGGAGTCCCATCAATATCATCCCGCTCATCTTGACTTTGTTGCGGCTCCTGCCCGGATTCGGAAGAGCTGGAAGATGGACTGGATAAATCTGGTAGCGAGACATCTTGCAGGTCTAGTAAAAAGACGTCGGGCTTGAGATTGGGTAAGTGCTTGGTATTAACGTCGTTCAGCCGAAGGAGTCCGCTTTCGAGGCTGTTATTGAAACGAAACCCCTCCCATGTCGTGATAGACTCGAGGCTGAGATAGGGAAGCGTCTTGATGGCATCGGTAGAGAAAGGGTCGGGACCCATCTGATCGTAGAGGGACATTGCGATATTAGCTTGACCATGTTGATGGTCTTTACTGTTTACCCTAGAGCCAGCGGGACATCTCCGAGTGTTATTGTATTCTATAATTCATGATGCAAAGTCGTATTTACATGCGACGCGCCTCGCGTCTGCCATTAAACGAACACCAACTAAAAAGGCAACTTACCCGAGCGCCTCTTCATGGAAGGCTACCGCATCGACAGTGTCAAAATCTAGACGGTAATCCTCGAAGGATAGGGTTGGACACGGTGACTGTAGGCTGCTACAAGCCCGGATACTCTTTGTTGATGTGATCGATGACCACGATTCAAGCGAGCCGTCACAATCATCTTTTTCTGCAATAGCCAACCCCACATATTCTGATAGAAGTTCCAGCCAGGACAAGACACAGCGCTCGGAGCCAGCAGTATCACCGAGCCCGAGAAAGAGCCCTGCCGTTTTCCTTAGCTCTTGGTGTCAGTCCTCAAAAGCCACAGACAATGACTTCCAAAGAAGCGACCAGATCGGACAGTGACACCTCCCTATGGACGGATGACCAGGAATCGGCCCTCCTACAGGCCGTTGTTCGCTGGAAGCCAGTAGGAATGCACAAGCATTTCCGGATGATCTCAATCAGAGATCATCTCCTGAACCAGGGTGTGGTCAATCCCGAAGACTCTCATACATCCATAGCAGGAATCTGGCGGAAGCTTCAATCCCTATACGACCTCGCAAAACTGGACGAGCGCGAAGACTCCATCATTGACGGCCTCGAGGATGGGGCCAAAGGTCATGCCTATTGGCGAGAATTCGAACTCCCGCGCGAGGACTTTGAGGAGTTGATGTGGCAGAGAAGGTTGAATCCCGATGGGACCTCGAGTCCCGACATCTCCAGAAGGGAGAGCACGGTTGCAGACACGGATGAGCCACGGTCGTCACCGATTCCTGGTGCCACGAGAGGGTCACTCAGGGGAGCTAGAGGAGGAAGACGAGGAGGTAGATTGTCACGTTTACAGAACGAGATTGAAACCGATAGGTCCAGTCGGCGGACGAGCAAGGCCAACAGCGTCGTGGACGAGGATCAAGCCATGGAAGACGCTGACGAAGAAGAGGAAGACCAGGAAAGTGGAGCTGAAGATGAATCAAGCGACGAACCGGAAGAGGAAGACAAGAAAGCCTCTGGCAGGAGGGGTGGGCGTGGTGGACGGAGAGGCAGGGCCAGGCGAGCACGGCGAAGATGAAACAAAAGATCAGGGTATCCAAGACCAGCATGAACTGAAGAAAGAATCTGCTCGCCGAGCAAGAGCAAATCTATGAAAATTACGTCCCGCTCGTCTTCTTCTCTGATCGACCACGGTCCTTGTCCGAGTGCCTCTGTCTCCTGAAACAACTAAAGGTGTTCCGACTACCTTCTCGCAGCTTTTTCAACACGACACGCATGTCGCCCAGTTCCTGTTGCAGACGTGTTCTCGCCTCATTCGTTGTCCGCTTGTCCAACTCAGTGTAGATCTGACCCTGGATCTCTCCGGCCTTGGAAGTGGCATAGCTCGTCATTGTTTGTGCGATGAACTCCGTATCTAGGGTTGCCTGCATCAAGGCAGGCAAGGTGTAAGTGTTTGGTTTCCGCCCCTTGAATCCATCAAGAAGTGCTTGTGAGACGTTTTCGAGCAGATAAGACAGGATCTCACTGAGAAGAGGGCTACTGGCGCCGGCATTCGACACCGTAGTCGAGACTTCTGTATGCACCATGACAAGGGTCATGAGCGTCGAATAGACATACGGTCTGACTTGGTCTGGCCTTGCTGTAGTTGGTGCCCACATTGGTGAGTTAATGCCTTCTCCGATGGTCTTCGTCAACTGTGCAACCGTAGGCCGTGTGTAAGAGTGGAATAACTTTGCATCGATCTGGCCGAACACGTCTCGGATAGTCTTGGACTCGTCGGCCAATTTGACGGAAAAGGAGGACTCGAAGACCTGAATGAGTGATGGCACATACTCATTCCGCAAGGCTTTCAGGTTCGACATGGTCAACAACATCCGGACATTGCGGCTAGAAGCGTTGATGGCATCTTGCGTGATGATTTCAGCCGGGGAGGCCCCCTCAATGACAGAGCTGAGGCTCGTCACCAGGACCCAGTCATCCTCGTCGCCTTCTGTTGGCGCTTCGGCATTCTCGAGCATGCCGCTGACCGCCTTGTACACGCTGCTCACGAATTGGGTCCGTACCATCTGCAACAATTTTGACGGCGGCGGCGTGATGATGTCCCGGCTCCCTGGTTTGGTCGTTGTAGTTGAGAAATACAACACCTGCTGCATGCCTAGCAAGACCTTCCTCTCAAAGGCCTCGAAATACAAAGGCATGCGTGTCTGGTCGCGCTTTTCTGGGGCCCTGACCCAGTCTTCCAAGGACTTGCAACTCTCGGCATCCTTGCTCCAAGCTTCGCAAACAGCACGCATACACCGTTCGCGAGCCCCTCCGATCATTACTTTGATCTTTTCGTACATGGTGTTGTTGTTAGTCACAGGGCCCAAGGTCACCATTTCGCCCGCCGCGGTTCCGACAAGCGTCAGGATCTTCTCAAGGTATTGAACTGCACTAAGGGCGTTGGAGTAAGGAGGCCAGAACGCGAAATCTTCCCAAGGTTCGCCTTTCTTTGCCGCTGCTGCAGGCAGGTTCTGAGGATCAAGTCTGCCAATGCGCCCATCAGTGGGTGAAAAGGCTGCTCCTGTGAGCGGAGTGGTGGGCGTTTCCGCAGACCCAGGGGCCGGCGAGAAAAGAGACGAAATATCCTCGGTCGGGGGTTCTGCGAAGAGTGAAAAGACGGCATCCCTCAGCTGGCTCACCAAGTCGATTGCTCCGCTGCGCAGTCCGTTGATTTCGGTTTCGGATAGTTGGTGGTGCTTGCTGCTCTCCCCTTCGAACCCCACCGATAGCGTTTTCTGTTTGCTGCCGTCAATGAAGCCTTGGGCCGACTCCCAAAAGTCAACCACTTCACCAAGTAAGCCACTAGACAATGACAATAGCTTGGTGACATAGGCGAGAATACAGTTCCAGAAGTCGGAGACGTCGCCGCTGTCGAGAGCGTCTGGTCGGTCCCTAGAAGCCTCTCGCAGGAAAGCAGCCACTGTTTGAGATGACGGAGGCTCCGCAGAAGCCAGCCGACGACGCAAAATCTCGATCTCGATCTTGGACCTTTCCACTACTGCCGCAATCTTGTTTTTAAGGGCGTCATAACGACTAAGTAAATACACCCAGATCGGGCTCTCCTCAACACCCAGTTGCAATAGCACATTGATGAGTTCCATATGTTCTTCCGCATGGAATGCGCTTGGGAGGAGTGAGGTGGCTGGAATGTTGGACAGTTTCCGCCAGATATCTCTCTTCAGACTCTTGACTTGTTCATCTGCGTCGTTCCACATTCTTCCTATGGCAACGATTCTATGCACTTCGTCATCGGATAGCGTGCGACCTTGTTGAACCACCCTATCGCTAAGTGCCTTGGCCTCGGCAACGTATCGCCGAGCGGTGTTGTAGAGCTCGATAGCTTTGTCGTAATCCTTTTGCTTGATGGCCTGGCCGAGGTTGGAGCCCAATTCGTACAGAGCATGATCACTCGCAATAGCTTCCACTATCGCTTTCAGATTTGCCTCACGTTCCTTGCCGCCCAAAGCCGGGCCCCATACCTCCTCAGCCTTTTGCGACACTTCCAGAAGAGGGCCTTTGATGCCTTGCACGCCAAACTCTGTCTCTTTGCGAAGGGCGTTCTTGCTGGGTGGACGAGCAGGGGCACTCATGCCGGCGGCACTGCCACTGCTGACGTTGCGGAAGTGAATGCCACTTGTGCGTCGGGAATGCCGTGGAGACGGAGGTGTCTCCATGCCTTGGTTTCGCATCTCGGTGTAGACATTGTCAATCGTGGCTTTAGCTCGCACGAAGCGCTCGAAGTTTGTCTCAACCAAGACTTTAAGGGAAGCAGACTTTTGATCGATTGATCGAGACAAGTACTGCAATCCTCGTAGCAGGTCATCCGTAGTTGCGTCCTTATGAATCTGGGAGAGAAAGATGCCAGGAGAAAACGTAGTCGATGACAGCATGAACTTGTTCCGCAGTCGTGGGTCTTGTTCGACGGGTAGACCATCAGTCCTCAACACGTTCAGAACACTCGGGTGAACGCCCAGAGGATCAGGTTCGTCCTTCTGCACCAGGTTCGCTCGGCCGTCTCCAGTCCGTTGCGATCCCGGGATCAGACTCTTCCTCTCGCTCGCACTCCTCTCGAGGGCGGAATATCGGGAGCGGGAACGCCTAATTCCAACCGCGTCTGCGATATCATCGTCGTCACTCTCATCCAGCTCTTTGGGCCACTCCTTCGGAGAGGGATCTGGCAGGTTGTAGTGAGTAACTATGGTCCGTTCTTGTTCAGCCATCCCATGCAAACGGATTCACGCGACCGGCGCGCCTCAGATGCTGGTCATTTACACTCTTCTGTCTGGTATCGCGTCGAGTACTACGTAGAGAGACGCCTCAGTAAACCAGGGGCTCAGGCTCCGTCGGGTGCAGTGACCGCCGCGGGAGCAATGCCATTCTTGGCGATCACGTGCAGTCATGTGCCCTGGAGGCTGGCATGAGGCATATACCGCAGCAGCGCATAGCGCATCCGATGTCGCCGGCAGCTGCACCTTGGGCGTGGAGCTCGTCCGCGCCAATTAGAATGATGTAACTCAACTGGGGGGCCGCCAGATAAAAAGCATGCTCTTGAAAGCTCCACCACTATCCTGCCCGACTCTGAACCCAGGTCAATAGCTTCACCTTTTGCTCCGTCGCTCGTTCAATGCTGTGTGCTGTGACCAGGAGTCATTGCTGAAGCTTGTTGCCCTTTGTTCCTGCATCTGCATCGGTTTTGCCCGTCATGATCGCCTCTCGAGCATTTGCCTCTCCGGCTCGCCTGTGCTTGCGAAAAGCCTGTCACCAGCCGACCTGGGCTCCGGTAGCCTTTCAGGTGCGACTCAACCAAGTCCGCGGCTCATCTGAACGTGTTGGCTAACTCGCGCTGTATAGGCTCAACCTCGACGCTTCGCCTCCACTGCAGAGTCCGACAAGGTCGCCAGGTTCAAGGGAAAGAAGGGATCGGATGGAAACTTCACGGTCACTTTAATAGAAGGAGACGGCATCGGCCCGGAAATCTCACAGTCCGTCAAGGACATCTACAAAGCTGCGAAGGTTCCAATCGTCTGGGAGCCGGTGGATGTCACGCCTCGCCTGAAAGATGGCCGGACCGTTATTCCAGATGAGGCAATTGAGTCGGTGAAAAAAAACTACGTCGCTTTGAAAGGACCTCTTGCAACTCCCATCGGCAAGGGACATGTCTCTCTTAACCTCACGCTCAGGCGGACCTTCAATCTCTTCGCCAATGTTCGCCCCTGCAGAAGCATTGAGGGCTACAAAACCCCCTATGACAACGTCGACACGGTTCTGATTCGAGAAAACACCGAAGGAGAATACAGTGGTATTGAACACGTGGTTGTGGACGGCGTTGTGCAGTCGATCAAGCTTATCACCCGCGCAGCCTCAGAAAGAGTTCTCAGATATGCGTTCCAATATGCGCGCGAAGTCAACAAAAAGAAGGTCCGCGTCGTTCACAAGGCCACTATCATGAAGATGTCCGACGGTCTGTTCCTTAGCACTGCAAGGGATGTCGCCAAGGACTTCCCGGACATTGAATTCGACGCCGAGCTTCTTGACAACGCCTGCCTGAAGATTACGACTGACCCTGGCCCATACTCGGACAAAGTCCTCGTCATGCCTAACCTTTACGGTGACATCCTGTCCGACATGTGCGCTGGTTTGATCGGTGGGTTGGGTCTCACCCCCTCCGGAAACATTGGCGACGAATGCTCCATTTTTGAAGCTGTTCACGGCTCAGCACCTGATATTGCAGGCAAGGCGCTCGCCAACCCGACCGCTCTGCTCCTCAGCAGTCTCATGATGCTACGGCACATGGGCTTGAACGACCACGCGGCCCAGATCGAGAGCGCAATCTTTGCAACGTTGGCCGAGGGCAAGGCTCTGACCGGGGATTTGGGTGGTAAGGCTAAGACGCACGAGTATGCACAGGCCATCATCGACCATTTGTAAATATGCGGCAAATCGTGCCTTGGATGGACATGGTTCACAACGGTTGTTCAGCTGAGAAATTGACGCCACGGTCAGCTGACCGAAGTGCAGTTTGGGTTGGTTGATGTACTATCTTATCATGCTAGAGCGAGTCTTGCGAATAACACCAGGGAATGACACCAGTTGATTTTCTAGTCTTGAACGAAAATGATCAGTTCAGACCTCTACTCTTTGTGACTGCTACAACGAGATGCACTAAGAGATCAGCGGCCCAACCCTCACAATTTCACGCTCCTTCATCTCCTTGACCTTTCGGCCTTTTTCTAGTTTCCTCTCCGTCCTCCTCTTCAGCACTTGCAGTTTATCAAACCGTCCGCGTGCGCCGAATTTGATCTTCGTAATCATATCACCCGCCTGACCTTTGGTGATGTCAGCCTCCGTCAAGGGCTGGCATCCATCTTCGGAGATGTCGCGCATCCGGTTGAGGAAGTTTAGCTGACCGTCGGAGGCGGGGCTTCGGCGCCACGACGAGCTCGTGGCGATGAAAATACGTTCAAACTTGGTAGAAGCGAAGGTGTCGGCAGCGTGGAGGGCGTCCGACAACGTGGCTGCCGTGGCGACGGTGCGCGGGCGGGACCAAGGCGATTTGCTTGCCTCGCTCAGCGGGAGCGGGTGTTTCCAAATCACAACATAGTTGTTCGATGCTGGTGAGTCGGATTTCCCTGCTGAGTCGGAAGAGGCTTGACGTTCGAGCGTCAGAATTCCACCCCTCGCCGCAAGGATGTATTTGTGCGAGTCAACCTGAACCCAGGCATTAGGAGACATGGAACGCACGTGTCGTTCGCCCGAGGTGTCCTCAATCAGGTCTTGGACTGTATCATAATGCGTGAAGTCGAGACGATGGTCGGATCCAGCAGCTTGAGCTTGGACAGGACCGGACGCAGCAGGGCCACGGTCAGACATGGTCCGTTCCTCGTTCGTCCTCTTGTCTTTCAGGGATTTCAGCTCGTCGGGTCGGGCATCCTTGACCATCTCAGATGGATCGAGGCCGAAAAGGGTCGGGACCGTGACGATGCCCGTTTCCAGAGACGCCACCATGTCGATGATATGACAGTCTGTCTTTCCGGGATACAGGCGCATGCCACGGCCGATCATCTGGACGAGCAGGTTGCGAGACTTGGTGGGCCGGGCAAGAAGAACACAGTCGATGTTGGGCATGTCGGTGCCTTCAGTAAAAACGCCGCAATTCAACAGGACCGGAAATTCACGGTTCTTGAACGCTTCCAGTCGTTCGCCCCGTACCTTTTTCTTCGTGGATCCTGTAATGTATCGGGCGTCGATGCCGTGTTTGCGGAAGGACGAGGTCAAGCTCGCCACGTGGTTGAGGTCAACACAGAAGACGAGTGTCGACTTGCGCTCTCTCGCTTCAGCCATCCATGCCTGAACTGTGATCTCGTTTGTGACTTCGGTATTGACTGCTGCTGAGAGCTGCCCAGGCTGGAAGTCGCCGTCTTTTCCTGACCGAACCCTAGACAGATCTGCTCGTGACTTGACCGTTGTGAACATGACGTCCGACAACCACTTGTCGCCGATCATGTCCACATAATCCTTATGGTAGACAATATGGTCGATCGCGGCGCCCAGCCTCAACCCATCGAAGCGCGAGAACGTCGCCGAGACACCGACCAGAGCTGGCCCTGTCTCTCGGGCTTCCTCCAACCCGAAGTGTTCCAAGACTTGCAGATAACCAGGCGCTACGATGTGATGCGCTTCGTCGACTAGCACAAGCTTGAATCTGTCCGGGCGGTACTTGCTAAGACGGTCTCCAGACAGCAGACTGCGAACCGAGGCGACCGTGATATCTGCGGCACCGGAAGCGTGTGTCTCCCCCATCTCGATATCGATGCTCTTCTCAGGATACGCTTTCAGGCAATGACGGGCCGCTTGCTCGACCAACTCTCGCCGGTGGGCAAGGATGAGCGTCTGCTGAGCATTTTGGTTCCGTAGCTCGACACGATCGATCAATTGAGTGAAAATGACCTTTGCAGCCGAGTTAGCACTTCTCGGCCGTTGTTGCGGTTCGAACAGTGTTATGCTTCCATACCGTCTTGCCGCTGCCTGTGGCGAGCGAGATTCCCAGCCGTTTGTGGCCCTTGTCAAGGTAGGACAGAACCGATTGGATACATTCTTCTTGGTATTCGCGAAGTCGAATCCCTTCTTCACGAAGTGCCGGTGGATGTACGTCGCCAATGCTGGAAAGCCAGCGTCGGGCTTCCTGTGGTCGCAGGAAACATTGCGCTGAACGTGTCAACCATCTGAAGCGCGCTAGCATAATACACCGAACTGCATCTCAACGGAGTCAGGCGAAGAAGAGAGTCTGCTCGTCGCTAAGTTGCCTGTTGGTGGGTAGAAGGCAAACTCCAGTCTTGGGGAGACGATCACGCTGCTCTACGATTCTAGGCTAAGGCCTGGTTGTACATACGAGGCTTAGGGGCTCCTAAAGCGACCAGCCTGCCCAAGACTGAAGGCATCCATCAAGCTCGGATTTCGTCGAGAACTATCCCCGCCGGACCGTGATGGAATAACAAGTAACAGCACCTGTCGAGTACTTGAATCTACCGTCCTCTAAGGTAGGTAATGATGCAACCATAAGGCAGGCGTTGCTTCAAAAGCGGCCAGAGAGGAACACTCGCAGTCGCCAAGCCCAGCCTTTTGTCTGCATCCAAACTTCGAGGTTCAAGGAGCAAACCACATCCCGTTTTGCGTTGTCAGCAATACCGTGAGATGGACTCGCCGCATGCATGGCTTTTGGAGACTGGTTTTGAACTGGCCTACTAACATCCCTCATTTGGACACCTAGCATTCTTTTGGTGTTGGGTAGTGTAACCATAACATGTCTTGGAAAGAAAAGCTAGACCATGGAAGATCAAGACAACCAGGATGAGCACGATGAACTTCGGTCACATACACCAAATACAATGTCAGTCGACGAGGCAGATTATCTTAAAAATGATCTGGAAACTTCCGATAGTCCCGGCGACTCGTCACCCGTGAAAGAACTCAACTCGGTCTCGTTTCACGAACAAAAGTGGTCGCGCCTTCATCGACACTACAATGATCAGTATCTGGAGCTGTTCAGGACTACTTTAGGAGACGCCGACGAGGAGATGTCTGGTGAAGACCTGTTCACGACCCAGTTGGGGGCTGTGGTATGGCAGCCTTCGGAGAAAGCAGCCCTGTACAACGGTCTGTGCCGAAAAGGCCGACGCGACTTGCAGGGCTTGTCGGGTCTGATTGGGACGAAGTCTGAGGTCGAAGTCAAAGCGTATCTGGACAGTCTGCAGGAGCAAGAAATAGACCGCCAACGCTTCGAACCTCAAACGAAAAACGTCTCACATGCCGACATCCCAGCCGCCATAGAGATCGGTTCTGAGGTTGAACCCCTGCTTGATCAGGCCGCGGACGCTCTTGCAGCTTTTCAGGAGCAGTTTGATCATGCCGCCGGTCAGAGAAATACCACGCTATGGCTCATCGACCAAGCTACGGCATCCGACCTGGACCAGAAAGCAGACGAAGCTGAAGCTGCACGTGACCTTTCCGACCAGGGCTCTGGTGACGAGGATGAGTCAGACTCTGAGGCGACAAGTCTGTTTCACCTCTCGGCGTTTCTGACTCTTGCCGAAGAATACTTCATGAACCAAGGCTCCGATGGCTCATACAATTGGCGCAACCTTGCCGAAGAAGGACAGCGACCTGCCATGACCATGGACGTTGTGACAACTGTTTTCGATCTTGTCGTCAACTTCACCAGGAAATTGATACAGTCTTGTCTTTTCGTGGCACAATCACGAATCCGCGCTTCGACGTCTGTTAAAAAGCACGAGCCCTTAAGGCTGGTCAAATACGACGACGTGGCGGCCGCCTTGTCGATATTGAATGTCAAGAACAATGCAGACACCTTCTGGGTTGGCATGGCCCGGAGGAACAACTTGTCAGTCGTGGACTACTCTTCTAGGAAAGATAACAGCCGTGGAACGATCATGTCATATGAAGACGTGGAATCCAGGTTGTCAATCCCATCACGAAGGAGGTCGATGTCAACCGCATCTGATGACTCGATACGAGGCCGTGCCACTTCAATCGAACCCGTTAGACACAGTGAACTGGAAGATGATGCCGAAGGAAGCTCCGACACCGAGGATGATGCGATTGCCGCTCCCACCGAAGAGGGTGCTTCCACTGGCGAAGAAAGTGACGACGAGGATTCGCGTACCTCTGACGAACAGAGCAGGTCTTCCAGCTCCGAAGACGAAACACGACCAAACCCACCAGTGTCAAGACAGAAACGAATCCTGCTTCTCGAAGAAGAACAAGATGCGTACATGGAACGGATGGATCAGGAGGCTAGAAAGCTGGAAGAGTCGCGTCTGCTGCAGCTTCTGGGTGCTCACGTCGAGGACCAGATCAAATCAGAAGAGTCACCTGACTTGGGGCCCCGGCCGAGAGTGATGAGAAAGACAGTCGAGGAATGTATAGGCTGGTCAGTCCAGTATCAGGCCGAGTGGGAACTCCTTGGAGAGATGTTGCCACCTGGGAGCTTTTCAGCAGTTAGATCTGGTGCCAAACGCAGGAGACTGGAACCGAAAGCCGTTCTTGACCTACCGGCGCCCTGAATTAGTACTGGCCAGGACCTGGTTGGGCAAGACTTTCATGCAGAGAGGCCAACGACCTTCTTGGCCTCCTTCTCCTCCGAGAGTATACTGGTCTCTGCCTGCTTGTCTAGGTGTCAACATCCAACAAAGATGGCAGGCAGCCCGAACTGGAGATAAAGACAGAAATAAACCTACATGTACAGATGCAGAGTCCTGTCCTTCACCTTGTGTAACTATAGGTACTACGTAGCAGGGATAAGGAGGACAACAACTTCACTCGTGACGGGCGCTAATGCTTTAGCGGTCGATCTCCCGCTCGAAGCAATCTAATTGGAGGAATGGCAGCCTCGAGCCGTAAACAAATCCAGAGCCTCAAACACAAAGAAGCTTGGAACAGCTTCTGTGTGCACATATCATTCTGAATGGTAGATATCCCAGCCTTCACAAGGAGAGGACAGTCCAAAGTCTCAACCTTTGTGCATTGCATTCCCACGCGTCTCCCCAGCCCATGCACCACTGGCACGTGGGTCTCTGCTCTCCGTTGAATGACGTCCGACGCGAACTTGACGCGTTCGTGGTCGAGGTCAGTGATAGCACAGAGCTCTACACACCAGCATCATATCTTTGTCGTTGGCACCTAAGGACTATCCATGTCCTATGCACCTTGTCGTCACCTCAGCATCGCATATCAACATACCATCCACAGCGGCCTTCTCCCTAGTACGAAGCCCTTGTTCACGACTTCACGATGGGCCTGCGAGAGGTGAATGCCGGCGACGACCGACGACTACAAGAGATTGCAGATCTCCTTGTAGGGTCGCACAAGATCCTCCTTGTTACGGGTGCTGGCATCAGCACGAGCTGTGGCATCCCAGTGAGTTATTTGCGCGACAGTCGATCATCCTCTTGAAAGCTCACCTGCGCACAGGACTTTCGATCAAAGGATGGGCTGTACAACATGATCCCTGAACAGACCATGCTTCCCTCTCCTCCACCATCTGAACCGTCGACACCTGCGTTAAAGCGCGTCATGTCTTTCAACGACGAAGACTTGCCGTCCTCACAATCATCCACCTCTTCAACTGCCAGCCGCCGATCATCGGCGAGCCCATCCTCTAAACTCAGGGGGCAGGACTTGTTCGACTCTCGGGTGTTTCAGAACGCAGCCTCAACTACAATGTTCTATCAGTTCATTGCCTCGCTGCGACAAAAGATCCGGGACGAAGTTTGCTCGACCAGCTCCGTTCACAAGTTTGTCAGAGTTCTTCGCGATGGTGGGCGCTTGATGAGATGTTATACACAGAATATTGACGGGCTTGAGGGCCGGGAGGGGTTGGTAACGGACCTAACCCGCGGCAAGGGCAACAAACGTCGCTTCATGAAGAAACACTTTGAAGTCCCACGACCAGCCTTCACGCCGGGAACTGACTTTGACGGAGGGTGTGAAGTGGTGCAACTCCACGGCGACCTCGAAAAGCTGCGCTGCACGATGTGTGCCACGCAGTTTGAGTGGACCGACGAGGAGACCGACATCTATTTGCAAGGAGCTGCCCCTAGCTGTCCCAAGTGTAAAGCAAAAAGCGAGCAAAGACAGGCAAGCGGAAAACGAGGGTTAGCAACAGGGTCTCTTCGTCCCAACATTGTGTTGTACGGTGAAGACCATCCGTCAAACACGCTGCTGACGCCACTGATCCCGTTTGATGCTGGGTCTCAACCTGAAGTTATGATCATCATGGGGACATCTCTGAAAGTGTTCGGGTTGCAGAAGATTGTGCGGGAGTTTGCCAAAGCTGTGCATGCGCGTAAAAACGGCAAGGGTCGAGTGATCTTTGTCAACCGCACTCGACCGGCAGAGAGCGTTTGGGAGGGGATTATTGATGACTTTGTAGCCATGGATTGTGACGACTGGGTGGAGGACCTCAAGACGCGACGGTCTGATTTGTGGCTTCGACAAGGCGACATTGGATTGACGGTGACAAAGTCGTCGCAGCCCAAACGGAAGCGAAAATCAACCGAGGAGGGTGAGAACGCCGGAAACGAGGCGGTCAAACGGGCCAAAGTGGTGGTCGAAATCCCCAATGCGACCGTGTCACACGCCCCCACAATTCCCAGCACTCCTTCGAGGAAAAATGCGAACATTCACAGATTCAAGTTACCGGCAGACTATCCAGGTCGGGCAATTCTCTCGCCGCTGGCTCAAGCGAGACGACCACCGATATCACCATTCTCAAGTCCACTTCGCATGGATGACGAAAGCGCCATTGCGAGCCCCGTGAGGCGTGGCACACCGAAAAGACCTACCGCGTCACCATTCACGCCAGGAGTGTTGTCTGGGAGCAGACTCAAGACGGCAACTTTTGGGGATGAACGCTTGGAGGATGACATGTTGGAAAGTAGTTCTTGGTTGGAAGACCATGAGGCAGACCATCCGACCGAAAGCTTGAATAACGGAGGAGACGCGACTCAAGACGAAACGACCGAGTCCGGTGTCGTGGCCCAGTTCTTACGACGAGTACGCGGCAGGCGATGGTTCTCGTATCCTCGGCTCAGTACATCTGGTGAATCGACCGATGACGAGGTGATACAGGTAGCGACGCCATCCAGGGGACCGCGAGGCAGAAGGATCGATGTGTTTGTCGAGTGAAGGGACTGAAAAGAATGAGGTTTCAATGCCCGCCCAACGATGGCGATGGCGGCATGTAATGAGGATGGCGACTGCCATAAGACATGATTGGAGTTTTGATGGAATTTGACCTACGAGAAAGTTGCCTTGGTGTTTGGGGAGGTATCCACTGCCACCGGGGAAGGCGTGTTGAATCGTGCGTGATGAATACGGAGATGACGCCTGCCGTAACGCAATGGATTTGTGGGCTTGTAGACACAATTGTCAGTCACAGATATGGTGTTTGGTGTTTGGTGTTTGGTGTTTGGTGTTTGGTGTTGGCGGCGAGTGTCATGATGATGGTCAACGGGGTGAGGAGTGAGGAGTGAGGAGCCGCACGGGCCGGCCGAGGCAGAACAATGATCGGATTCCGCAGTCTGGACTCTGGACTGAGCACTCTCGCGTGATTACTGTAGTTAGGTAACCTACATGAGTACATACGGAGATGGCGCCTTTGCTGGTCTGACCAATTTTGTTGCCCACATGACAAATGGACGGAGCCGCCTTCGCCGCCATGTGCCGCGGGTAAGGAAGTAATAGTCGGTACGGCGTACAGACTCACTAGACTACTCGACGTCCGATAAAATATCTTCCGCGCCAACGCCACCGCCGGTCGACTCCTCCTCTGCCTCTTTTCACAACCCTGATAAAGCAAAGCTACTTACTCAGCGACCTGACCTGATCTCAGCGCAGGCGATTCTGCGCAATTCCAACTATCTACAGGATATCGGCCTGCCAATCCGATAGAGTTCAAGCTGTTTGGGGAAAGATAGATAGATTCACACATTGTGCTTCCCGATTATTCCCACTTCCCACTCTTACCCACGGCATATCCGAAGACCACTTTACGGGCTGTGTTCTGGGGCCGTTCGAGGGGGCATTGCGTACTGTGTACGGAGTACTGTTTCCGGGGATCCTAAGATTTGGTTGATACACGCTATCGCTATTAGAACAGGTTTGGACCATTCGAGGTATCTACTCGGATTCGGGAGCCGGCATCAATTTGCATTGGGCGGAGGCTTCAAGCAGGGCCGCTATCGCTACGAGAGCAGAGCCATCTTCCGGCACGACTGCACGAGCGCTTGATTGAAAAGTCAGGTGATTATTTGATCACAGGAGGGGCAGTCTGCGAAAGACAAGGCCAGTGAGTTCCACGACTCGGAGCTGGTATCCAAAACAAAAAAAGAAAAGAAAAGGTCACATTCTGCGATAACCCGTGACCGGACTCCCCATTTACGAAAGAGTCGGTGCAGAAAACTACAGTTTACCGAAAGGAAAGGCAGCAGGAATCAAGATGTATCCTCCCACCCCGCTCGCCAAAGGCTTCGATTCAATCGAATCCACCATGGAGGCCTTTCGCAACGGAGAATTCATCGTGGTTCTCGACTCTCAGGACCGTGAGAATGAGGGCGACCTGATCATCGCGGCCGAGGACATGACGACGGAAAAAATGGCATTCATGGTGCGCTATACCAGCGGACTGATCTGTGCGCCCATCACCGCTCAGCAGGCCGCCAACCTGGCACTGCCTCAGATGGTGGTGAACAGCGAGGATCCCAATCGCACGGCCTACACCATTTCGATCGACGCCAACCACGAGACCGTCACCACAGGCATCTCAGCCCATGACCGCGCCCTCACGTGCAGGACTCTAGCCAACCCCAAAGCCACCGTGGCCAGCTTCAGACGTCCAGGCCATGTGTTCCCACTCAGAGCGAAGGATGGAGGCGTCCTTGAACGTACTGGACATACTGAGGCGGCGGTGGAGTTTTGTCGATTGGCGGGTAAAGCCCCAGCGGGTGTTATCTGTGAAATTGTCGAGGATGGAGAGCCCGTTCCAGGCCAAGCGGTCATGAAGGAGCCAGGCATGATGAGGAGAGATGCCTGTCTGGAGTTTGGGCGCAAGTGGGGGCTGAAGGTCTGCACCATTGAGGATTTGGTCGAGTACGTTCAGAAGGAGAAACGGACCGACAAAGCCGTCGATGGGAACAGTGGCAGCGACAAAGCAAATGGCTATCATTGATTGCGCGACAGGGAGACGAGACTTCGTATTGGTAGTAAGGACATGTTAGCATGCTACCGAAGGGTCTTGGTCTATTAAAAAGAAGTTGTCAACCGAGAAAGCGAGACTCAGAGTCGGAAGCCCATGATGATAAACGTCGAGAATGAGGAGATGGAGGGACTGACGAGTTTATGTCATTTATTCATTGATCCAGTGTTTACTACTACACAAAAATGCTAGCTAGCAGCTTCGAGACGACCAGCACTGCTTCACTGGGATATTCATGTCACATGCAGTGGCTGCTGCGGACCACGGGTACTGTGTATTTCCCTAAAGGACCATGTATACCCATTCCTTAATGGCGACTCTTGAGGCCTCCTTGGCCCAAGCCTACGCCTAAGGACCTTTCACTGGCATGCAGTGCTTCATCAATATTCGCCCCCAGGACTCGACTCCCACTAGTATCAGCAGGCCTAAGGCCATGCGCGCTTCAACCAACAGGACCTGATCTGAATGTCCTGCCTCATCTTACCCTTCTTGGTCAGTGGTCACGACGGACGAAGGGAAGGCCCATGCTGCGGCCGGCGAGGTTACAGTACCTGCTGCTGCGGTCGCGGCCCCCAGCCTCAGCCTCACGCTAACAACCACTTGAACCGAAGCGTTCCACGTTCGATCTTCATTGCTGACATGGCCATCGCCATCTGCCATCCCGGGACAGGGACAAGAACAAGCCCCGGCTGCAGGAGACTCGTAGTGAAACGACACTGGTCTATTCTTATGTGTTGTTGTTTGCACCGGCCTCCTCTACGGCTTAGGAGGCTGAGGCGGAGGCTTAGGCCTATTTTCTTCTCCCTGGCACCGCGGTCCGATGGCCCTCTGTCCTCACTTTCTCGAGAAGGGTCTCCCTTGGATACCCAAATCCTTTTCTTCTCGACTCTCATCCTTGTCTCGGAATTTCCCCAGGTAGGGACCATAAAACTTGGATGCCTGGTGGCAGTGGCAGTGGCAGTGGCAGTGGCAGTGGCAGTGGCACGCCTTAGCCTCACTTTCACGAAGCATCAGGACGGACTATCCTCGCTCTCTCCCTCCTTACGCTCGGACATTTGCTCAGTACGGATTTCGGACTCGCTCGGTAGCTGGTTCCGTTGTCAATTGCTTGTTCGTATACTAGGTACTAGGACTAGAGTTGACTTGCTATCTCTATCTCTATCTCTGCCATTCCATTCCTCCCAGTCTCTACATTCTTCGGGCTGTCGGCAAGGATTTGATTCGTTGGGCAGGATTCAAAGAAGCAAGTTGAGCATTGTGCGACAATATCACCGCTAGGACTCCGTACTCCGTACACCGTACAGCATCACCTACGAGTGCTCCAGAGAGATCAAGGTACACCTTCACCTACGAGTGCTCCAGAGAATCAAGGTACACCTTCACCTAGGAGCACTTCAGAGGATTCAGGTCGCACGTTTTCTGGCGAAAGCACCCATTGAAGCCAGGAGAGGGGAGACGGGAGAGGACTCCTCACAGTGGAATATCAACTTGATTACTACTAGTGTTGTCCTGTACAACACACCCCACGCTGCCCATTGAAGCCAGGAGAGGGGAGAAGGGAGAGGACTCCTCGCAGAGGAATATCACTTGATTACTGCAGAGGAATATCAACTTGATTACTGCTAGTGTTGTCCTGTACAACACACCCACGCTGCCCATGACGCCCTCACACCTACTGTCCCGTCAATTTGGCGGACCACCCAACGACCGCGGCTTCACCGACGCCCATCGAGGTTTCTCGACCGCTGCCATTGTCGGCATCGTCCTCACAGCCGTCTTCATTGCCTTGGGCATCTCCATCGTCGTCTTCATCTACTTACGCTCACGGCGCCGCAACGTCGCCTCCCACTCCAATGCCAATCCAAACATACTCCTCCAGTCGCAAGCGTTGTTCAAGAATGGTCAGTCGCAAGCATTGTCCAAGAATGGTCAGTCAGCGTCTTCAACTTCAGCCTCTTACACTCCTCTGCCGGGAAAATCAAACGCCTATGGCGGCAGTGATGGATACCAAGCCACTCCCGACCAGAATCACAGTCTCCTAGGCCACGCAGCCGCACCAGCCATCACTGTGACGTGGGACACGGATCACGACCATGATCATGAGAATGCCGGCATAGGCAGCACGCAGGATGGGTTTGGGTTTGGATATCCGGATGCCACCGCAGCTATTCTACGGCCTATCCAGAGACCGCCGAGCATAGCAAGTCTGGCAGACATCGACACCGCCCCGCCGCCCAGGTACGAAGAAGCCGCAGGATTGTCGTCGGTACGCCGCCCTAGGGCCAGTTCCGAGTCGACAGGCCATGGCCAGGGGCTCGACCTGCTGAATCGGCCGTTTGGCGTGGGCGTGGGTGTGGAGCAACACCAGCAACGAGGACGGGGCGGCCGCGCGTCTGTCGCGAGAGAAAGAAGCGCAAATGAGAGCGGGAGCGGGAACCAGAGTCCGAGAGAAAGAAGCGCAAGTGAGAGCGGGAACGGGAACGGGAACCAGAGTGCTGCGGATATCAACCGCTCAGTCAATGCGGACAGACGGCGGAGCGTGTCGAGGTTTCGCGAGGTCGGAATGGTCGATCTGGATCTGGATCTCGCGGCCAAAATGTGAGTTCGTCTGGGTCTGGGTCTGAGTCTGAGTCCGAGTCCATCTTGTACTGCTTCGCAACGGTATACAGTGGTAGGTATGTTGTTTCGGGACTGCTTTAGGGGAACTGCACTCGCGACAGTGTGGTTGCCGCACAAGCAGATATCAGTTCAGGATGGACGTGGAAGAAAGGGGCCTTGTATTTGTGCATTGCACTGACTACCTATGATTACTAGTTGTCTTCATCGCGCGTTTGGGTATCATTTCGATTAGTATCTTCAACCTCTAGTTAGATAAAAGAAAGCTCGGCTTGCCCTCAATCCGAGGCAAGACCAACGCCACCCCCTGCCTCACAAGGACATACCATGCCGGGGCATACTTCTTGCCAGCCCGGTCAAATGCCAGAGCCCCTACCCCTACGCGCATGGGAAACTGAACCAGGATTCTCTGTGCAAAACCAAACCAACTCCAGGTCTCAGTGTGCTTGGGTCGACCAAATCATTTCCCACCCTGTGGCCTTCTTTCAGAATAATCCCTAAACAAGCCCTGCATATGCACATTGGTAACTTTTTGTCCACGCCGCACTCTCTTCTTCTCTTTCTTGGGCTTGGTTTCCGAATCTGGCCGCGCAGGCTCGCCGGTCGACTTGTGATTCATACGTCGCAGTTCTTTAATCGTGTCTTCGACCGAAGGCAGCGGGATTTGTAACCAGATGTCCTTGAATTCCTGGTCTAGAGGCGCAACGAGCGTGGGGTCGTCGATCCAGACCATGCGTGGATGGTGGTCCTTTTTATTCCGTACCACCAATAGTTTGTGTTCGGCCTCAAGCCGGTCAATCGTCTCTTCAACATCGGTCCAGCCATCCTTCAACTCGCGCACGTTGAGTCCCAGTGCCGAGTCCTGGCTCTGAAGGAACTTGATCAAGTCATCGGCGGACGCGATGTCGTGGAGCGGTTTGAATTTGTAGCTGTCTGTGTCGGGATCATGGCTGACTTTGGGGTTGACTTGCAGAAACCGCCGGAATAGGTTGATCTGTTCTTCAGTGCGTTTCTGCGCCGGCAGCACAAACGCCACCAGGTCGTCCCAACTTATGCTCTCAGGGAACTTCTCCTTCAGCCGGTCGGCCGCGTAAACCACGTTGGTCCGCGCATCGCTACCTGCGAGGGACGTGGGCGTTGCATACAAAGAAGACATTATGGTGGGAACGGCGACGACAAAGGGTCTTGGTCGTGGCCGTGGCCGTAAGTGGGTGGGAAGAGGGTGCCTAGTGAAAGGATCTCTTCCGTTTCCAGCGGAGGACTTTAATGCATGGTGGAAACAAAGGACAAGTCGACGATGGATGACCTGTTACTGACAATGGCGCTGATGTCGAGAGGCGAGTGAAGGTCTGGGGCGTTAAGAGGCGAGCGAGCGAAAGCAAGGGATAGTGAGATGTAAATGTATGTGAACTCTGTAGATGAGGTGGGATGTGAGGTGTAGGGCTGCTGAGTCAAGCAAACTCCAGTTCGAGCTAAATAATTTAGGCTTTTGGCAGCCTAAGGACTGGGAGAGCGCAGGCGAGAAATCCAATGTTACGTATGGCTTAGGGGCTTCTTAGGCTTGAGTGTCTGCCTAGCGCCTAAACCGGCGGCGAATCAAGCCCGCCCAGTCACGTTCTTTTCACTGTTGCTAGTCGCTTGCGATTGTATGTGCCCGCGCTGTCTTCAGTCTGTTTAGATCATCACCAAGACCAAAGACCACCACCAAGACCAAAGACCACCACCCCCTTCCTACCGCTCCCTCCATTACTCTTTTCTCTCTTCGTTTCTCGGGTCTGGCCTTCTTCGCGCCATGGTGAGGGGCGTCGAGAGTGCTTTTGTTCTCACGTGAAAAGCCCTCGCCGTCGTGGGAGGCGTGAGTCTACATTCGCATTCACATTTTCGGTCGAAACAGTCTCTCCCAGTCAGTTGTTCGGACATTCACCATGGCTGCGGAGGTAGATACTCGCGCTCTCTCGGCATTCTCCTCTCTACCTGAACCTTCCATCACGTCTTTGATCGATAGCCCCACGTCAGAGCTCGTCATCTCGTTCCTGCGCAGCATCGAAACCAGAGCCAAGGAATGCGAACAGAACAAATCGCAAAAGATCAAGCTTGAAGTAGAATTGGAAACAGTCGTGAGAACAAGCGAATCTAAAACCAAAGTTCTACAAACTTCGCGGGACAAGGCTCTTGCAGAAGCAAGTAAGCTACGCGTAGAACTCCAGACTGCCGGTATGTGTCTACTCTCTGTCTCTCTTGCTTACCTTTGCCTAACATGTATCTAGAAAATGCACGCTCCAGACTGGACTCCGAGGTCGAGCAACTTCGCTCTGCTACCGCCAACGAAAATGTCGAGATCACCAGTCTCAAATCCCGCATCTCTTCTCTTGAAGCCGCAAACCGAGACACGCTTGTCCTCCTGGAATCGAAGACAAGCGCCTATGAGAGCCTGTCGCAGGATCTCTCTGCGCAACACCAAAAGGCGGTCGAACTTCGCAAGCAGATAACAACACTCGAGCAATCGGTGCAGTCTGCCAATGCCGCCGTCGCTAGTGCCAAGTTCAAGGAGCAGAGTCTTCAGCAAGAGGTGGAAATGTTGAAGAAGAACAACGAATGGCTGGAAAACGAGCGCAAGATCAAAACAGATGAACACGCCCATTTCCGCAAGGAGAAGAACGCTCGCATAGCAGAGCTGTCGAGGTCTAACGAGCAGTACATTTCTGAAGTTGAGGCGTTGCGGCGGTCCGAATCTTCCCTCAAGCATCGCCTGGAAGAGCAGATGACCAAGTTTGAAGAGACTCTGGAAGAAATGCAGAAGGTACGGGAAGAAAAGATCTCTGCAGAGGATGCCTTCCGAGTTGAGCTTCAGAGTGTCAATCGTCTGGCTGAGTTGCAGGCCGCCTCTGCAGAAACAGCCAAACAGCGGGTACAAGAACTGTCTGCTGCCTTGGAAGAGGCTCGTGAGGAAGCCGCCGAAGAGATTGGTACCATTCGCGCCGAAATTGAGACCGAACACAACGACCGCGTTGCTGCTGAGCAGCGCGTTTCTGAGCTTGAAAAGTCTCTGGAACAACTGTCCAGTGAACTCGATGAAGCCCGTGCCAGACCAAGTACACCGCAGCGCCCGACAAATGGATCTGGCATAACCACACCTCTTCGGCCTGGAACACCCAGCGGTATCTTTTCTCCTGCCAGTATCTCTAGGCCGCGGACCCAAATGACCATCACTCAGCTGTTCTCAGAGTACAAGAAGCTTGAGGCGGAATTGGCGAACGAGAAGCGTGTCAGCGAGCAACTGCGAGAGAATCTTGATGCCATGGTTGAGGAGCTCGAAAACAACAAGCCGGAAATTGAAGAACTCCGGACCGACCATGAACGACTTCAAAGCGAGGTCGTGGAAATGTCTGCTATTGTAGACAAAGCGAACGCCGACCGCAATTCGGCGATCAAGGAGTTGAGAACGTGTCAAGGTCAATTGGAGAGCAAGTCTAAAGAAGCTCAAGTCTTGACCCAACAACTCCGAGACATGGGCTCAGAGATTCGATTCCTTCTCATTGAACAACATGTCCGCGAGCAAGGCGGTAATATGACCAAAGAGGAGTTCGACGAGCTGGAGACGCAGGCAAAGGAGGCCATGTCCCAGGATATGGCCAATCTTTCCGAAACTCAACAACTAATCAACCAACGATTGATTGTGTTCAAGAACATCCATGAACTTCAACAGCAGAATGAAAATCAGCTCAAGACGATTCGCAACCTGGTAGGTGAACTTGAAAGCAACGAGGCCAAGGAAAAGGAACAGCAGAACCATGCTCTCAGTCAAGAGCTTGAACAGGCTCGTTCACAGATTGCTTCGTATCAGGACGAGCTCCGGACTATGGTGGCTCAAACACAGAGTTTCGTCAAAGAGAGAGACATGTTCCGGAATATGCTCACAAGGCGCGGTCATCTACCTGGTCAAGTTCAGCCCACCGACTTTTCTCGATCGTTACCCATACCTGCTGGTGGCGGAGAGTCACCGGCAGGATCTGTCACAGGTGGCGAATCCGATTACGCCAAACTGCTCAAAGAACTTCAGCAACACTTTGATTCGTATCGACGGGAGGCGTCTACCGATCACACTGCTTTGAAGAACCAAGTCGATGAATTGAGCAGGAAGAACTCGCAGTTGCAGACCGAGATGAGTCGCACTTTGGGACAGCTTACGGCGGCCAATCAACGATATGAGATGCTGCAGGCAAATTACAACTCTTTGAAGGCGGAAAATGGCGAGATCCAGAAGAGATCGTGGACGGTACTGGAAAATGCTACTAAGCAGGAATTGAAAACTCAACAAGTGGCTGAAGAGCTTGTTGAAGCCCGAGGTCTGCTTGATAGCCTACGCCGTGATTCTGCAAATCTCAAGGCGGAGAAGGATCTGTGGAAGAGTGTGGAAAGACGTTTGGTTGACGACAACGAATCACTTCGAAACGAAAGGAGTCGACTGGACCAGCTGAACGCCACCCTCCAAACGATGATCAACGAGCGCGAGCAGACCGATGCTGAGAGTCGCCGTCGGCTACAGTCACACACAGAAGCCTTGGAATCCGAACTTCAATCTGTCAAGAGAAAACTCAATGACGAGACGGAAGAGAACAAGAAGGCTGCGTTGAGACGAGAATATGAGCACGCGCAAGCCCAAAAGAGGATCGATGATTTGGTTACGAGCCTAGGTGCAACGAAAGAAGAGCTCGCCTCAGCAAAGACGGCTAGAGACCATTTACAAGCTAGAGTGGATGAACTTGCAGTCGAGCTTCGTTCTGCGGAAGAGCGCTTGGAGGTCCTTACCAAGCCGCCAGAGCCTACCAATGAGACCACTGACCAAGAGGAGACGTCCTTGACCAAAGAGCAAGAATTGGCTGTCGAGGTTTCTGAGCTTAAGCGGGACCTTGAACTGAAGGTCTCCGAGCTTGAAAGAGCCAATGAGCAGGTCGAAGTGTACAAGAATATCAGTCAGTCCAGCGAGGAGCGCTTGCAGGAGCTCAGCGAGACGAATGATCAGTACCGGGAAGAGACGGAAGCCGCCCTCGCTGAAAAAGATGCAAAGATCAAGGAGCTCGAACAGCGGATTGAAGAGATTTCTTCAGAGTTGAATACGACGAACACCGAGCTTTCTCAATTGCGCGATGAGCAGGCGGAATTCACACGCAAGATGGACGAACAAAAGTCCAGCTTCGAATCCGAAATTGAGCATATCAAGGAGGAGGTAGAAAAGAACGCAGAACAAGCCCAATTCAATCTTGAAGCCTCCAAAATTCAAGCACAGATTGCCACCGAAGCTCAACAGAATTACGAAAACGAGCTTGTCAGGCACGCAGAAGCCGCTAAGAATCTGCATACGGTTCGGGAAGAAGCCAATCAACTCCGATTGGAGATGGTTGATCTTCGAACCCAGGCTGCGACGTACAAATCGGATCTGGAACAGAAAGCAGCAAGTTGGGAAGAGCTGAAAGAACGGTATGAACGGGAGATCTCCGATTTGAAGAAGCGGCGAGAGGAAGTCGTCCAACAGAACAACCTCTTGCATGGACAGCTGGAAAGCGTCACTCAGCAAATCACCGCCCTGCAACGCGATCGTGCAGCAATAGCAGACGGGGACAACGCCGAAGTCGCTGAACAACCGTCTGCAGAGCTGGACAGATTACAAGAGGTGATTACATATCTGCGCCGTGAGAAGGACATCGTCGATGTTCAGTATCAGTTGTCGCTACAAGAAGCCAAGAGATTGCGGCAACAACTTGATTTCACTCAATCCCAACTGGATGAGACCCGTCTCAAGTTGGATCAGCAGCGCCGTGCCGAGGCTGATGCGGACCGAAGCAAACTGGAACACACGAAACTCATGGAATCTCTCAATGAACTCAACCTCTACCGGGAAAGTAGTGTCACTCTCAGAGCGGAGGCCAAACAGGCCACCCAGGCTCTAGCAGAGAAATCGAAGCGTGTCGAGGAACTTGAAGGCCAGATACAATCCATGCAAGCTCGAGTCTCCGAGCTCGAAAACCTTGTTGAACTTCGTGAAGGGGAGCTGAAATTGAGCCAAGAAGATCGTGATCACTGGCAACAACGTACTCAGAACATCCTGTCCAAGTATGATCGAGTTGATCCTGCTGAGTTGGAAGCACTGAAGGCCAAGGTTACCAGCCTTGAAACAGAACGTGACGAACTCAAGACCGAGCTTGACAAGGTGAAGGAGGAACGCATTGAAGCACAAAGAGCTCTACAAGACCAGGTCAATGCGACACAGTCAGCAGTTGAATTGGCCAAAGGCGATTTGAAAACAAGACTTGAAAACCAATTCAAGGAGGTCCTCAGAAAGAACAGAGCGGTCTTAGGAGAGAGAAAGGCTGAGCTCGATGCAGCACTTGCTGAGAAGGCCGATCTGCAGACAGAGCTTGATTCATTGAAAGAACAGTTGGCTGTTGTTCAAGCACAGAGTCCACCAGCCACAACGCCTCAGGTTAATGGTGAAAATGGTGAGATTGGTGAAAATGAGACTCCCGCCGAAGAACCCACAAACGCTGCTACCACCACCACCACGACAACGACAACGAATGAAAATGTGAGTGAGCTAGAAACTAAGATCAAAGAACTCGAGGGCTCGCTGGCCGAAAAGGAGAAGGAGCTCGAAGAGCTCAAGTCTACACAGGAGGAGAAATTCAAGCACAGAGTGACTTCTATGGAGAAAATCCTCAACAACCGGTTGGCCGAGGTCAAACATCAAGCTCAGGAAGCAAAGAAGGCTGCGCTTGAAGAGCTGACGGAACGACTGAACGCTCAGCACGAGCAGGAACTGGAAGCCTTGAGAGCCGGTTCCATTCCGGTTGCTACAGAACTGCAGAAGCCAAGCGAAGAAGGCACCGAGACATCAATCACTGTCGATCCGGGCCAAATTTCCGACGAGGTGCTGTTGGCGTTACCTGAGGAAAAAGCCAAACTGCTTGTCGCCAAACATGAAGTTTTACGTAGAATCCTGCAAAACAACATCAGAAAACAAGTGGAGAAGGACAGGGAGGCCCTGCGGAAGGAGCTTACTGAACAACTAGGCTCCGGAGTCGACGGAGCTGATACTGCAAAGATCCAAGAACTGGAGCAGAAGTTTGATGCCGAAAAACAAGCTATTATCCAGGCAAAGGAGTCTGAATTCGTTGCCGAGAAAGAGACTCTGCTCCAACAGTATGAAGACAGACTGGCACGAGAAAAGCAAGACTTGATCATCAAACACCAGGAAGAGCTTGACACCCAGAAGCTGCAGTTCGATCAAGAGGCTCAGAAAAAGATTGAAGAGCAGCTCAAGAATGCGGAGCAGATGTGGGAGAAGCGTGGTAATGTCAAGTTCAATATGGCGCAGAGTCGAGCATTATTGGCAACCGCCAAACTTGATGTCGTCAAGAAGGCTGCAGAAGAAACCCCTGAAAAGCCCGTGGGCCAAGTGTGGGATATTGCTAAGGACACCAAACCGCCTGCAGCTCCAAAGCCAGCACCAACCCCGGCTGCTCCAGCAGCGGCACAAACACCAGCGAAGCAAGACACAAAACCAGACGCGAAGCTAGGAAATGACAACAAAGCGAATGGTAACGTTCAGCCTCCGCCCCCTCCTCAGTCTCAGGGTACGGAGAAGCCGGCACAAGCTCAACCACCCACTGTACAAACAGGGTCCAAACCCGCAGAGGCACAAGACACAGAGAAAACAGGCCCCAAACCCGCCCATCAATCGACCGGCGACCCAGCAAACCACTCAGCAGGCCACCCAGCAAACCACCCAGCAAACCCGCAGCAAAAAACTGGAGCGGCCTTGATGCGCCAACTTGAGTCTGGCATACCTCGAGGTGGAGCAATTCGCGGTAACCGTGGCAGTGGAATACCTAGAGGTCGTGGAGCTCCTCGTGGTGGTCGCGGCGGAGCAGGTCATGGTAACACGAACATCCCTCAACAAGGGCGAGGCGGTGGCCTCGGTAGCCCAGGGCGAGGAGCCCTCAATCCTCAAGCAGCTCAATTCACTCCTGGAGGAGGCAATAAGCGAGCTCGTGATGATGGCGAGGGAGCGGATGGGGGTGGCCAGGGCAAGCGAATTCGCGGTGAAGGCGGATCGGCATAGGCTTCGAAGCCTGCCTTGAGACTTGTATTTCTTGTGTATCATGAAGCGGCGACTTGGCCGAAGCACGGTCATGGGAAGGACAACAATTGATGCTTTTTGCATTTCCTTATCCTTATAGGTGTGGGTTCGGGTGAACAAAACGGGACTCTCAGCGACGGAGGATGGACAGGGCCTGATATAGATCAGTGTGCCATGTGCAACAATCCATGAGCTTGCCTTGCGAGCATAATGATCAGATCTAGGAGTACCATGTACTGGTAGACAAGCCATCAAAGACGATACCTTGGTAGAGAAGACGTATGTTCAGTTGTCGGGCGTACTGGTCGGTTTCTTTAAAACAAGGCTGAGATGCCAAGGCTTAGGAGGCCCCAGGAAGGCTGAAATCAGCATGACTCGTGCAGGCATGTGGAGGCAGAGGCGGGAGGGGAGACGGGAGACTACAGGAGGCTAATAAGGCCGCAGGCTACATCCCCTTGAAGTAACATGGCGACTGTTTCTTTATTCTTCCTCGCTCGACTACACGCTGTTTATCTCCTTCATTCTTCCGACGCTTGTGCGAAAGACAATCTCTTCCGTTCAGATTAGATTGCCGTCCATAAGCATCCATCCATCAGCACCAGCATCAGCATCACCACTCATAATCGAGACGGCAAACTGCGGGACAGTTCGACGAACGGCAACTCTATAACCGCACCTCTATAATCGCCCCTCTATTACTACGCCTACGCAGAAGAAAGGGTAGACCAGACACCAGACACCATGGTAGACAAACCGCCCTCTGCCTCTGGCGCTGCGCCGAAGAAAGCGGCCTCATCATCGTCTGCAGCATACATCTCCTCATCAGGACATGTTCTTGAAACGTACGTTTTGGTTAGCTTTTGATTCATTCCCGAGCCACCCCAAAGGCACAGACAAGTCAGCCAGCCGAGTTCCAGAGTTGAACAAACAAGTGGCTGTTGTTTGAAGAAAGAGGAGGAAGAAAGAAGTGACTGTTGTTCGAAGAAAGAGGAGGAAGAAAGAAGTGGCATGAGAAAATTACAAGGAACTGCGGGATGAGAAATTTACAAGTTAACTGCTTTTATAATTGACGAAAGCCAATTTGACTAACGATGGGGGCTTTGTCTCCTGTGTTCTTTAGACCTCCTCTCTCCGCCCGCATCTCTCGCCTCTCCGACAGCATCTACAACTTTATCGGCTTGTATTTCGTGTCGCTGTTCAGTATGGATCCGTACGCCGCCGCCGAGAGGTCGCAGTTCAACACGCGCGCCAGGGGCCCTAACGCGTATCAGGAGAGAGCGCGGTGGGGTGGTGCCAATCGATCTGCGACGGGTGGAAGAGCTGGACCTCCTGGGCGTGGAGTTGGAGGTGGACCTGGACCTGGAAGTGGAAGTGGAAGTGCAGGCAGGAGATTCGGCGGCATCGATGATGTTCGAGAGCCGGAGTGCGGAAGCTGTGGGTGAACATTCACAATTCACAATTCACAGCACAGTTCACAGTGAACTGTGATGAATTGGACTTTCTACACGACGTGATGTCTTTCTCTTCCTGGGGATGGGAAGGAAGGGATGGGAACGGGATCCAATATATCTTCGGGGCTCAAGTCATGGCGAGAACGCGCAAGACAGGGAATCGAGAGGAGCGAAGATATCATGTCATATCATATCATCTTGGACGATGGAAAATGGTGGCTCGATCCATGCCCACGCTCGCGCCCGAAACCGGTTTATTGCATAGGTTCCTACCTAACTACCTACTTACAAAAGGTACCTGCTTACTTCTTGACCGCCAGTGACGAGCAGGGGAGTCTGCGAGAGTATATGTACTATGTTCCCATAATGAGGAATGATTGAAATGTAATGTAAGACATGATAATATTACCGTTGTCGTTGCCGCTGATGCTGATGCTGATGCTGACGCTAACCCTGACCCCTGGCTTGATGTGTTGCCCAACGCACGAGATGTACGGATAAGCTTCGCTTCAATACCGGTGTCCTGTGTAGAGCTGACGCAAAACTACCTAGCTGACCCTAACCCTGTCTCGTCGCCAATGGTTGACATTGACGGTGATGGTGATGGTGACACTGACCGTGGTTCAAGAGGACGGATTGTGTCCCCTCGTCATCCATTAGAAACCATGTAGGGAAACCATCTAACTCTGTAACCCGCAGAATAATTGACATCCTGAAAGACCATAAAAGACCATATAAGACCATATGATACACCTACCAATCCCTTGGAAAGAACCACTCAAACAAACACTTTACGTCTTTCCGGACCCCAAGGCTGTGGCCCGGATCTCGCCCGCAATATCAGCACTGGCCGTCTCAGCTCGTCCTGCTCGTCTCTTCTTCAACACGTTCTCGATGAACGCTTCACCAGCTTTGTAACTGCTCCGGACCAAGGGGCCACTGGCGACGTACAGGAATCCCATCTCGAGAGACCGGACTCTCCACTGCTCAAACACGTCAGGTGTCACGTAGTCATGTACAGGCATATGTCGCTTCGTCGGCCGCATGTATTGGCCAAAGGTCACGACATCCACGTCGACGGCGCGCAGTTCACGCAGAGCGGCCCAGATCTGTTCTTCCGTCTCGCCCAGTCCCAGCATGATGGATGTCTTGGTGATAAGACCTGGCTTCGCTTCCTTGGCGGCCTTCAACACGCTGAGAGACTGGCGGAACGATGCACGGCGGTCACGGACTTGAGGGGTCAGGGCCTCGACGGTCTCGATGTTGTGCGCGTACACGTCCAATCCTGAGGTGGCGACGACTTTCACCATCTCCAGATCGCCAGCGTAATCACTGGTAAGACACTCGACCAAAATCGCCGGGGCCTTTGATTTGATCTTGCGGACAGTCTCGGCAAAATGGTGAGCACCGCCGTCTGCCAAGTCATCGCGATCCACGCTCGTCAGAACCACGTATCCCAACCCCCATCGCGACAGGGCCTCGGCTGTATGTTCCGGCTCATGAGGGTCCAAGGGCGCTGGATTCTTGGATGTAGCCACGCTGCAAAATCGACAGCCTCGCGTACACGTGTCGCCCATGAGCATGATTGTCGCTGTCGCAGCCGACTTGCTGCTCCCGCCCCAACAGTCGGAAATATTCGGGCATCGCGCCTCTTCGCATACGGTGTGCAAGTTCAACCCTCGTAGATCATTCTTGATTTTTTTATACGACGAACTGTCCGGGATCGGAGTTTTCAGCCATGGCGGTAGCCGGGTGATGACTTTCTTCTTTCCCTCTGGCCCAACCAGGGCAGTTTTCAGAGCGTAGGCCTCCGAAGGATCTAAAGGAGGCTCGTTTCCAGAAACAAAGTCGGAAAATGCTGGCCCGTTGTTGAGTTTGTCAGCGAAGGTAGTGGTTCTGATCCGAGGTTTGGTGGTGGGAAGTTCGTCGCTCGTGGTGGCAAAGGACCGGGTTGAAATTGAAGTGGAGGTCCAGGAGGTAGCATAGGGTAAGAAGACCTTAAAGGGAGACGACCACGGATGGCCATTGAGGCAACGGTGACGAGTAGCCGTTGCGGCCATTGCTGATGAGCTGCTGGGGGGTGGTATTGAGATGGTGGGATGAGTGGTGAGAAGAGGAATTAAATGTACGGGGAATCGGGGAATCGTATGCGTCAATGATATTCACCCAAATGGCGATGACAATGATTAGCGACGGCTGGCATCGGACATCTTTGCGGGAGACAAGTACTCCGTAGAGCGAGGTCTGCTAAAGCAGCGTGATAAATATTCACCTTGTGCATGAGACGCTCATGTCAGCAGTGCTATGCAAGGGTGATGTGGACGACAGGTAGTGGTCCAAAGGTCAGGGGCCCCCTGGAACAAGATGCTTGTGGCAGTCTTCACGCTATTACTGTGTAACTGTGCTGCAGTAGTCGCCTAATCTGAATCAGGTGAGGCAGTCAATGAGAACCCATAGAGCCATTCAAGTTGCTATTACGCTGAGACGATGAGATGCCGAACGCCCACATACTTCTGTCAGTTCTAGGAACGATCCGCCCGGAAACAGCTGCAGTTTGGAACTCCTAAACGCCTCCCAGTCCAGAGCCTTTCCTCGCCTCAGCGCCGCTGCATAAAATCGTCAGTGAAAAGAGATGTGTTGTGCGTCACAGACCATCTATCATCTGCATCCGGACTCCCTGTCCTTCCTCGTATCATTCATGGTTCAGCAATATCCTCCCGTCCAGTCATGAATCTGGCACTTGCCCTGATCAGGGTCTTCAGAATGTCATATTCAGCCTCATCACGAGGAGCGTAAACAAGCAGAAAGGTGTCTCCAATGCTCCACAAGTACTTCCTCCAGCCGAACCACCAGGGCTGAGTCCTCGCACATCGATGCCGCTCAGCCCAGCCTTTGTCGATGATAACCTTGGCGTCCGCTGGTGAAAAGTACAGATGAAGAGATGTCTCACCATGAAGGTGGCCTATTTCACCTCCTGATCTGATAGCCGTTTCCGGGAGACTTTCGGGGTTGGAAAGAAGAAGAATCTGATGGACAAATAGTGCAACATGGTGTCTCTCAAACGCAGAAAGCCGTTGCTGCAATAACTTGGAATTGTTTTGTTCGGCGGTTGCGAAGAGAGATGATACACGCTGGCAAAGTTAGCTAAATATAGCAGGTCTATGGTGAGTCGGTGACCGTATTGGTTCCGCCAGGTCGACTGCTAAATGTTCCCCAAACTCACCTTGTTCATTTCTGGCCCAGGGCTTTGAGTAAATTGTCTCTGTGGAGCAATTCCCAATACCACCGGTCGTTCCCCAGCACGCTCCGGTAGTGCCTCTATTTCTTTGTGACACCCAAAGTCCGGGTAATCTCCAGTCCAGGTCGTGTCATCAGCAGCCAGCGTAAATGGTCTGACAAGGAAAGAAGTGAGTATCCAACCCCAGATGTTGTATGGAGGACCACCAGGCCCCAACGACATGTAGAGACGATAGTCTTGCACACACCAGTAGACAAGGCTGATGAGAGCGACCATGAGTGTGGTGACCAAGAGAATCGACGGTATTGAGAGAGATGAGGCCATGGGCTGAGGAGGCTCGGTGACATTGGGAAGATTGTACAGATCCATGGTGGACAATGAACAAAATGGAAGTAGTGTCTGGAACGACAGACAAACAGAGGAAGAGAGGGAGAAGAGCTGAAGAGGTACTTCTTCAAAGACACGAAGACAAGAGCGGTGTGATTTTCACCTAGGTGTGAAGAGCAGTTACCTCAGAAAAAGATCATCCTAAGCATGTGGCTTGACGAGAGAGGTCGCAAGTTGCACACAAATCCGACTAAACTGACGTATCGGATGACATGCCGCTGAGCAGAGTGCCCAAGGAAGGAGCGGTAGACCATGGAAACAGGTACGATTGAATAGGTCATACTACTATCAAATGATGGGAGAGGCTACTGGAAAGCCACTCGTTTTTGTTGGCTCGACGTAAATGCCTTGTGTTCTGCTGCACGTGGTCACTTGAGCACAGCTGGGTTTTCGGACCTATCTCAGAAGCAGTGCATATATCAAGCCTCCTAAGCCCTTGCCCTTGCGCGGGGGTTGGGCCGGCAGGGTCCATCGAGCAATGGCCCATGTGGGATGTGTCATAGCCTGACCAGGACTACCCCCGGACTTGTGTCTTCTTCGGCGTCGTCCTCAATGGACTGCATCTTGCTCTGGTCTAGATAGATCTGGATCTCTATGAAGTTCCGATTCAGGACGCGGGAGGCTTTTTGCAATGCTCGAAGAACGTCGTTGATGACATAGGCCATCCACTGTCCAGACGATCCTGGTGGGAACTGGTTTCCGGGGGCAGCCGGGCCCTGAGAGCCAGGCACAGCAGGTACCAGTTGCTGCAGCTAAAGATGACGCGGGATTCGACGTGGGATGTTGGGAGGGATGAGGGACGACATCGAATGGCATGCATGGGATTCGACGTTGTAAAGCTTTGGTGCTCTGTCGTCACACCGTCCCCTGGCGCTCTGTGCGCTCAAATCCTCTTGGTCCAAGCAAGCCAGTTGACCACTCACATCGCTCGCGATGGGGAGGACAGGCAGGGTGAGGCGACCGTAGATCGAGATAACTGCCCGACACACTTTCTGTTAGCCACGATTGTTGCATTAGTCAGGATTGACGAAAGCCAAAGACTTTGCCTCAAGGGTCAGGTGGCCTGGCCGTGTGCAAGATTGGAAACCGGATCCCGGTTGGTTGGAATAGAGAGGCACATTATTGTTCTATCGTGAGTTTGACCGGTTTCGAGCCTTTGACAAGATTGAAGATAATAGTAGATAGTCAAATTACAGAGTTACTCTAAAGGTAGGTAGGTAATTAACAGACTCGTGTTCCAGGAATAGATCAAGGGTGGCAACCTAAGTCACGGAGTACGGAGTACGGATTATGTCGCCTGCGGAAAGCACCAAGAATCGGGGGCACCAAGTCTACGTCTTTCAGTCACACAAGAGTCGAGCATAGAAACAGTAACAGCCACCTACAGCTAATTGGTACAGTAGGTAGGATCCAATAATGAGGCTGAAATATCTTGGAACAGCAGACATCATGAGACTCAGGCATTCTTGGAGGGGTTTGCAGCTGAGGTGGCATCGGCGAAACTGTTGTTCCCCTCCGGCGGACGCAGCCGCAGCCGCAGCCACAGCCGCAGCATGCGCCTCAGCTCCCTTACCTGTACGGAGTATGCCTGGTAGTTCTGTAAGTTGCCCTCAGCTCCAACATCACCACCTAGGTGCCACCCGGAGAGCATAGTACATTATTTCTGCTGTCAACATCGTTGTCGCGCTTCTTGTCTTCTCCCTCTAATACTCCGTCCTGCCCGCTGATCCCTCGCCATAAATAAATTATTGCAGCGTGCCTCAGGCAGGCGTATTCTACCAGACAATATCGCGCATACCTATAATCGGCCTGTCTGCTGCGTCATCCGCCTGAGCCGAGACAAAGTCACGGGTATCTTAGACAGACCTTGTTCGAGATCTTTTCCCGGCGCAGTCCCGGATCTCTACCACTCACATTGCTGTTCGACAACTACAATCTATCAGAACACTCTTGACTTCTCCCACTCATTTGCCAATAATAGCCTTGCGCAGTCAATCCACCGCCTTTACCCCTCGTCTCTCTGGCCACATCGGAAACGATTTATTCGTCTCCACTCCCCTTACTGCTCCACTGTCGACGCCGCGTTCGACATTTCGAACACCACATTTTCTCTTGGACTCAATCATCAACACTCGCCGCACATACATATCAAATTGATGTTCTGATCGAGCGTACGAGCAGTTTTCGTTCGCCTTGGTCGAGCATCTTTCACCGTGGCTTCCCCAAGTCTCCCGGCTTGGTTCTCTGAGCTCCCGCAGAATATCTCCGGCCTGATCCAACCGTTACTACAACATCTGCCTACCGACGTCCACGATACCCTCAATACCGTACTTACAGACTACTCAACCGCGTCCTACACCACCGTCACCGCTGTCCTCCTTTCTCTCATCTTCCTCCTTTACCGCTCTCTGATGAGCGCTTACGGCAATTACACGACCTCGGGTGGTGGTCGTGGCGGCGGTTCCCCTTACACCAGCAATCTCGTCGATCCTTACGCCCGGAACCTCTCCAATCACTTCGAATATATAGATGCCGACCATGGAATCCTACAAGATACACACCGCCCTTCGGTAGCAAAGGGACATTCCGACATCGATGATCCAGATGCTCCCGATGTTATTCGTGTGCGATACATGGCCACACTCCTCCCCGTGGAGTTTCCCCCATATTCCATTAGTGAAGGGAAAGCCTTCGTCAGCCAGCTGCGAAACGCCGTCGCTCAGTGGCTCCAGACCGACCCCAGAAGAGTGAGATTGGTTTACAAGAAGCGTGACCTGAAACACGATTCCTGGCCGCTGAGAAAGTACGATCTTAAACAGAATAGTGAGGTGGCAGCTATCAAAACAGAAAGTGTTCTCGACTATAGCGATAGGGAGAGTCATTCATCCAGCGGAGAAGATAACGTGGCGCCTTCCAATCAGAACCCCCGGCGCCGGCCTCGAGCATTGTCATCGATCAGACACCGTAGCAATGACCAAATACCATCCCCCAGAACCCCAACTACCTCGCAGTTCCTTTCCCCAAATGGCCACATCCCTTCAGGGACCGCATCGGAACGGCAGTCTCGTGGCAGTCTCAGGCCAGAGTCGGACGACCGTTCCTACCGACGGGAACCATCGCGGACTCGAGGAACGTCGCCTCACCCAACCCCTAGCTCAACACCAGCACCTTCAATCCGCACCGCAGATCCGAATACGCCGTTGGGAAAACTTCAGACGCTTTCAGATGTGTTTCATGAAGACTGGCTTCCTCTCTGCCGCAGATTTGTCTCCAACCCCCCCTCTGATCTTGCGGCTAGGGAAAAAGAACACCGGAAATTGAGCGAAAGTGTAATGCAACATGTTATTCTCAAAGCCGATGCCATTGATGTGGATGATTCCGAGACTCGCGCTTTCAGAAAGAAGTTGGTCAATGAAGTCTATGAAACCATGAAGAGCATAGATGCTGTGACCAAGAGATGATCTGAGTTTTATGCTGAATTAGTATTTCCAAGGGGCAGGCAGAGAAAAGTGTGGTTGGTTCGGCGTTGCGTGGCTACGCGCAAATGCTTGGTGATTTTGAGAGGTGCATTTCTTGGAGTTGGATCACAGCGATAGATGGAGCTGAGAGCATGGCCCCTTCGGTAGTGTTGGACACGTGTTGAGCCGTGCAGAGCATTGAGCTGTAAATGTTACGAGGCGGATGCGTCTGTAGAGGTGGTTGTTACAGGCAATGTGTACAATGGACAACAGGAGTCGCCGGGTGCACTCCCAATATATCTTTTTACTCTACGTGATACTTCCTCCGTGCACTCTCGGATGTTGAGATATGTGGAAGTTAACAGAGTGCCATGGCACCACAGTAATTACTACTACTGTGCTAATTACTGCGTAGGACTAACGAGTAGCAAACAGCATAGAGACCCATCCATGTTGCGTCATATTACTTGTATATCTTGACGTCTATCCTCCTTATACCTACCTCCTCGTACCTAAGACAACCGGCAGAGCTCTCCGTACTGAGAACCAACATCAACCATCCTCCATTTTCTGACGGTCAACTGTCCGTAGCCTGCGAAAAAAGTTTATTCACCATCCCCCATCACAGGCCGGGGAGAGCGAGATAGGAAAGGGAGGGTGCCTGAGCCCTGGTGCACGGTCTCCGCTCGGCAGTCCCAACAGACCCTTCAAGGCCAGCCGAACCGAAGTCAACCGTCAGTGACAGACGGTTGAGCAAGCATGCCAGACTCCAATGGCGGCAGAACGGCTGTCGACCGTGACATTGGCCGGCGGATACCCACATCAAAAGCCAGCACCGCGCCGTCCTTACCTGAAATCAGCGGAGGGCCGACGTTCAGTGAGAGCGTGGACGAGGCGTTGAAGGGGTCGGAAGGGAAGGCTAGGGACAAAGCGTGGAGGGTTGACGGTTCCGTCAAAGTCGATGCAGTGAAGCCCGAGGGTGAGGGTGAGGATTTACATCCGAAAGCGGCCGCTAAGCAGCCATGAAGGAAGCAGCCAGCCGTCTACTCCAGGGTGGTCCAGGGCTGTTCCAGGGTTGGGTGGGTGAATGCATCATTGCAACGGTATTGTCTAAAATGGTCCCAGAGATTTCATGTTGGATGGGTTTGGAAAACGCCTTTCACAAAATAGGCTAAGGCATGTCTTACTGAGAGAACAGTAGTACAGTATTTACCAAAACCCTAAAATGATACGGTTTCGTTTTCACGACCTTGTACTGCTGCTTCCATGCTGTTGGCTTCACCATCGCAGCCAGTAGTCAATCTCGCGCGATCCCGGTGTGATGTCTGTCCAGCCTGGCTCGCTTACTGCAATTATGTCTTTTCTTGTCATCTTTCCTCGACTTCACTGGATCCGTACATGCGTTGTTGCCGAATCAACCCATTGAGTACTACTCCATCTTAATGGCGCCAGCCAGATATCCATCTCGGTAGATACTGCTTCGCCAAATCTCGTGAGACGTCCTATGTCAGTGACAAGGGGCACAACAGCAAAGATATGGGCTCAACATGACTCAAAGCGCTTAAGCCTTGTTGCAGCTAGAAAGTTGTATTGAGGATCATTAATGGGTATGGAGTCTGGACTCTGAACGCTCTCAACGCTACCTCTATACTATGTACGGATACTATGTTAGTACCATGTATCGCGGGTATCGGGCCGGTAGAACCCAAACAAAACAAGAGTCAGATCGCCTGAACACGGGGAGTTGCCATCTCCACATGGAATGGAAATGGTCAGGCTAGTGGACGGAGATAGGAAATAGTATCACGGTGTTTCACATGACGCTAGAACAACAACGTGTATTCTTGACCAAACCTACCAAATGTTCATATATTCTGTCACGGACAACCTCTTCGTGGTACGTCGCAGCCTGGTGGGAAGTAAGAAATGAGACAACAGAGCTGTTTCCCGCAGCATGGCATCGAGTATGAACATGACATGAGGATGCCGAGTGGGCGATAAGGGCAGATATTGTTGATGACTTGGAAAGTAGGAAGCGCCAGCAGAGAGTGCCGTAATGCTAGCACCACCTAGGGAGATCGCTAGAAAGACGAGAAAGGGGAATTGGTATGATCATGACCTTCCTCTGGTGATGAATTTCATGGCACCTCCCAGTTTCGCGACCTTCACAACATCGCGTAGTGTCAGGCTGATTCGTGTCTGCCTCCTGATTCTGCCAGACTCGTACAAGTCTCCATCCCCCAGAAGATCCCAGTTGACGATGTTGTGCCGGTTGAGGTTTTCGTCCGTCTCTATTTCGGATATTCCGTGCAGGGTGTGCACATACATGTCGCCGGTGGTGACAAGCAGGCTTCGAGGCTCCTGCAAGATGCGCCAGGTGGGCTTCGCTTCCCGCTCACCCTGTTCGGTTTTCTGGTAGATCTCTAGAACAGTATGGCTGCCCAAGCTGACTGTAGCAGTAATCGGACTGTACGCTGGACCATCCTCGTGAGGCATGATTCCTTCCCCGGGCCTGTATTCATTGATGAGGACATGATTGGGAGCTCGGTGGGGGGACTCTTCAAAGAACTTTTGGTCCTTGAGCCGGGCCACGATAGGGTCGAGGTAGGTAGGCAAAGGTGCATCAACCAGGATGTCGTGAGAAGAGCCGGTCAGGTTCGAGGGAAGAGATAGGAGTCTTCGGTGAGCCAGTGCAGTCCATCGCGACTCAGGCAGTCTGCGGATGTCTTTGATGATCTGCTCTTCCTCGGCGGGAGAAATGAAACTGTGGAAGTAGTAGCACGAGGGTGGAAGACCTTCTATGGGAGCAACAGTCATGTCTCTCAATAGATGTGCATTCGAAGGCCCACACCGGACGGCTTAGAGGAGATTCATAGGATCGCTCGTTTGGGATTCTTTTCATTCCGTGATATCGATCTGGCACTGTGATTCACCGTATTCAGAGTAGTTACCTAGGTAGGTACCTATACAGTAAGGGGAAATGATTCTACCACCTCGCTATTCTGTACCTACGTCTGTACGGAGTATTGTGTCCTACTAGAATTGCATATAACTAGTTTCGGATCCGTACCGTCTTGTGCAACGGTTTGCGTGGTTGACACCCCTCTACAGGAACCTGGTGCTGCAATAATGGGTCGAGGCTTGGTCCCTTGAACCTGCAGCGCGTCATGACTTTACAAGTCCGCCTAAGCCTCGCGCCGCATGGGTTTCTTTTGTATCTCTGCCAACAAGTCTACTTCTATTGACACCTTTTTGGCTGCAATGACCTACCAATATGTGTCCCTCTATCGCCAAACTTTGGCAGAGCGTCAAACGCGATATAATGCTGCGATAGCATCTGGCCAATCCACCCCCTTTCTTTACCCGTGGGATACCTTGCCGGCCCTATATCTTCTCATTGCAATAGCGGTGACTCCACGGATTCCACCAGCGCGGGCCAAGGCTATCCGATACATCTCCTTCCTTCTCGTGCTCCTACACTCCGCTTATATTGTTTCTCACCGACGCACGCTTTCGTTTGCCAGTGGGTATATGGTGGGAATAGCCAACGCCTGGGGCGTCATTATGTCCGCTGCTCTTCTCGTCTTCAATGACGTCGCGAAAGATTTCAACAGATTGGAAACTAGACCAGTCGAATTGGCAGGCACGGGCAGTTGCCAAGATGGGGTTGTGGCTACATCTGCTGTGGACCTTGCTTCCTCTATCGACCTGACTATGCGAAAAGTCCCAGGATTGTCTTCTTCGATGGGCACAAAGCAGCTCTCCTCCGTGAGGGCTGACAAGCTCTCTACGCGGCCATACAAACTGGTGTGGCAAGGCTATCCTCTCCGCTCAGACTGGTCACATGTCGTTGACTGGGCGGCGGACCTGATCACGAACTTCCGCGGCGTGAATTGGAACCATCGAATTCCAACACTGGGGAAAGTCGATGCTCCAGTCCCGTCAATGCCACAAAAGCAGACCTCGACCGTCAGCGTGGAAGCCGAGAGCAGGCCAACTGCGGTACCGCCACAGACTCTACGATCACTCCAGCTTCGGAGCCTCCAATACTTCAGCGTCACCTACGTCTTGCTAGACTTCCTGAAAACGACAATGATGACAGATCCTTACTTTCTTGGATTAGAACCATTGGAATCGCCCACACCATGGCCGTGGCTTGCCCGGCTGAACCATCACATTCCCGTTGCAACGCGTTGTGTCCGGCTATTGACGTCTATGGCAGGGGTCGTCACAGCGCTGACCTTCATCTTCACTCTGAGCCCTCTCTTCTTTGCCTCTATCCTACCAGCCTTTATGGACGTCTCGAAGATCACTAGGTCACCGCTCCTAGAACCTTGCATGTATCCGCCTCAATGGCACCCACTCGCAGAATCTCTGTTCCATTCTGGTCTGGCTGGCTTTTGGGGCAATTTTTGGCACCAGATGTTTCGGTTTGGATTCTCAGAACCGTCACGAGTGTTGATCGAAAGACTCGACATTGAGCGGCGGGGGGATGCTGCGCGAACTATCCAACTTGTAGTAGCATTTTTCTTGTCGGGTTCAATTCATGCTGCGGGAAGCTACACTACGTTCTCGCTCGAGACTTCGCACCCATTTTCGGGATCATTCCTCTTCTTTTTTGCCCAAGGGTGTGGTATATTGCTACAATCATGGCTGGTCAGGCTCATATTCCAATACGTTCCTCAAATTAAATCACTCCCGCAAGTCGTCCGGCAGACAACGAATCTTGTGTTTGCCGGGCTTTATCTTTACTTCACCGGTCCACTTCTGACCAGCGACATCGCCCGTTGCGGAGTGTGGTTATTCGAGCCTGTTCCAATCAGTCCACTTCGAGGACTAGGTTGGGGACCGGGTGGGAAGGATGAGGGGTGGTGGGCGTGGTATCAGGAAGGATCGAAGTGGATAGGTTGGTGGCCGGGCGATCACTGGTGGCAGAGAGGGATGGCGATTTATTAGAACGCAGCAGGATATCGGTAGACGATATGTCGAGTGACTAAGAGACCGGGCATCTCAGATGTCAAGTCTTGCGATGTAGCAGGGATAGTAAGCGGTGTTTGTGAGTTGGGGGTTTGCCTGCGCCTCGAGGAAATATTGTGATAGGTGATGTCACCGGCGCCGGACTCGCCGCTCGCTCTGCGCGTTGCTTGGATTTGCACTCTGTTGCTTGAAGACTCTCCTGAATCCGTCCCCAGACACTTGATAGTACTCAGAACCATCACAATCATCTAAAGATCTCACATCTGCACACATCCTTCGATTATTGATTTGAGGACGAGTACTCCGTACTCCGTAAACAGACGGGCTGAGCTCCCGGGCAGTCCCACACCCACGCTAAACGGCCCAAGCGGTGCGCTCCTCAGCGTCTAAGGCAGTCCGAACGACGGAACCTTGTTAAAGCTCGACCGCTAGATCTGGAGACGGGGACTGCAGACCCTGCTGCCAGTGCCTCCCTAGCCCTGTGCTTTTCCACCAGGGCAAGAGTCCAAGAGTCCAAGCACGCCCCAAGGCGCTCCTCTTCGCCGTTTCAGTTCGTGCCACACCCTACATTCTCACGTCTGTCAGCCACGAGAATCGCGACACTCGATCCTGCATGCACGTCATCTCCACGAACCTCCATCTTTTGCTGCCATCACTCTCCAGGTCGCAACCCCCAGCTCTGCACAACAGGCTTTGTCGCGCTACCCTATCCAGTCCTTTGCGCGCTGGGTGGATTGTGCGCGCCTGTTTCGGGCTATCCACTGTTTGTCCTCGCCCAGCCGTGCGTGACTTGCAAATCCTCCCGAGCCCACCCCGCGCCACCTATTCTGTATCACGAGAGCCAACATCACCTGCGCATCTCGTCATTCTCGAACTAAGTCAGCAAACGGGTTCGCCGCTGCTCCCTTGCTGATGTCCATTCGTTGTTCCCGCTTCCTCCGTCATGGCAATGCTTGCGCCGCTTGCCAACGAGAAGAAGAGAGTCAAGGTGTATGAGCTGCGCGAAAATGACTGGTTTGATAGAGGGACCGGTTTTTGCACCGGGCAGGTTATTAATGTACGTTCCGCGCCATGTCGGCTCTATCCCATCGCATCGCCATATATTCTCCGCAGGAAGAGCAGCATGCTGATACTTTGATATGCAGGATGAACCGCGCATCTACGTCGAGTCGGAAGACCAACCCGAGCGCATGTTGCTTGAGACCAGGATAGTGAAGGATGACGGTTACCAAAAACAACAAGGTCAACATTACAAATGGACGTATTGTGCGGATGGTGTGGCTGACGCGTTACAGACACTTTGATTGTGTGGACCGAGGGTAGCGGGACCGACATGGCGCTCAGCTTCCAAGAAGCCGAAGGCTGCGCGGTGATATGGTACGTGCAAAGATGTGCAGTGGAATGCGAGGTGCTGATTTGGATCAAGGGAGTTCGTACAGCAAGTCCAGCAACAGTTGCTCTCTCTACCAGGTGAGACTGTCGACAAGCCGGTTTCCCCAGATCGATTTACTCATGCATTGACAGACGACGGACTCTCAGACGATGCGCTTGACAACATATCCACTTCTTTCACCCTCAATCCGCCCGAATTGAGCAACCTTGACGAAATCGAAGCCAACATAAGGCAGGCGAGCCTTACGCAAGGCGGTCGTGAAGCGATGGCGAAGTTTCTGATAAGAGAAGAATATCTGCTCAAGTTAATACCACTGGTGGAAATGGCAGAAGACCTCGAGAGTTTACCAGACTTGCACCGGCTCTGCAATATCATGAAAGCTCTGATCCTGATGAACGACAACACGATTATCGAGCACCTCGTCACCGATGAGATTATCATTGGTGTGGTGGGAGCACTCGAGTACGACCCCGATTTCCCAACTCACAAGGCTAATCACCGGCAATACCTCTCGGACGAGTCAAGATACAAGGAGGTCGTGGAGATCAAAGACCAAAACATCAAGCGGAAGATCAGACAGACATGGCGATTGCAATATCTCAAGGATGTCGTGCTGGCGCGAATCCTGGATGACCCTACATTTGGCGTCCTAAACTCCCTCATCTTCTTTAATCAAGTCGACATTGTACAACATCTACAAAACAACACGCCCTTCCTGAAGGAACTCTTCGCGATCTTTGGTGCGGACAACAAGGACACCAAGCGGAAAGAACAGGCCGTACATTTTCTGCAGCAGTGTGCTGCTATCGCCAAAACCCTGCAGATGCAGGCTCGGGCGAATCTGTTAAACAATTTCATCGCCCACGGCCTTTTTGCTGTCATCGCCTTTGCGGTGAAGCATCCTTCGGCGTCGATGCGAACAACGGGAATTGATATTCTTGTGGCCCTACTTGATCATGATCCCAACATGATGAGGGGCTACATGCTCAATGCCGTTCACGAGAAGAAGATCCCGTTGACAGATACTCTTATCGACTTGCTGCATGCCGAGACAGACCTTGGTGTTAAGAACCAGTTGGCGGACGCGATCAAGATCTTACTGGATCCTCTGCCTCCTTCCAGCGACCCAATGGGCAATAGGCAGAACTCCGAATTCATGACCAAGCTCTCGAGGCCACCACACATGACTCAAGCTCAGCAACAGAACGAGCAATTTGCACAGGATAATTTTGATCGATCGTGCCGCAAACTCTTCGCCCCTTTGAAAGAGCTTGAATCTCGAGACTCGATGCAGAACTTTTCCTACCAGGAGGTATCATTGTTCTCATATCTGGTGGAAATACTGACCTTTTTCATCCGACAACATTCGATAAGAAGTCGTCCCTTTATATTATCCGAAAACCTGGCTCCGCGGGTGGCTCAACTGCTCCTGGTATCGCAAAAACCACTGAAACTTACGGCTCTGAAATTCTTCCGTACGGCAATCACGCTGCAAGACCAGTTCTACGCTGCCCAGGTCATCAAAAGCGGGGCCTTTGATGCAATTTTGGGCATTGTCATCGACACTATGCCCAGGGATAATCTCCTAAACTCGGCATGCCTGGAATTGTTCGAGTTCATCCGCAAGGAAACAATCAAGCCAATAATCATCCATCTTGGAGAGACGTATCGGCAGAAACTCCAGGAGATTACCTACGTCGACACCTTTGAGAGTCTTTTGATGAGATACGAGCAACTGACAAGCGAGCACCCCGCGCCAGAACACACCCTTTTCAGCCAGGATGATGCAACCCCGCCAATGACTCGGTCCAACGTGAGTGGACGATGGCAAGGGCTCCCAGAAATGGACGCAAACGAAGAGGATTATTTCAACACGTCAGATGACGATGAGGACGACCAAGACGAAGGGCCCGAGCGCGAGTCTAGGAAGGATGTTTCTGAGCGCATGCAGTGGCATCGCAGGAGAATCAAGGCTGAAATTATGAACGGCGGAGCTTCTCCGCTGAGCAAACCTTTGGTGGACTACCCTGATGACGACGAAGACGAAGTTATGGACATCAAGGCCGCGTCAACACCGCAGACCCCACTGACCCCAGATAGTGGCAGGGAAACTTCGCCTCCTGAGGCCAGAACTGTCGCAGAAAGGAAGCTACAGCCGTCACCCGACATCAAGTCGGCTGTACAGTCGGACCTGCAGCAGCCTCCAGAACGAGTGACGGAAAAGAGGCGAAGGCAAGAAGATGACGATGATGACGAACTAGGTAAATTGTCCAGCGGACCAAAGCGAAGAAATTCGGTTAGCAGCACATCAAGCCTAGCCTCTCAAGCATCTTTGCGGCGGAAGAAGGGGTTTTTACGATCGAAGCAAGCGGGCGAACATACCTTAGTGTCGAGCCACGTTGATACAGAAAACCACGTTGAAGGCCGGAAACCGCGCAAGATCGCAATCAGCCTATCGAACATCACAAACAAAGATGACAATCCGCCGACCGACCAGAAGGTGCTAAACAAGCATGCTGTCGCCACCGAAGAGGAGGGTTAGGAAAAGACGCCGGACTTGCGACATGTTCTCATTACGGCGATGGTGTTGGGGATGTCTAATTTTGTACCATGTACGTTGCCTGGAGCGGACTCCGGGAGGGGGAGTTCTGACTCGGACAATGTCTTTGGACGACGGCGTTGGCTGTTCAGCCAGCCCAATGGGGGAATCTAGAGGCTGTCTGTCTCAGGGGCGACGGGGGATTGTGACCAGTGCCCGAGGATCGGCTAGTTTCACCTTGTGACTAGTGGCACGAAAGACTTTTGCGTGCCGACTTGAAACATAGGACGAGGCTGCCCTTGACTGGTGGTCTGACAACAGGCAGCATCCTGAACGAAGATGGATTGCAAGCCACAATAGACTCGGAAGTCACAGTTTAGCTCGGCATTGTGCCTGATAAGTCGTTGCTAATAGCGAATGCTGTGAAAGGCATTGCACGCCAGAATTCCCAACAAGACCCCAACATCGCATGTGACTAGAAGCACAGCGCTCCATGAACGTTGTGGAATAGGTGGCTCGGTTCACGCCTCTACAAGAAGCTACCACTACTGTGATCGAAGCACTCCGTCCGCGGCAATTTGGCGAGCTTATGTGTGACCGTAACCCTCCTGGACAGATAGGATACGAGCCTTAGCCCCTTCAGCCTCACGAAAAAAGCTGCCAAACATACCAAGGAGATTTGTTGGGTTTGCTTTCCGTACTCCGCCTATATCCGGATACCTATGCATAGTACGGGGTGATATTACTACTAATCACATTGACTGGGACATGGCCGACTTGAGTGAGTCATTCATTCGTTGACACCAGACTTGATTCTTGTTGCCTCTGCGGTCCCGAAGCTTTCCCTACTACTTACTGTCCTAATATCTATCTATCTCCTACCCCTGTCCAGCGGTGTTGGAGACGTGAGGGAACAAGATTCGTCTTTTATTTCTTAAAAAAGAGTGAGATCTCAGGAGAGATTAGTTGATTAGCACACTAGATCGACTGGCTTCTCTCTCCCGAGCCCGTCTCGACAACCCCAGGGAAATCGGATTCATTTCGCAGGCTCACTCTCGGCCTTCCTTCAAGTCGCCGACCATGAGTGCAGATATCAGGATCTCCGAGTACGCTCACGACCATGTGATACTTGTGCTGGACACGCCTGATTTCGAGAACCCGCCAGCCTGGTTGAGCGACAACTTCAATATTATTGAGGGAGGCACGCATGCAGGTAGGTGATTTCCCCCCTCCTTTCTTTCTTTCATTCATAGCGGTTGTTGTCTTGATGCTCGGATTCGCGAGATTCTATAGTCATGTCTGCACCCTCGTACATGTGGCCTGAAGGGAAACTCCATGGCATCGTTCTACTCCGAGAGAGAGAGAGGGAGGGAGGAAGGGAGGGAGAGGGAGGGAGGAGAAAGAAAAAAAGCACCCCCCAGCTGTGTCCTTTGTCTCGGTCATCTACCCTTTACTGTGTCCTCTGTCTCGATCATCTACCCTTTACAGTATCCTCTGTCTCGGTCATCTACCATTCACAGCAGTTTACTAAGACAAGTTAATTCCAAGGCGGGTCGTCGCGCAACAAACTCATCGTCTTCGCCGACGGGACGTACATCGAGCTGCTGAACTGGATCTCGGAGCCCAAAGAATTCTTCGACTGGGCAGGCAAGCCGCCGGGGCTGATCGACTTTGCACTGACGACGCCACAGTCGGCACAAGAGACGCACGCGGCGGCCACGAAACGACTGGAATCATCGCCGTCGCCGTCCGATGAACAAGGCGCCGACGCCGGTGTTGGTGACGGTGGGCTCGGCGTACGCTTCAAGCAGCCCCTGTTCGGCGGCCGCAGACGCAAAGACGGCCAGCAAGTCGAATGGTACGTGACCAAGCCGGCATTCGACAACGAAGCGCCCAACGTGGGCCGCCCGGCCGACCGGTTCTTCCCAACAGGCAGGCTGGACACGCCCTTCTTCTGCCACGACGTGACGGACCGGCTGCTGCGCGTGCCGTACAAGGACCCCTCGATCTCGACACACCCATGCGGCGCAAAGGCCATTCTGTCCGTGCTGGTGCTCGTGCCCGACACCCAGATCGACAACTACGCGGCCTTGTACGCCGCCGTGACCGGCGCCCGCCCCTCCGTCCACCCGGGACACCGGGACAAACCGACGACGACCCGCGCCATCTTCCATCTGAGTGCGCCGGACCCGGAAGCCGACGTCGCAAAGGCGCTTAACTTGACCGGCAGAGTCGGCATCGAGCTCCGCGGCCCGCGGGATGGCCGCGACGAGGACTGGTTGAAACGCCGCGGCGTCGGCATTGCAGAACTGCGGCTCTTGGTGCCCGCTGAAGGCGGGCGCGAGAGTGAGGACAAGGTCGAGGTTGAGGTCGATACACGTCCTCTGGATACCGAAGGCATCGGTGCCAGTGTCGTGCTTGTCGTCGAACCGCCTGCTTTCTTGTCTTGAACCATCTGGAACTGTCTGGAACCCAATTGGATCAATGTCCTCTTGAGTCCCCTTGTTTTATGCTGTCCACTTTAGCTATATGTGGTAGTCGCACGACTAGACTGTCAATGAACGCCCGGTGCTTGACTTAACTCTTTCTTTCTGGTACTGCTTCGCAACAGTATACAGAAGTACTCCGTTTAGATGATAATGAAATATATACCTAGGTAGCCTGTGTCTCTGGGCACCTTGGTGTCCACTCAGGCTGATCGACTTTGCACTCACGACGCAATTGTTGGCACAGTAGTTGAGTACTAGGTATAATCGGTGGACTTGAAGCAGCATCAGTACAAACTATAGTTCTAACTACTTCTACACGAATGTCGCTCGCCATTGCGCTGTCTGTGGTAAGCTAATGTACACACTATCCATACCTGTCACAAATCTGCTCCAACGTCGATACATACGCCAATACCTCGCTACAGATAAAACCCTCAGTGCTTATAGCCGTTTGTATTGCCGTGGCTTCCGGTTCCTAAGCTCTCTCTGCTGCTTTATCATATTTCGCTCCCGCTCACTTAGCATGACTTTTCGAGGCGGTGAATCAGCAAGTCCTTCAAATTCTGACTCGGAGAATCCCAGGCCTGAGGTGGAAACCTGTAGCCTAGGTAACTTGGGACCTTCCTGCTGGCCTGATTCCTTGCTCTCAGAGGCAAGGTGGCAATGATAACAGCTTGGGTGTCGTGTAATATGGTGATGGGACGACGATGCCATGCTGGGACGGCCAGGGACAGTATTCTCATCCGTGGCTTCAACGTCCACGCCTCCGTCACAGTGGTCGTGAATATGCCTTCGTCGTCTTGGGGATCTGTCAATGTCTTGCTGGAGAGTATAAACGTCATTGGGAGGCATCGTCCCTTTTTCTCGGTGTTGCTGCTCCAGCGACCGACGAACTGGAGCAGTGAATGCTTGTCCTTGATAATAGGCCGCATGTCCCGGGGCCCCGGCCAGAACAGGAACGGTTTTGGCTCGTTTGGCTTCAATGGAGGCGGCTACCTGGGCAAGTGAATTTGGCAAGATGTCCAGCGAGTTCATTGGAATAAGGGTGACAGGGAGTTGCACAGCCACAGTCTTGAACATCTTGACCGTGACTACCACGTTGACGAAGTATCTGACCTCGAAATATCTTCCAGTGCTGATTGTAACATGACCCCGAGGGGCCTCGAGTTCGGTGGTCCGAACCTCAGAAGAGTGCGGTATAACTCCAGTCCACGAGATGCCTTTCTTGAGTGTCGAGCCGCTGACAATCTCAGTGTCGGTCCGTCTGGGCAGTCGAAGGTGGTTTGCCGTCTTTCCCATAGTCCCTGCTGGTGCGTGTGTATACCACAAAGTTGTCTTCTCCAGTTGAACGTCTATCTTCTTAATGGACTTGGCCGTGTTGTTGACAATATGAACGTCGATGAAGATCATGGCTCCATTAACCCAGGTTTGTCGATGTAATCCTGCAGTGAGCTTCACCATCTGAATCTCTGGTTCGCGTGTGAGGTAGAGTGTGTCCGCCGCCAGGAGGGGACTTGCGAGACTTGCTAGGGCCTTTTCTGGATCATGGACCGTAAGCATTTGGACGTCCCATGTCTGCCTGACGACGCTTCGCTTGTCTCCCACTCTCAATACGACCGAGGGGCACAGGAGGTAACGTATAGAAGCTTGCCGAGAGGCATAGGGTGGAGGACCCAGTTTGAGAGGGAGATTGACACAAAAGGGGAGAGCTGAGGCAGCCGGCTTCAACTCCCACCACAAATCCGGAGCAGGTAAAGGGCGTTGAGAAGTGACGAGAGAAGGAGGCGGAGGATTGTTTCTGTCCAGCAATTCTGTGGCAAGGGATAGAAAGACCCGGCGTCTACCATCGCTGATTTCCTCAACGCCAATCACATCGACGGAGGCCTTGGAAATGTAAATGGGTTTCATCTTCGACTTTCGTGGTCCTCCGCCATCGACCTGGATAACTATTTGTCCCTCCACTGTACCACCCCCGACAAACAATGGCGCAGGGAGGCGTACCGACAGGTCGACTCGAGGATGGCGACTGCTGCCATTGTCTAAGACTTCATGTGGCGGTGAGGTACGAATGAATGTCCGTGTAGCCGAGGGTCGAACCATTTCAGAAGATTGAGCTGCGCGGCTTATGGCTCGTCGAACTGGGGACTCGGCCCGACCTCTATCCGGCACGACTCTGCTGGCATTATCCAACTCGGACACTTCCATGTGGGCAACTCCTTCATCGACGCCTGTCCTGAGCATCCAAAACCGCGGGAGGATAGGCTGGACGAGGACGCGTGAAATAAGACAAAGGGCCGAAACAAGAGTGTGCCTGGAGGTGATGATCAAGATCCATTTTTGGCTTTCTGCATTTTAGGGTATAGACAGCAGGTTCGACCAACTTAAAGAGGCAGGCAAGATCAAGCTGAGAAATGTTAAGTACCTATAGGTAAGAAGGACTCTATACCCACTGCCCTGGACTGAGGATCAAAAGGACCGCATCCTGGACTACATAGCGCCTTGAGTCTTTGATGGGCTACAGGGCGAGTACCAGAATAATCGCGGGTTATTCGACCGCCAGAGGTTTGAGCACTTGCCATAGATCGAGATGGTAAGAAGTCGGCACGAAAAAGAGACAAAGCGGCACAGTTTCTGCAACGACAGATCCTGCCGATGCTGCTTTTGTAACGGACAGCTTCTTCAAGGCAGCGGAAACAGGATGGTTCTGAGATTCGTTGCTTTGCAGGAGACTGCAGCCAGATTCCCGGCTATCTCATGGCTCGCTTCCGTTCTCCACCACGCCCTCACCTTACCCTACTTTGAAGCTTACGTTCATGAACAACGACTTGCTGGCCGTGTATGTAAGAAGCTCGTCTGCGTGCGGATATCGAAGCTCCGCGTACGGAGTACACAGCGGGGAGCTCAAGTCAAGGTTTCTGGATCATGCAGCGTTGTCCCAACTTGATAACGAGGGAAGGCCAAGACAAGAAGGAACACATCCTACCACCTCGGATCCAACAATCCACTCATTCCGAAATAAACTAAGAAAATCAGAGGTGGTTTTTTGGAACCCGGGGCTCACGGCAGGCACTTCCTTTTCAAAGAAGTCGTGAGGCTAGCTCACGCTCGCGACCCCGTCAAGTCATTATTGGCTTTCTTGAGAAGAGGGTGGGAGGGTTCACCGAGGTCGGAGGGTGAAAAGAAAAGGGCGCAAGGAATGTTTTCTAGCCACCCGGATCATGCTCCGCCGGTAGGTATGGACACCCTACTTTTTTGCCAGCAGCTCCAATTCTCCATTCCCCGTTCCCCATTCTCCCAATTCTTCCAGCACTCTTCCAGCACTCTTTCAGCCTGCGCCTGGCTTCTCGAAAAGGGGGCGTGTCTCGACAGCCGAGGGGTGGAAGCCGGGGTAGAGTTGGGCTGAGATAGATTTGCGGGCACCATTCACGGTGTGAGGGATCTAGCCCAGTGTGATAGCCAGGTGGCCGGCGTGCATTGAGCGAGATTGGGCAGAGCAAGGTTCAGTCCACGGAGAAAGACGACTTTGACAAAGGCGGGGAAGGGGACTAAAACCACCACATCTGGCCTGCAGTTCGTCGGCCAAGAGCTGGCTACGAGTCCGCCTGCTCATCTGACGCAGTCGCGGACTTGTGGCTGGTTCTCCGACGCTCGCCTGACGTTGGATCAGCCTTGCCTCACCATTCCTCTTCCGCAGCTAGCGCTCCGCTCTACGCCGAATGAAGGCCGAATTTGCGGTAGTGGGCTAATATTATTGGTTCCCACACCTGGGTGGGCCCTGAATGAAAATTTTACCCACGTGGTGCGTGCCCGAGTCACACTGCTGCATCCAAGACTGCCTTCCTCTTTGAGCTCCGCTGCTTCGCATCAGCGCCCTATGAGCACGGAAGGCAGGGAAGAATTTTCACTCGTGCCAACAGCGAAAGGCCTCAGCCATTTTTTCTTCTTTTCATCACTCGAGCCGGGGGCCCGGACAGGGCACCCTCCGAACGCCACTTGCCTCACCTAAATCACACCTTCGGCCGCCGCAACACATCCCGTATGGTGATGGCGCGCAAGGATCGGCCGGTTTCAGAGAAAACCCACCTTTTTGCATTTCCAGAGCATCCTAGATGCTAAGGTAGCTCTGTCCTCAATCCATGCCTCCAGCCGAGAGAACGTGGCTCCTTCGCTACTTCTCCTTCTTAGTAGTAGTAGCCGAGACCACATCCCTCTCTCAAGTACAGGGTGAGGAACATCAGACGCGACTATTCGAAGTTGGCAGAGTGCCTCGCCATAACAACCCTGCTCCGCACCACCCGTGCTCCGGATCCCCTCGTGGTGCAAATTTTGTTAGCTCATCTGATTACCTCACGCCATCCCCTCTCCAGGGTTGCTCATTGCTTTACACATCTCTTATCTCTATTTTCAATTGTCACATATCTATCTTTTTACGTTTTTGCTATCAAATCCTTTGGGGCGCGTCTATTCTTACTATTCCTGGTCGCCTTCTGGAACCCTTTCATTGGCTCTTATGCGAGGCACGTCGCATTAGACTCAGTCGCGTGGAGCAGGCATGGGTTCTGTGTCGAATACCGACGCAACGCTTCCCGACGCTGTGGTTCCAAAACGTGAGTCTAGTATCGACAGATATTCGTCGGACTCAGCCTCGACACCCGGCCAGGCTGAGTCCACAGGGGATGGGTCTGGACAGCCATCGCAAGAGCCTGTTCCAGCTCCCAAGCGCAAAGGTGGTAGAAAGCCTGTGAGTCTTACAGATGTGCTATGCTCTCAGACTTGTCGTTTGCTGACATGCAGTGTTCCAGATATATGCGACATCAGAAGAACGAAAGCAAAGGAACCGCCAAGCTCAAGCGGCGTTCCGTGAACGACGAACTGAGTACATCAAGCAGCTCGAGACGACCATCCAGCATCACGAAGAGACTCTGCAAAATCTCCAACAGAGCCATCGTGCTGCCGCAGACGAGTGTCTGATGCTGCGTTACAAGAACTCGCTGTTAGAACGCATTTTGCTCGAGAAAGGTTAGGTGAATATCTGGTACTTCGGAGCTCTTGCTTACTCTGTTGACTCAGGCATCGATGTCCAAGCGGAACTCGCTCTCAAGGGGAGCCCTAACCTACGGCCCCATCGCGCGCCTCCTACCACAGGCCAGGCTTCGTCCATGCAGAAGGCGATGTTGAATCGTCAGCAGCAAGCTAGGCATCGCCCAGCAATGGCTCCTCCCATTCAGACTGTAAATCCATCTTCCCAGATTGGTGGACCACGCGGTTTCGCAGGCTCACCGGCAGCGCAGCCTACTCCTCCGTCACACCATTCCTCTCCCTCCACAGCAAGATCACCTGGTTTTGCTTTGCAGGGTGGAATGGCGTCACCTGCAGCAGATCTGGGAGCCCAGCAAGCCCACCACCAGCAGCAGACCCGGCCTTTACCGCAACACAACGCTTTCTCGTCGCAGCCTAGGCACTCGTCACGGGGAACTCCTCACTCAGACACCTCGCAGGCTTACCCACCCCGAACCCAGCCGAACCCTATAATGCAGGATAGTTACTATCCAGCTTCATTCCAGAAGCATTATACCCAACTCGGCAAGCTGACCCCTTTCTTATTTTCCCTTCACTGCTTGTGGAGCTTTGTTCGTCCTAGACTGAGTCCGTGTTTACAGAACAGGAATACGATGCGCAAGCCGACATGATGGACGATATGGACGGCGACGACGTCGATACGGACAGCTTCATCCCGAACTTTCGACTGCCTCCGACGACCTCTACAGCAGGCATGCCCATGGGTATGCAAGCATCACCTCCGATGACGACCAGTGCCGCAAGTGACGGCGGTGGCAGTGGTGTTCTGATCGATCCCTACGATCCAATGTTGGATGCGGATCCTTTCGGTCTTACCGCCAGCATGACGTTTCCGAATCCCTATACCTTTCCCTCGCAGCCTCGAAGATGAAAGACATCTGAGAGCTGACGAAACCAGCGCTTTTTATCTCGATGCCTCACACTTTCTGATTTTCAAGTCGGTAACAGGCAAGTCAACCCCGGACATGTTAGCGATGGCGCATTGTTTTGTTTGGCATTATAGTATTGCCTCGATAGGGCACTTTGGGCATCTTTTGGGAATGGGTTGTATCGACGCCCAGCTTCACGAACATAGTAATTCTATCGTCGCTCCGTATAGACTTGAAAAGCGCTGAACCCCCGACAAGGGTGCCGGTCCTTGTTCGCTTTTCGCTACATATTGGCCATGTGTATCATGTGTATTCGGTACTCCGTATCATGCGCACTGGTTTGAACCTAGGCATCTCGGGATAGCACCCCTGTCTTCTGAGCTCGCATTGCTCATGCCCTAACGCTAATCCTAATCGGGCGCTATTGCAGTTTGCCAAGTCTTTCGGCCTGAGATTTCGATTGGAGTTCTCGCAGGCAACGGCATTGCCTCACCAGCGCTCAATCAGACACAATTCTACTCGACTTGACAAAGCCCCTGTATCTAGGGACGTTGTCTTGGTCGAGCGTCTCACTCCCTTCAACTCGAGTTGGAGCTTCAATAAAGAAAGCCTTCACGGAAGGCGCTCGAGAGGAAACGTCATGGCGGACGTCAAGAGCAAGGTGAGCATCAACTGAGCGAACACGGCATCAGCATCCCGTTTGTCTCTATCCATCGCGTCGCAGCAGCTGACAGATTCAAATTGCAGAACCTCTACGAGTTATTGGGTATAGATTCCCCCGACGCTTCGAGTCGAGCATCTCAATTGACGCACTGATTCAGGAAATACCTCGGACCAGGATTCGGACCGCGAGCCAGAGCCACCTACAAAGGCGGTGGAGAAGCCAGCTCCTCGACATGGCAAACGTGAAGCGCCCAAGGCTGCCCCTGCGGAAGTTGGAGATGTAGCCGCCCGTGGCCGTGGTGGACGAAGAGGAGGCGGATTCAGTGGAAGTGAAGCTGGTACGCACCCGCCTCAGATTTTTCCGCTACCGTTACCAATATGCTAACACTATGGAAAGCGTTCCGTGACCGAGCCACAGGCAGGAACTACAACCGTGATCAACCTGCCGAAGGTGCCGGCCAAGATCATCCCACTCGTGAACGTGGCGCCCGTCGAGGTGGTCGTGGCCCAAGAGGCGCTCGTCGAGGTGGCGAGTTCGGTGACCGACAAAGTCGGACCGGTGTGAGGTGGGTTACAGTCCCATTTCATGTTAATGTTATGCTGATCATGTTAGCGACCATCCCAAGCAAGTCGAACATGGTTGGGGCGAAAATACCGGTGAAGGTGAATGGGCCGACGAGAAGGCTGGTGAAGTCATTGCCAAGGAAGAAGAAAAGGAGGGATGGAACCAGAATGCAGAGCCTGCCACCGAAGGCGCTGAAGCCGGAGCTGACGGAGAAGGCGAGCCAGAGAACACTGGCAAGTCTTATGCCGAATACTTGGCAGAGCAAGCCGCGAAGAAATTGGAAGGACTTGGTCTGAAGGAAGCCCGAGCCCCCAATGAGGGTGCAAAGGAAGACAAGAAATGGAAGGCAGCCAAGGAGTTGACCAAGGACGAGACCGAGGACTACTTCAAGGGCGAAGAGAGAGTCAAGGCTCAGCGAGAACGTGCGAGCAAGAAGCAGGTCCTGGACATCGACTACAGCTTCAAGGAGCCGCCACGTGAAACTCGTGGTCGTGGAGGCCGTGGAGGTGTACGAGGCCGAGGTGACCGTCCTGACCGTCCCGAACGTGGCGATTTCGGCGGACGAGGCCGGGGTGACCGTCCTGACCGTCCTGACCGTGGCGATTTCCGCGGACGAGGTCGTGGCGGCCGTGGTCGTGGCCGCGGCGGTGACGGTCCCGTCGTCCCTGTCCACGACGAGAGCGCTTTTCCCAGCCTGGGTGGAAAGTAAAATCACTCAAGGTGACCTTTCAACCGCACCACAAACACAATCACAACAGTTTCCTTTTCAAGTCACAATCCACACCGACCTTGCACTATTGAAAAGACAGTTCCCCAATGCCTTCCACGTTGAATCACCGTCGGCGACTATGAGGCACGAGGCAAGGCATATGCCGGGGGAAGATCGAGTCTCGACGGAGCGCAGTGAGGGCCCTTAAAAAGCATCGAGCACGGAGGAGGGAAAGGAGGTGTATTGTTCTACAATGTCAGGCGGGGATGGACCATGCATGCTATGGCCTGCTTGAAATCGTGTAACAAATGCTTCCTTGCCATTGAGCACCGTCGCCTTTCACAATGGAATTTCTAATTGATTTCAAATGTCCTAGTTGTCAGCACTGTAGCATTAGATATTTGTATTCTGATTTGCTGTGATCATCGCTATCCGACGTGGCTCAATGTGCTGGTCCAAGCAGCGGCGTACCGTTTGAGGTCGTTGATGACCCAGGTGCCCGGCACCAGTCCTGACCTTTGACGCAATAATGCGGAATCGAGGCTGACTGTCAGGTCAAACAAAGGCCACACCCACCTCCCACTCCTGACTGGTAGCAGGCACTCGGCAGTTGAGGTGAAGCCCTTGGACGACCGATCCGAATGAGCACGATGGGCCCGATCAGATGCAGCCTGAAACCTGAAAGCGGATGGGAGTTGAGGTCGGCAGTTGCGGTCGCACATCATCTGCCGAGGCTACGACACCTGAAGCGCTTCCTCCCTCCTCGTCCTCGAACCACACCTCCTCATCCTTCCTCGATTGTCCACGATGATGCCGTTTATCTAGGCGTATTCCTCCACAGTGGAAGCGGGCCCCCGTACGACATCTCCAGCCTGAAGGGTCGCACGGCCGACCCTGGCTCCGACAAGAGGTGCAGATGGCTTCTTCATCGAAAGAGCTGGACTACCGCCTGCGTCCCATTCGCCGGCCTGGCCTGGCCTTGCCTCGTCATCCCTGCGGAATTGTACGAACATACTCTGGCCGCTCGCCCAAGACGAACTGCCGAGTGACATTTGCACTGGGACTCTCTACTCCAGCCGGCACATGCTCTATCTCAGAGATGCACTGGATCTCACTCCCCCTTCTGCGCGGGATTGGACATCGGATGTATCTTTGACATGCCGCTTCTGGGGTTTAGAGAACATACAAGTGCTTCGTGAGCGCCACTATTGCCGCGTCTTCCGTCGTTGGACGGTGAGTGTCCTTGTCAAAGCTCATTTGGGTGCACCTCGTTTCGTTTCGTCTCTGTTTTCTTCTTGTCCAACCTCTGGTACCATGCTTGAATCAATCGTGCCCGTCATTGCCCAACACTGGCCTATTGCTCTGGCTGTCCTCGTTGCAAGTCTTCTCCTTCGTAACTACTTCTATCATGGCCTCAACCAGTATCCAGGGCCTGTACTGGCGAGATACACGGATTGGTGGAGATTTTTCGATGTCTGTGGACGACGTCCTGATATCACTCACCTAAGGTTGCACCGACAGCACGGGGATGTTGTTCGACTTGGGCCCAATGTTCTCTCGTTCGCGAACCCGAAAGCGTTGAAGACCATATATGGGCTGAACAAGGGCTTTACCAAGGTATGTATCTCTGGGAGCTGATCTGGCTGGCCTGACCTCGACTTTACAGTCCGGGTTCTACCCTGTGCAGCAAAGCGTCAGCAAAGGAAAGCGGTTGCCGTCGTTGTTTTCTACCACCGACGAGTCGTATCACGCGAACCTTCGCCGGTCAGTCAACAATGCGTTTTCAATGAGTCAGCTGGTTCAATATGAGCCTGCTGTTACCGAAACGGTTGAAGTCTTCCTGGATCAGACGGACAGACTGTACGCAAAGCCGGACCAAGTCTGTGACTTTGCACAGTGGCTCCAATACTTTGCATTCGATGTAGGTATATTTGCCGGATCGGAAAGGGTCTCAGTCTTACTGGTCGACAGGTCATTGGACAAATCACCTACAGCAAGCGTCATGGCTTCGTGGAGAGGAACGAAGATATCGATGGCATGGTTGGATATCTCGGAAGGTTGTTCTCGTATGTTGCGCCGGTAAGAATAAACATGTCCGGATCATCTGAATCCATGGCTGATATGGGCATAGATAGGACAGATACCATGGCTTGACCTTCTGTTCTTGAAGAACCCGGTTGTCCTGCTCCTAGACAAACTCGGAGTCAAACTCCTGGCTTTCCCAGTTACCACGTTCGCCGCTCAACGCATGTCTGAACGACTTTCCGAGATGGAATTGCAAGGACGTGAGAAGGGCACGGAGAAGCCGGACCTGTTGTCCATGTTCTTGAAGGCACAGACCGACCGCCCGGAATTCATGACAGACCAACGTGTCTTGACCATGGCTGTCTCCATGGCATTCGCCGGCTCTGAGACCACGGCCATCAGCTTGGCTGCGTTGTTCTACTATCTGCTGCGGAACCCGCGGTGCTACGAGAAGCTGATGCAAGAGCTCAACGAAGCTGTGGCAGAAGGACGGATTGAGAACCGCCCGACAGGCACGGTGACGTGGGCCGAAGCGCAGAATCTCCCATACCTCGACGCTTGTATCAAAGAAGCCTTCCGCATGCATCCTGCAGCGGGTCTGCCGCTCGAGCGAGTGACCCCGCCGCAGGGAATTGAGATCGACGGCCACTTTGTCCCGGGCGGGACGATTGTGGGCTGCAACGCATGGGTCATTCACAAACGCGAAGAGGTCTTTGGCTCTCAGGTGGACAGTTACATACCCGAACGCTGGCTGGATGCGAGCAAGGAGCAGCTGAAGGAGATGAATGGCACGTTGTTCCAATTCGGCGCCGGGGCTCGCACGTGTATTGGCAAGAACATCAGCCTGTTGGAGATGTACAAATTGATTCCTACGTTCTTGAGGCGATTTGAGGTGAGTATTGCATCCGCGTCGAATGATCCGTCAACCGAGAGAGGCCGGGCCTGGCTGACAAAGGGTCGTGTTTAGATTCGATTCGACAACCCCAACAAGGACTGGAAGTTGCACAATGGTGAGTCGAAGATATCTTGGGCCTCATGGCCTGCCCGGCAATTACGAATTTCGGCTGCTGACTGACTGGGACGGTTTCCATTTCAGCCTGGTTTGTCAAGGAACACGACTTCTACTGCCGCTTCCAGGCACGAGATCTGCAGGCGAGATGATGTGAGAGCGAGTCATGTGTTTTACACAGGCAGCCTTGTTCTTTGTTGGTGAATGTCCGGTGCAAGGGAGTCGGGAATTGTTGGGTGATGTCCAACACGGGACCGTGGTGTACCCCTACCCTGTCATACTTCTATACCTCACGATTCTTCTTCGGTGATTGCACCTGAATCTATGGTCACACACTCTTCTCCGGTTCTGTCTCTTCCATCCACGGGTTTGCATTTCCATCATATCGTCGATTGGTCATGGCCAACATCAAGAATACGAAGATCACGTGACTGTGACATCTCTCGCCCGAGAGGCCTTTGGAGGCCTCTCTCTATCCTATCAATGCGGTGTGGTGTGCACTGTGGACCAACAGGCAGACGTCGGCCGATACATCCATTTGATCACGTGTATCTGGCGTGGCCTCGCCCACTGCATGCAGGAGAATGGAGGCTGACCGGAGGGCGGAGGCCTTGAGGCACCGATGAGGGACGAGGAAACCCGGACGAAACCCGGCTTTGACGCCCGTAAGGCCCTGAGGGACGACGAGACCGGCTTTAACGCACATATATTGGCCGTGTCCCCAGCGAAGCTGTCGATAACGCCCTTGGACAATTCGTGGTCGTGGTAGCAATGTACGCGTCCAGTAGCTAGTAGCTCGCTTGCGGAGCACACGGTATGAGTCTCACGCCGCCAATCTCAACCGATGTCCGGTATATGCTATATGTTATATGTACTATAGCCATACACTGTACAGATACTAGAGGATGTATATAGTATATAATCTCTCTGATATCTCTCTCTAATGTCCAACATGTTTCTTCTGCTATCCTTGAGGTAGTACCTGGTCGACATCTAGACAACAAACAGTTCTACCGGTCCTTGGTTGTACTTCAACTCAATTTGATCAGCCGACCGCTCATCACTCCCTCCTCTCACATTCAATACTTACTCCTTTTACACTTGATACTCCCTCCTCTCACACTCAACATCCACACTCAATACTTACTCCTTTGACACTCATCACTCCTCCTCTCACACTTGATACTCCCTCCTCTCACACTTATCACTCCTCCTCTCACACTTATCACTCCTCCTCTCACACTCAACACTTACTGCTTTTACACTTGATACTCCCTCCGCTCACACTCAATACTCAACACTTACTCCTCTTACACTCAATACTCCCTCCTTTTACACTCATCACTCCCACCTCTCACACTCAACTCAACAACAATGGCATCAGACGGCTTTCTCCAGCTCGTGGAGCAGCGACGGTCCAACTACACCCTCTCGGCGGAGTCGACGATCCCAGACGCCAAAGTGGTGGAGATAGTGCAGGCGGCGATCAAATGGGCGCCGGCGTCGTATAACGTGCAATCGGCGCGGGCGGTGGTGCTGTTCCGCGACCAGCACCGGCAGTTCTGGGACCTTGCGGCTACGCATATCGCCGCGCATGTCAAAAACCTGCCGCTCGACGAAGCCACCAAGGCCTTTCTGGTCGGTCGGATGGCTGGGTTCAAGGCCGCGTATGGTACGGTGCTGTGGTTCGAGGACCAGGCGGCGCTGGACGGGTTGGCCAAACTGCATGCCAATGTGGTGCCGTTGTTGAAGGAATGTAAGTCAAAACCAGTCCAGTTCAGTCCAGTCCGTTGCTGTTTAATCTGGGGGTTGATCTTGATCTTGATCTTGCTGTTGATCTTGCTCTTGATCTTGCTCTTGATCTTGCTCTTGATCTTGCTCTTGCTCTTGCTCTTGCTCTTTGCCATTCCACAATGGCGTGCTTTGTATTGGCAGTGTGTCGTTAACAACACCAAATTTACTGACATGGTCTTCCTCATATGTGTAGTCTCGGACAGCTCGTCAGGCATGCATCAATTCATCGGTACGTACCTCCCTTAACCTTCTGGATACTCCCGTCCCACCGCGCTGGCCTGGGCCTGGGCCTGGGCAGGGCGAGGGCCTGGCAGGGCATGGCAGTCTTTACTTTCTTGATCTGATCACCGGTCCATATACGCATACTTACATTGTCCTTTTCACTGTAGTCTGGACCGCCCTTACCGCCGAAGGACTGGGCGCGAGCTTGCAACATATCAATTCCGTGCCGACCCTCCCTGCCGAGACGCTGTCCACGTTTGGTCTTCCGGAGACGTGGGTTTTCAAGGCCCAGCTGGTGTTTGGCAAGCCCACGGCCCCGCCGATGGACAAGATGACCCCGCCGCTGGGCCTGCCGCTCGAAACGAGAGTTTTGGTTAAAGAATGAGGATGAATGAGGTTGGGTTTGGTCAATGGCTGGCTGAGGAGAGGAGGGAGAGGAGGGAGAGGAGGGAGAGGAGGGAGAGGGGGGAGAGGGGAGAGAGGTAGAAGCAGTGGGATCGGAGATGGAGACGATTGGTACAACACAGTAGATGCGGAATGAATTAAACCATTATGGCACTACCAGCAACAGCAACGGCAGGGAATAGAGTCAAGGAATAGACAAATAAAATATCAATCAAGTACCAGTTAGGTGCCAGTCAATAGGTGTCAGTTAGGTGACAGTATGCCTAAGCCATGGTCACCTAGGTAGTTACCCCCCCTAGGTGCCCCTTTTCTTTACCTGCGGCCCCTGGCTTCTTAAGCCGCTGGCCCCTAGAGCTTGTGCGCTGAGTCTTCAGTACCTAGATCCTGAAGGTCGCTCAGCTGCTAAGATTAAGTGTCTAGCCGTTAATTACTGTCCTCGTAACATCTACTCTGTCCGTACTCCAAGTGACATTGACATCTACACAGCAGTCAATCTTCAATCAATATTAATACGTACTGTCCTCTCCGCCCCGTCAGCTCGTGCGTGTCTCACCTCACCCACTTTCGCTTACCTGTCCTCTGGGAGTACTACTCTGTATCCCTCACTGTCCACCTCATAATTGGTTAACCTTGTTCATTATTCTGTCGACGACACTCGGGAAATCCAATCCAGCTTGTCTTGCAGAGTCTGGGGCAGAATTGCCAATTACCAGTTGCCAGTGCCAGTTGCCCCTATTATTCGTCCCCATTTTTCCTTCTTTGGCGGCGAATCGTCGACGCGGGATTTCGAATTCCATTCTTCAGTCTTCAAACTTCAGCCTTCAGCTTCAGCCTTCAATCTTCAATCTTCAACCACCAAACCAAACCTTTCGCTTCACAATGCATCCGCCGTTATCATTCTCGCTGCCGGCGCTGCTGGCCCTGGTGCTGGCCACGCTCACGCTCGTGTCCGCCTACCGACCGGTCCAGTTCGTCAAGCACACGGGCGAGTCTGGCCGCGCAGACCAAGCATTCAGCCTGGTCAACTACTACAATACCACCACGCAGCAGGCCGACCTGTACGTGCGCATGGAAGCCTTCCGCTACCAGTCGTCGGCGCTGGGCTGGGCCGCCCTGGCCCTGGGCCCGGAAATGAAGGGCGCGCTGATGTTCCTCATATACGGCGACCCGGCGGCCCCCGACCCTAAACTGACTCTGACCACCCGCACCGTCGACGGCCACCATCCGCCGCGCCCGGTGGCGGAGATGAAGGAATTCTATTCTGGCGACGTGCCCGCCGTCGACGTCGTCACCGCCCACTTCGAGCCGTACACCGGCGACTTCTTCCACGAGCAACTGCAGCAGAAGCCGTCGCATCTCGGCGTGGCCGAGTTCGTCGTGCGCGGATACACGCGCTGGACCGCCGCCGCGCTCGGCGTCTCCAACGACACCACCAACCAGGCCATGATCTGGAGCAGCAACTTCAAGCAGGATTTCGGCGGCGACTTCTCGCCCGAGCGCAACATCGACATGCACCAGTTCGGCCTGGGCTTTGGTTTCCTGTGGACCGATCTGCGCAATGCCCTCTCGCCCGTTCCCTTCTTCGGTCCGATCAAGGACACCGAGGACCACAAGGGCGTCAGCGAGACCGCTGAGCCCGCCGCCCCGACCAAGGACGAGTTGGCTGTCGGCAACGCCATTATTCTCGAGCAGAAGGAGCTCGGAGGTGTCGGTGCCAGTATTGGCGTCGGTGGTGTTACTGATTCCGGGGATGGTGATAAATCGTCCTCGGTCACCACCCCGGCCCCGGATGATGGCACCAAGGTCGAAGAGCCGGTCAAGACGCCCAAGCAGTGGAACGTCCGCTCGTTGATGTGGTATGTCATATCCCTTTTCTTTGCTTTGCTTTGGCTTTCTTTGGCTCTCGCTGTCTACCGTCTGCTGTCTCGCCTTCCTCAGCCTCCGTCTTTCCCCAGTATCGTGCAAACTGACCAAACCACCACAACAGGCACATCCACGGCATCCTGATGACGCTCCCCTTCCTTCTACTCTACCCGCTCGGCATCTACTTTCTGCGCTCTGGGCGTAAAACAGCCTTCAACCTGCACTGGACCGTCAACTCGCTGGGCAGCGTGAGCGTGAGCCTCGGGGCGCTGGTAGGCTTCGTCAACTCGCGCTCCATCTCCATCACGCACCAGTACCTGGGCATTCTGATCGTGTGCGCGCTGGCGGTGCAGACGGTGCTCGGCTGGCGCCACCACATCGTCTACCTCTCGCACCTGACCTCGTCCGGCCGCGGCCGCACCACCTGGATGGCCCAAGTGCACGTCTGGCTGGGCCGCGCCGTGCTGCCGCTCGGCATGCTCAACGTCGTCTCGGGCCTGCTGCTGCGCCACTACGGCTGGCTGACCGTGTCGTTGGCCATCGCCCTCGCCGCCGTCGAAATCCTCGCCCTCGCCCTGCTCATGGCCCGCGCCAGACGCGATGCCCTACGTCGGCCCGGTGCCTCCGGCGCCGCCGCCAACGGCTCCGCCTATAAACTGGGTCCTGTCGCCGCCACGGGACCCTCGGCCGCCGACGAGGCCGAAGAGTATTTCCAGCTCGGGGAAGACGACGACGACGACGATTACAGTGATGACGACCATGCCGGCGCTGCGGCTGGAGACCTACCGAGCGGATCTGCCGCCGATCGAGAACGCAAGGAGCGAGAGGAGCAGAAGCTCGAGCAGCAGAAGCGTCTGGCCCGGCTGGATAAAGTGTAAATTAATTCTAAGAGTGTGTTTTGATAATATATATGAGGGGAGACGAGGATGGATTGGCTTGGCTTGGCCTGGCTTCTTACAGTAAATAGAGACGATGAGAGTATAGTGAATAAGACGATGAGAGTTGAGATTTGAGATTTGAGAGTCGAGAGTCGAGAGTTGAGATGAGAGTTAAGATGAGAGTTGAGATGAGAAGAGATGAGAACGGCGAGAAAGGGAGACAGAGACACAAAACAGAGAAAGAGAAAGAGAAAGAGATGAATATCAGAGGGCATATAGCAGAAGCACGGCCAGAGGCTTGAGGGAGGATACAGGAAGTACATGTGTGTGAAGACAGTACTGCCGTGCTATTGAGTTAGTCTCTTCTTCCTCTTCTTCCGCTCCTCTTGGTCTCTTCTTGTTCTCTTCTCCTGGTTAGCTAGCTACTTAGCTAGGTGTCTTGATGATTGTAAACTACAGCAATATGGCATGGAAGGGGGAGGGCCGAGTCAGTCCTACACCATACACCTCGACCTGATATCTCGGGTCTATTTCCCATTCACTATTCACTATTTCATACATATTATCCGTATATCCTACACTGCGTTCTATACAAGCTATCCGTAGGTATATCCTATACTATATTCCAGACACGCTACCCGTATATCCCACACTGTATTCCATACACGCTATCGGCATATCCCACACTGTATCCCATACACGCTATCGGTACATCGTATCCGTATATCCGAACAAACGAACCGAACGAGCCACAATACTATCTCGGGGAATAGTAGAATCAAACATGTTCATGAGAATATGCATTTACCAAACCGTGCTGGCCTCTCAGCGGACTTCAATGACCCATGGCTTAATCATCAGCACGCAAAACGGTCCTAGACGATGCATCCACGTCTATCCATCCTATGCTGTCTCATCACTTTCTCCCACCCCACCATCATCATAAAGCACCAACAATACTCCTCCATTGCGGTAGGAAATCGCCCAGGAAAAAGACACTCCATATCGTCGACCCGGCAATCAACAACCCACTCAACTTCTCCAACCACGTGTGGAACCAGATCGCCGTCATCATGAGCATCCACAGGTCCAGACTTACCACGCCGTAGAGGAAATATCGTGACCAGATTCGAATCTTGGCAATTCTTTCCGACTCCCATCCTCCCACCGCCTTGCGTTCTTCGTCTGTCATGTTATGCGCCACGGCAGCCGCGGCCTGAGGAGAAACATGGGGATGAGTCGAGTGGCGGTCGGCAATGTACAGTTCGTAGAGGAGGAAGGCGGACGAAAGCACGAGTATGAACACATGTCCTGAAATGTCGTGGCCGCCATGCCACTTCCCACCAGAAGCCTTACATAGGATGCCTGAGTTGATCTGGGACAGCTTAACTACATCCGTAAGGCTAGCTTCGTTGAACTGATGTGGCGCACACTGGCCGCCGGTGATGGTGAAACTGCGGTCGATGAGGGCAGGGCCGAAACACCACTGTGTTGTGAGAATCCACGAAAATGTGACCAGAGCATACCGCAATGCTGCTTGGAGGTAGTGTTTCTGTGCGATCGAAGCGCGGGGCCGAGTGGTACTCTGCAGCAGGACGAAGGCTACTGTGGTCCAGAACCAGCCCATCTTGACAAAGTAGATGTTTATCAGGTTGCGTTTCCCAGCAAAATAGTTTGTTTGGTGGAAGTGGTGAACATTGAGGTCCGACGCGACGCCTGGAGCCAGAGGTGCGTTTGGCGGAGGGGCCGCCACCGGAGAAATCACCGCCCAGAGAGACCCGAGAGCGAGGAGGACCGGGTAAATGAGTAAAAGGTAAGGAGACGGCCGCTGTTCACCTTGTGTGACAGTCATTGTGGAAGGAATATTTTCGTTCGATGACTCCTGTTTCTTTTCTGGAGAAATCGTGCGCCCGTTGCGCTGAACCGCAGGCATGTTGGCGAAAAGAAATGGTGGCAGTAGTAGAGATGAAAGTATGGGAGGCAAAGGATATCAGCTGAAGCTAGGCATGGCGGTCAACCTATGTCTGACGCGTCGATTGCAACGTGGCTCAGTATTGAGGCAAAGAGCGATGTCGAAGGGTAGAGAAGAGTGGACAATATACGCATCTCTTTCGGTCGGCAGGAGAACAAAAGAACACGGAGCAACAGGCGAGAGCAATGACGTCAACCTTGCCTGCGCCAACTACTTTGAATAGGAAATACAATATGTACAGGCACACAGCAACTACCTTTTACCGACACTGCCAGTCTAACATACCACATACAGAGTCCCTCGGGCACTGAGGCAGTCTAGCATCCTCCTCTTCTAATTGATATGAGTCGAGGGAACGCCCGATCGATGCAACTCTCAACATGATATGAGACAATTTCCAACGCCAAACATTGAAGCATGGCTCTGCCCACCGAACATACTCATCTGGTGCAGGAGCGTCTTCGACATCCCTATTCCCTGCTATCCTGTTAAGATTACAGACCTACATACACAGAAGGAGAGTTCATCTTCAAAGTCCCATTGGAATGGTGAAGTGGTCCTATTATGGATACATCAGCCACGACGAATCCTCCGGTCCTTCATGGCGAATCCCTGAGGAGAAAGAGCAGGGCGAAGAGCTGGAGGAGCTGAATACGAGGCTATGCGGTATACCACACACACCAGGAAATGGGTGGCTTGGATCAACACACACACACACTCTCTCTCTCTCTCTCGCGGGCGATCACAGTCAAGTCGATCCAACTCGTACCTTTGCACCGGTTCTATCATCTGCAGGTGGCTTGGGTTGCCGCCGAATCCTATAATAATAGTACGACGGCCGGACCGGACCAGTTTTGTTGAGAAAGACCATGTCGATCGCCATGTAAAACAGATGGTTATGCACGTTTGCTCTTCGACTAAACATGTGGCGTCAACTAGTTCCAGACCATCTGTAAATTCATTCCTGCGTGGCTCTAGCAGATAACATAGCTGGCTGCCTGATATGCAGAAGCAGCTTGTCGTCACCCGCGTCTTGGGTTACAAGGGCATCCCCATCCAGTCATCAACCAGGCACCTGCCAGGCCCTGTTGTCTTTGGGCCCATATTGCTGCGCAATGAGTCTTAGAACTTTTGATGTCCCCCAATCACAACTGTCTTGATGCATGTCTGCCTTGTGTTCTCCGTAAATCTTGGACAAACTGCGGGTGCGTACTTAGGACATGACATGGATTCACTCCCTAGACTGGTCATCCGGTCATAGGGGACATCCTAACGGCAACATAAGCGGTCAGAGTCCTAGCTAAATAGATGAAGGATACTGGTGTGAACCGGGTCTAGGCACGACGTGCATACGTCCTGCTTCACTTCTGGGCTTGATGGTTGTTTGTCTGCCAGAACACACAGTCGCCTTGCAAATCGAGAAGACGCTGTGTTCACCCTCGCGGATTGCCTGGCGTTGACCGTTCTGTTTGTGAGACGGCCAGCGAGAATATTATTTGAGAAGTTGATCCTCAATACTTTCATCCTATCTGTTGAGTCCTTGGAGTGAAGAGAGTCCCTCATCTTGCCACCATGGATATCCAACGAGTGCGCCGTAATAGTGCTTTCCCAAGTACAAGTGGCCTCGTGGATCTCCCCGAATACATCATTAGCACCTTTTTCCCAGCAGCGCGACCTTTGCTCGAGACCCATCCTCAACTCTTTCGTTTCCTCGGGGTCTTATTGGCCTTGTGGTACTTTGGACCACTCGCCCGCCTGCAATCGCTATGGTCTCGAATCTCGTCCCTCATTGTTGCCACGGTCAACGTCTCGTCCGAAGAAGACCTCTTTGCCTATCTGACCTCATACATTGCGGACCGCAAGACCTTACGAGCCGACCAGTCTCTCACTGCTAGCTCAAACCCGCCGCAAGAAAGTAGAAGGCGGCATCGTCATGACCCGGACATCGAAGAGTCTGGGCGCCGCAATAACGAAGACCCCAAGATCAGGTATGAGCAGGGTCAAGGCATGCAGCTATTCGTGTACAAGAGGCGTTTGTTCTACATCACCAGACAGTACGGTGATGGGCATACCTACTTTGGGAACCGATACAAGCGGATCGAAATCATGAGCGTGTCGTGTCTCGGCCGCTCCACCGCCCCGATCAAGGAACTCATTGAGCACATTTACTACCTGAACAAGGATAAGGAACGCACATTGACCATTATCCGCCGCCCCTATACCGGCGGCTATGGCAGTCGCTTGACCTGGTCAAGACTCACGTCCAAACCTCGCCGTGCTCTCGACACCGTCATCCTCGACGCCGCTCAGAAAGAGCAAGTCTTGGCCGATGTCGAGGAATACATGGACGAAGCCACCATGAGCTTCTACGCAAATCATGGTATTCCCTATCGGCGAGGCTACCTATTTCATGGACCGCCAGGAGTAGGAAAGACATCCTTCGCTCTGGCTCTCGCTTCCAAGTTCAACCTGGACGTATACAATCTAACTTTGCTGGACCACGATCTCACTGACTCTGACTTGATCTCGCTTCTGAACCAGCTACCTGGCCGCTCTCTCTTACTGCTCGAAGACATCGATACCGCCGGTCTCAATCGTAAATCAAAGTCCACAGCTGCCCGCCGAAATGGATTGCGGCGCCGAATGAGGATGCCCCAGGGTGCGGTGGCGAACAACAAGAAATCTGACGATGCTCTGGACAGCGACGACGACACGGGAACTACTACGAGCCGCGTCACGCTCAGCGGGTTGTTGAACGCCATTGACGGTGTCGCTGCGCCCGAAGGACATGTTCTTATCATGACGACGAATAAGCCTTTCGATCTCGAAGAGGCCCTTGTTCGAGCCGGCCGAATCAGCGTCCGTGTTGCATTCAAAAACGCGACAAAGGTTCAAGCTGAAGAGATCTTCCTCCGCATGTATGTCGACATGCCAAGTGCGAAAAGCTCACGGGAGAAGAAACTCGTGGAGGGGGTGGAAGGAGATGCAGGACCTCCAGAAAGCAAGACTACCGAGCAACTTCATTCAATAGCCAAAGAGTTCGCGGCCAAGATCCCCGACTACGACTTCTCGCCCGCCGACTTGCAAGACTACTTGCTTGTCCACAAGAAGAGCCCGGACCACGCTCTTGAAAACTTGCCTCGCTGGATGGAAGAGACATACCAGGAGCGACAACGCAAGGAAGATGAGAGAGAGGCCGACAAGGAGTTGGAGAGGGAGGTAATTCGAGAGAAGCGTCAGCAGTTCAGAGAAGAGATCAAAGCTGCCGTCAAGGAGACGGCTGAGGACGAGCACCAGGTGGATGCACAGGACCAGGCACAAGATAAGTCAGAGGAGCTCGCTGGAAGTAACTCGGTCCAGGCAGATGACAAAGGTATCGCAAACTCTGGGGGAGATGAAGACAAGTCCGCCTGAGGTCGGTGGGCTCGTGCTCTCTCTTCCGCGGGACAGGTGTTGTATGCATCGTCAGGTTGGCGTTGAGGAAAAGATGGTGCACTTTCACATGAAGATCAGCATGAATAAAGGTGCACCCACACAGGCGATACGATGAATGGCTCATGGTTGACCCAGTCGTAGGTTGTAGTCAATCGATAGATTCGTGAAACCCGATAAAGCACATCTACCAGAGCCCGGGAATCATGCGCCATCTTCGCCGGATATCCTCCTTTCTTTCGGGGAACTTGTCCATCATCCAACTCCTTGTTCCATCCGCGGTGACACCCAGGTTTACTGCAACGAATATCAGAGCGCAAAAGAGCGTCCAATTGACGAAGCTGGTCCTCCCATGTCCTTGAGGTGCACCAAGCACTGCCAGTGCCAGGTAAATCCCGCATTCGGCGGTGTAGTGCGGCGCAACGATGGACCGGAAAGCCTCCACATCAGGCAGGGTGTACTTCTTCAGGCGGGCCAGATAGCCATGGTAACTATGTTGCTTGTATGACGCGTAGACGAACAACAGGGTGCACGTGAGGACTCTGGGAGCCCACAGACTCTGCCAATAGCCCTCGTGCCCATGTAGAGTGGTGTTTGCCGAGCCAAGATGTTCAGCCCAGATGGCAATGTTTGTGACCACGTAGAAGGCGAAGCCGATCGCATAATGGCCGATCCACATCCGGGACTGGCCTGGTCGAGTCAAAACCACACATTCGAGCAGTCTTCGACAGCCCTGGAGGAGCATCAACGCCGAACAAAAGCTGGGGATCTCAAGTACTGCCTCCGTCCTTCTGTCACCAAAAGTGTACATGCAACATAGTGATGACACCACGGAGACAACATAGAAATGAGTGAACCATGAGTGTGGCACTTTGAGACTTGCAACGAAGTCAAGCAATTGTATCCCTAAAGGTGGCTTCTTTGTGTCTCGTGTTCTTGCATCGTCTGAAGCATGGTCTCGGGCCCCGTATGCGAGGAAACGGTCTCTCAACGAAGGGGTCGAGCGCACGGTCAGGATGGCGATGCCGCTAAGAAGATAAAATCCTCTAATCGCCCAAACGAGTGGCCCAAGCATTTCTCGCATGACTGGTCGACGGATCGGCTGCTGAAAAAGATCCGGCGGGTTATCCGCAAGATTCACAACCACGCCAGGACTGGTCTGGCTTGTTGTTTCATTCTCTAGTTCCCGCCTCAGAAGAAGCTTGGGACGGGAGCGAGATGCAAGGCCATCTGTGACTTGACAGCGGCCGGTGCAGCGAGATTTAAAGACGAGAGTAAGATTAGTTGGGCGCAGATCAAATCAGCTGGGATGCAGGGGCTGGGCAGTGGGCACTGGGCAGGGAACGGGCGCCCTCCTCTGCACGTGACCTTGGCCCGCTGGCCTCCAAACTTGGCCAACCCGAATCGTTAGTCCCATCTCGATGTTCGTTTTGGCTTGTGCTTCGCCTCGATGATGTGGTAAAGCCATCGAAAAAGACCTGTTAGAAGACCAACTCCATCTCTTGCAAGTTCCTGCGCCATCCCACTACCCCGTCCTCCATTATCAGAAAGTGTGCAGCGCAGGAGACGAGCGTCCGCCAGCATCAACCGTTCAACTGCACCAACAGCCGCCTCCTCACCGCCCAACCAGGCTGGCCTCACCAGTCCCAGCCACCTACTCCATCCACGATCGTCCTTCCTCGTCCAAAACGGCGGACAATAATGAACAGAGACATCATGAGGAAGAGGTGGACGCTTCGATGAACGATCCAGTCCGCTCTCGCGGGTCCCAGGATGCAACCACAGTAGACAAGAGGACCGTCCAGGCACCCACTCATGGACCGGCGAGTCCAGCCGTAACTTCAAAAATCCAAGCCATGACTTCCGAACGTGGGCTTGTCGAGGGCAATGGTGATAAGGCCGTGCCTGAACTCGTGGGTGGTGAGGCAGAGGGGGATTCAGAGGCAGAGACGCTGATTCAGTCGCCGGAAAAGCAAAGAACCACCGCCGATAACGCGTCCGTCGCTGGGTCTGCGAATGTCACTCAGCCTAAGGCTGATGACTTGTCGGGCGAAGCAGTGGCGACCGATGCCGACTTCCAATCCAGAAAGCGCAAACGCAGTAGTGGCGATGAACGAGATGAAACACCCTCTTCTGTCTTCAGTCGTCGCAGCTCACCGTTGTCATCGCCTCAAGTACGGACGCATTCAGCAGATACTGATTCAGACGTATCGGGTCATATTATATCACGGAGATCGAAGCCCGCAACGGGGAAGGCTGAAGATAGTACCGCTCGTTTGGATGATGTTGATGAAAACCAGGCTCGAAGACGCCGCCCAAGTGATATTTTACCCACAATAAGCAAGCATCGGCCAAAGAACAGCGGCGCTGGGGATCCCGGATCTTCTGAACGACGTGAGACAAGGTCTGCGACGTACCCTCGACACTCTTCACCTGAGCGTTCTGCTTCACCTCGTCCCCCGGTGAAGAGGGAACACAGGCGCGGCGTGTCAACGCAGTTCACTCTTGGCGATGTCGAGAGGAAAAAGCGCGGGCGTCCTCCCGCACTTCAAACCAGGAGGAGTGGTTCGGCCGATCATCGTGCACTTTCAGTGACTTCGGAAGATTCGGACTCGCCGCCACGATTAAGGCCTGCACTGCATAAATTTCCATCAACAGACCATGACACGATGTCGCCAGCCAAAGCAGCAGCGGCGGCAGCTGCGGCAGCTCCTGGGCCTCGCAAATGGCGTGATAAGAATGGGCGGACCTTCCTGTCGCGGGCTTGTAACAACAATGACCTCGCGATGGCGAAGATAAAGCTCGCGGAGAGACCTGAAGACTTGAACCAGGCGGACAATGCAGGAAACACACCGCTCCAAATCGCGGCCTTGGAGGGTTTTACCGAAATTGTCAAGTTCTTGTTGGCAAACAAATGTGAAGTCAACACAAGGAATATCGACAAAGAAACACCACTAATTGACGCCGTCGAAAATGGTCACGTTCAGGTTGTCAAACTCTTACTCGAACATGGCGCAAATCCGCGACTGGGCAACGCTAAGGGCGATGAACCATACGAACTTGTGCCACAAGACGATGAAAATTATGAAGAGGTCAGGAGACTTCTCGCTGAGGCGAAAGAGAAGCAAATCAACCAACAAAGCCCAAAAGAGCAGTTTGAGCCTCTGCGCGAGACGTCCTCCAAACCCACCTCAGCCGCAAGCCCCCGAGATTCACCACCCATCCTAGGTCCTAGAAGTCCTCCTGCATTGACGTCGCGACGGAGAACCGGTCGAAGTGAATCAACAAGGAACGATCTTCTCTGGCAAGCAAATACACAGGAAAACCTGACGCGTCTAGCTGCGAAGGGCGATGTTCAAGGAGTGGCGAACATCCTCAATATCTTACAAAAGGCGGAAACGGAGTCCTTGATAGCTGCAGCCAAGGCAGGCCACGAAGAGGTTTTGCAGTATCTTTTGGGCATGGGAGATCCTGAGTCAGATCCAGAACCGATTAGACACATCAAGCCCGGTTACAATACGCCAATGCTTGCGGCTATTGGTCGTGGCCACCCGGAAGTTGTCAAGCTCCTGGTCGAACAGTCAGGCTTCAATCCAACGAGGAGGCTTCTTAAGGGGAAGACTTACTTTGAGATCTCGGCGGAACGAAAGGGCGAGCAGTGGCAGAAGGAGTATGAGATTCTTAAGGCTGCATACAACAAGTACGCCGCTAGGAAGACTAGGAAAGCAAGCTCTCCACGGTTGACAAGAGATTCGGAAAGAGTGAAGTCTAAAGCCTACCGCCGTTCCCAGTCGCCAGTTTCCAGCAAGCTGCGAAAGTCCAGCTCATCCAGTCCGACTCTAACTCACAAGTCGCTCCCTAACAAATCGCCGCAATTCTCAAACAAGGAACGAGACCGCGAGATTGGCTCTGCAGACAGACTCGACCGACGAAGACACAGCACAACTAGGAAAGAAGCTGCTGATTTTTCGATGGCGGTTTCCTCCGATCAAGACCAAACCGTGTCTACGCCAAGAAAGGCACATCTTAAAAGAAGGAGTCAGAGTGATCTCCCTCAGCCTCCAACCTTGGATTCGGAGAATGGCCATCGTCGACGAAGATTAGTGACTGGAAAAGAGCATCGACGACGCACGAGCCTCGTGGCAGAAGGATCTTCAGACGATGAGAAGGCCAAGAAGCCTGTCAAGGCTGAGGGCAGACCAAGCACAGCGCTCAAACGAACGAGAGACAGCTTGTCTTCCGAATCTGCGGCGACCGAGGAAGGAGAAAATGGGCGAAGCACTGTCAAGAAACGCCGAACAGTGGTTGAAAACAGCACCGGGCAATGGCCTCTTGCTATGAGAAAGAGCAGTCAAACATCAAGCCCAACTCGGGAAAGAAAAGTCGCTAACCCTCGCCCTGAAGCGAACAACATGGAGTTCGAAAATCCCTTTTCTGGAGATACTGTAGAAGTTATGGAAATCGCCAGCCCTAGCCACCAGAGGAAGAGCTCTGTAACAGCTGGTTCCCAGACGGGTGCTGACAAATTCAGTGATCCGGTGAAGTCAGAAACTATCGAGGTTGACCCAACCGAGGCCGAGCTTAAGGCCCAAAGACAAGAGGAGGTACGCAAGGCAGAAGAAGCACGGCAAGCAGAGGCGGCGCGTAAGGCAGAAGAAGCCAGACAAGCAGAAGCGGCGCGCAAGGCAGAAGAAGCCAAACAAGCAGAAGCGGCGCGCAAGGCAGAAGAAGCCAGACAAGCAGAAGCGGCGCGAAAAGCAGAAGAAGCCAGACAAGCAGAAGTGGCGCGAAAGGCGGAGGAGGCAAGACAAAGAGCGGTAGCACAGCGATTGGAAGACGAGAGAATTGCCGCGGAGAGAGCTGCCGAGAAGGCTGCGGAACAACGACGATTGGCAGAAGAGCAAGAACGAGAACGCCGTAGAAAAGCCGAAGAGGAAGCTGCGGCACTGAGGAAAAAGGAGGAGGAAGAACGTCAAGAACGCATCAGACGGGAACTAGAGGAGCGTCAACGCCGGCAGGAGGAACAACTCCGTCAGCAACGCCTTGAGATGGAACGGCGCCGTAGGGAGGCGTTACCCATTGTGCTCAGCACAGCTGCCCTAATGATTGACAACAACGATCCGACAGTCAGGAGTGAGGCGTGGCTCAAGAAATTCTTGCCATTGTTCACCGTCCGAACGGCTCAGCTTGACCAGGAAGCCCCTCCGGCAACTCAGGCTGAGTTGTGGATACCTAACTTCCAAGTTGCAGGGCTTCTGGTGACAAAGGATCTTCATCTTCGCAGGTACACTTCTCTTGAAGTCCTGCCAGTAACCGCGGAGCAACGACAACGCTTGTGGCAAGTTTCGCGTGTTATGCTTTCCTACGAATACGAAACAAGTGGTTGGAACACCTCGATCCAAAAGGCCATTCAAAGAGAGGAGGAGGAGCGACCTAAGTTCATGGCTATGAAAGAACTTTTCTGGGTCAAGGTTCGTTCTACAAGTCCGTCCATGATCGATCAGAAATGCTAACTTAGCACAGCTCTCCGGCTTCGAAGATCAAATCCCCCGTCATCCTCACCTTGCGGGCTTGCGATTGAGGCAGCAACCGATCTCTCTGAGAACTCTCCCTCAGCAGATGCCAATGCCTACCGATGAAGGATCGCCCGTCGCTAATGGACAGTCATCACCTTTCTCAAGACCTTCGCCCAAGCTCACGAATGGCGTCAACAATTCGCAAGTGTCTCTCGTCACTGGTTACGGCAACGGATTCACTCGTTAAAGTATTGTACTTTTCGGTTTCACGAATTGCGTGGTGAAGGAGGATCTCATGACTGTCGATGAAGATGACTTGCTTGGAAAGCGTGGCACAAGACCGATTATGTTAGATTCGTATGTCACTATTGTAGATATCGATCTGGTCACGACCGCCATGAGCTCTTCATGCGGGTCACACCAGCTCTGTGCGGATGCCGCACACTCGAATGAAAAGAGTCAATGAATTAAATTCTGTTCTACTGGATATCACCTCGAACTCGTTTTCTGACAATTATCCCTATTACCAGTAATTATTAGTAGTATAGAAGTTCCACCTGCGTAGCTTCTTAAAGGTGGTGAGGGCTCCTGAGGCGACCGAGGCTGGCACGTGACTGCGGTTGACAATATGCCAAGACGGCGCACAAATCTCCACTTGGCAGCGAAATTCAGTCCCCGGGCTCAATCTGTCTCTTTGCTCTTTCATGGTTTGTATAACCAACATATCAATTCATTCCCTACCAGTGACTCTTTGAGGATCATCCGACATTGTTGATATCTTGTACTTGCCATACAAGTAACGATTCGCCAAAATGGTACGTTTTCATATCCTACATCGATAGGGAACTGTCGGATCTCGAGGTCAGGTCTGGTCAGGATCACAGGCGCAGTCCTTGCGAGTTTTGATCGCACCCGACCCGAATGATTTTACTTTCCTATCGAGTCTGCGATGAGACAAATGCAGTTCTCCCTTTGCTGACGCCATTTCTCTGCCACAGTCGGACGGAGAAGAGCCCACTTCCCCCGTTCCCCAAGCCGATGAGGTCGAAGTCTCTGGCGACGCCGGCGCGTCGTCCGGATCCATGTCTGTGCTTGACGCTTTGAAAGGTGCGACTTTCCCCCATCCCCACGCAGAGAGAGAAAGAAGGCCTCCCAAAATCCATTCGAGATTGGGTTTGGTCAGAAATCAAGCGAAAAACAAGGACAACTGGACTCTAACAATAGTCATTTGTGGTATATAGGTGTCCTCAAAATCGCCCTGATCCACGACGGTCTGGCCCGTGGCTTGCGCGAAGCCTCCAAGGCCCTCGACCGGCGCCAGGCGCACATGTGCGTGCTCAACGAAGCGTGCGAGGAGGAGGCGTACAAGAAGCTCGTCATCGCCCTGTGCTCGGAACACAAGATCCCGCTGATCAAGGTCCCCGACGGCAAGCTGTTGGGCGAATGGGCCGGTCTGTGTGTCCTGGACCGCGAGGGCAATGCCCGCAAGGTCGTCAACTGCTCCTGTGTCGTCGTCAAGGACTGGGGTGAGGAGAGCCAGGAGCGCAACGTCCTGTTGAACTACTTCCAGACTGAGCAGTAGACCCCTGGTGCCTAGTTGCTGGTTGCTGGTTGCTGTCGTCTGTGCACGGCTTCCCCGCCCCTTGTGATGGATGGAGAACCGGAGTACAAGAGATCAAGACAAGAGAGAGGTACTGGCAATAGAGACACGGACTCGGACTCGGCACATTTTATTTTTGGTTGTACCACGAGGATGAAATGTGGTCTGGGTAGTAGTGGAAGGCAGCACAGCTCTGCGAAAAGAAAAGAAAAGCAAGACTTTCGCACCGGTACCTGCACCTGCATCGGCCCCGGCACCGACAACTGGCATTGCAATGCATTTGCACAACACAAGACTGTATGGCATGGCATGGCATGGGCCCGGCGTTGCTTGGTGCGGCATAATAACGGGATAAGGATCCTGGAAGAGAAAAAAAAAGGAGCCCCCCCAAAAACTCGAGACAAATTACTGTGGCATGCGCACAAAATGGAAATCAAGTCGCCTCAAAACAAGATGTGTTTTCGCAGTGTGTTTCGTAGTGTGTTTCACTGTGTGTTTTTGCTGTGTGTTTTCCCTGTGTGTTTTCCAGTGTGCTTTCGCAGTGTTTTTTCCGCTTCCACTCCTACGTTCTTCTTAACACTTCAACGCCATTTGATTCAAGCTTGACGTTTGACTGGTCTAAGGTCGAATCGGTCGAACTTGCGGTCTGTCACCTCCGCTCCGTCCTTTGCCGTGCTGAAAGGCAAGGCCTGATTAGGTAGGTATGCAAACCGTAGGATCAATGTAAGTCAAGTAAAACGTAAAAGGTGAAGAGCAAAAGCAAAGCAACAGCACAGTGTCTACATCATGCAAAGCAAGCTGATTGATTTCTCTCCAGCTTGCCAATTCGGACCTGAATACCTGAATACCAATAGTGGTGCATGTAGACTCTACTGGGTGCACGTAACGTGTATAACGACCAAATATGTGGAAGTTCGTAGATAGATCAACAACCAACTCGTCAGGTAAGCGAGGTTGGTGTTCGATGCGCGGCGTGGAGGTCAATGTAGACTGGGATATTATTGCTTATATTGTATTCCGTATTCCTTGACGTGAACTGTGTACAGCATTGATAGCTTTGAGACCGTAATTTCGTGCGTCGTCAGAATTAGACAAAACGATGGACAACAAATCCAAGCGACAATACAGACAGGCAGATTTCTGCAATGAGCGGCGTCCTTAAAGTTGATTCAGCGTCAGCGGATTGTGGCCCACGATCACCATCGATCCTCCTCTTGCTTCTCATATCACACCACCCCGGCACTTTCGGTCCCTTCCATACCTGGACCTCCTGGACCCGCTGCACTCTCTTGCATCTTCCTGATCCTTCTCTTTGCGGACCCAAACCCATCAATTCCTTTCTCCTGATTCTCGCCGAGCCAGGCCTTGGACGCTTCACCCATGACACCCTTTCCAAAGTAGTAAACGAAATGACCGACCATAATGAGTGTAAACGCAATGGGGTATAGGTAATGCACGTGCAAATGGAAGACTTTGATGCCAATGATGACACCCCAGAAATTGCTCGTCAACAAGGAAATATTCTGGAAGGCGGCGCTGGCAAATCGGTACAGAATCGGCACCAAGGTGTAAAAAATCGTAAGGATCAGTGTATAGCCTGTGAGATAGCCACCGACCTTTGCGTTCCAGTGAGCTGTCTGGAATGAGTGGCGATCAAAGATGGCAGCTTGCACGCCGTTGATGAACATGGCCCAGAAGCCAAGTTGACCGATGACTTCATACAAAGGCCGACCCGACACAAACCACTCTTCGTAGACGTTGCAGAGCCCGTATGCGGTGGCTCCAACAAGAGCAAAGAGGTCACCTTTCAATTGGTGCCCGGAGGAGACACTATAGCTATTGGAACCGGTGATGTGGTCAGAGGCAAGCAGGATACCCATGCCGCCAATGCAGATCAGAATTCCCAGGATCTGAGCCCAGTGGTAGCGGACCTTCAGGAAAAGGAAGGAGAGGACGACCACGACGACGATGGCCCAGAAATTAATCAATTGGGCAGAAAGAATAGTGGTGTATTCGTAAGCAAGGACGGTGAAGTAGTTTCCTTGGACGTCGAAAAAGGCGAGAATGATATCTGCTCGGCGTTAGTTTTAGGACGAGGACGGGGACGGATTCCCGCGGGCGGACAAAGATATGAGACATACACCTCCATCCATCTCGCCATAACAGCCGAGTCCATTTCCGGAACCCATATTTGTAGATCGTGTAGCTCGTGTAGATGATATTGAGCAGCACGTAGTTGAACAGAGACTGGAAAGCCGGGATGCTAGTCCCGGCGTACCCCAGGAGCGAGGTCAAGGTGTTTGTGCCGGTGATGCAGATAGACAGAACCTGACCCAGAATCAAGATGAACCAGAAATCCCGTGTCTTGAAGAATGCCAATTGGGTACGCCATGACCTCCTCTTCTTCTCTTGTTCAGCCTGTTCGGCGGTTGCGTCGATGACCTCGGGGCTGCCATGTTGCAACGTCGCTTCGGCACTCGATCCGGAGGTGCCAGACTTAGGATCGAAGTCGATACTGGTGGCCCGAATGGCGCTGTCGATATCTTTGGCGTCGCTCATTGTGACGTAATACAGCGGTCTAACAGTCTTGCTGTCAAAAGGTAGCGGGAAGTGATAAAGGTGGTGAGGTTGGAGCTTTAGGGCGATTAGCGAGCGCAAAACTCCAGAAGTCGCTCACTGTGGAAGGGGACAAAGAGTCTGTGAAGGAAGATGAAGAGGAAGAAAGAAGCGAAGACATTTTGCAAACTTGACGATGTCGCATTGGCTTCTGGTCCAAGGCTGGCCATTCGAGTTGGTCGAGTTTGGTGGATCGAATGAGTGGCCGACTTGAGGTGGGCAAGTGGGTGAGTGGCGGGCGCCGGCCAACGACCGCCACCTGCAAAAAAAATCTACCACCTTCTTATCGATAGCGATAGCGAGATAAGCACGTGATGAGGGCTCAGGAGGGCAGGAGGGGAAGACACGTCATCACGTGGCATGGGGATGCTGGCACTGTGACATCAATGACAAGTCCTCCGTACAATTACAAGCACCTCTGCCACAACATCAACTTGAGCATGATATCTAAATTACCAGCCACCCGAGGTACTGTCTGCGCAACGCCCGACTCACGGTAGGTCATCGCCCACTGGGCCAAACTTCAACATGCTCAACGCTTTCAAAATGTGGCCGCCGTTTGGCACAAGAAGTTTCAAGCGCCCAACAGTCTCCCACGCCCCAATGACTTGTCAGAAAAAATGTCATACCCAGATTTGCCCCGAGTCGAGAAGAGCTTGCTGAGGCTGGACTCGATGGTTGGGCGGGTATCGTCGAAATGTTGGGCCCAAATGTGTCATGCGCATGCTCTTGGTCAACCCTTTACGGAGGAAAGCTCTTCACTTCTGGAGATGGCTACTCACGCGTACCATCGGTCGGCCACTTGGCCCGGCAACCACCCTTCGTCGACCAACAAAAGTCCCAGGAAAGCTGTTCGGGCAACTTTGCGAAGTTCGATTTGTTGTGAAAGCCTAAAAAGAGGTTGCAAAAATTCCCGTCGGTCTCGGAAGACTGACGAAGTTTCAACACTATAAAAGCTGAGGGCCTCGGATAGGGTGAGGGCCTCGGATAGGTTTTGGTTGTTGGCCTATTGCGCTTTGCGCTCAGATTGTAACAAGGGTTTTATCTCCTCTTTGGCGTGAGTTGGGGATACCAACACACCCAATTGTTGACACCTCGTGTTCTTAACAGTTGAAACACGGCGAAGAAGAATGATGAGCTTTCTGTACGGTAAAATCCGGCAGTTTCTGACTTCGGGGTTGTGGCATCCAAGGCTGTGAGCGGATCGAAGGTGATAGAGCAGCATGACGACCGAGTGCAGATGGAGTTCATGCGATCCCTGCAATGTGTGCCATGTTAGCAGAGTCCGGGTTGAAGTGGTGTTCTGCTCACCATCACCACACAAGCGGGCCCTTGACGGCTGAGGATGCTGCAACGTCCAGTCCAAGCTGGAAGGCAAGCATAGTATGTGGGCAGGAAGACAGAGATGGTATGCAAGGAGAGCTGAGTGTGTTGCGGATGGTGGAAGAAGATGAGAGAGAGCAGATCCAGAGAGGACGGAAAACAGCTCTTTTTATCTACTCTACACTGCTACATTGGCAGGTACGTTCACCTTGACGAGGAAACTGCACTTACTACAGATGTTGAACTATCGAGCAATACATCGAATACTTTGAAGGAAGGAAGAAGCAACGGTGACCCCGGACACGGGTTGAGCGCCTCGAAGAGAGCAGACACTCCCTTCCCACATGGGCAAGGTGAGACGCGACACTACTATTGGAGAAGGACCACAGCGCATGAAAGCCACGACGAGGAAAGGACACAGCAGACAGCTACCTGGTACACGATCGTGTGGTCATCAGGCAACTGACCTTGGTAATTGCAATATCCCTCCATGATCGAGCCTGAAATTGATGCTTTACAATGAATGGAAAGAGGACACTACAAGGTGGGATTGCTACACGTGAGTATCATACTGGGCTTACCACACAAGAAGCAAGGCTGCAAGCCGAGGTCGGGCACGACGCATGACAACCAAGCCAAACGACTTGTCGGGCTGGTCTGGGTCTCCGAGTTGCGACAGATGGAAATACCGTGTCGCAAACTTCCATCGTCGGATCGACTGAGTGCAGCGAGATTGACCATACTGCTTGAGTCTGTCATGGACCGACCGTTACCGGAATATTGGACGGGAAGACAAAGACCGGATTTCGCCTTTTAGTGGCTGTTGCAATGTGCATTCCGATCTAAGAGATGATGTAAGGAGTATATCACGACAAAATGCAGCCACCTCTCAGAAATGCTTCTGGTTTGACATGGTCACAGAAGTCGAATGCTAACGTTGCAAATGGAGCACTTGTGTCAGGCTGTATTAGGTGTGAGATCTGAATGACCTCGAGACTGGAGACTGGCACGTTGGTCACCGTCCTCTCACAGCCTTGTCCTACCAGGTTCTCCTGGTAGTATGTACTACGTACTGTAAGCATGGTGTGTGGCACCTGGGACAACTATGTACTCCGTATTATTTGCTACACGGTAACCACATGTAGAGAGCGAGACTGAAGGTCGGAGTATAGTATGCTGTGTGCTGTAGTGTCTGTGTCTGCGTACACGCCTGTGGTTTTGTTGCAGCGATGGAAGATGGAAGCGCCTAATCAATACGTACCGCATTTAGCCACACAGTCAACCAACACCTTGTGCCTGCGCCTGCACGAGCACCAACACCAACACCAACGTCCACGTGGTGAAGGATGGCACTGCAGCAGCCTTGCCGGCAACAAGCCAATATCTGTATCCGTACTCCGACTCGGTATTTGTGCATGCTGTTATCATTCCCATTCATTATTGTTGACGTACAGACTGCACAGTCCAATCCCCCCAAGCGAAGCGGATTCGCCTGCTGATCAGCTCGGTATTGGCAGCGCCAAAATGCTCTCGGCAGCGTCAGGGGCCTTAATCTCGTGGGTTGATTGGCGTGTTGGCTCCAGGCCCAAGACATCCAAGAGGCGGCTCAGGCTCCGATGTGACGCCCTTGAACCCCGGACGCCTACCCTGGCCAGGCCCAAGACCAGCTAGGCAAGGATGAGGCCTCACTAATGCAAGCCCAGGAGCCACCAGCCCCAGGGTCCCTCAAAAGGAGGCTGCCTCTGCGCACTGGAAAGGGAGAGGGCCGAGCTCGGGGCTTGGGCCCAAAGAAAAAGTTGCAGCTAGGCGGGTGAAAATATCTACGGAGATACAGTACCAAGAACACCCCAAGACTGAGGACGGACGTGTTATCTTTTAGTGTCTCTTGTGCCCACGGGCAGACTCAAGAAGACCGAGGCTGGCCAAGCATGGAGTGATTGATCCTTTCCATCACCTCATCCGCTACAAAACCGCCCTGACCTTTCCTCATACTCCATACTCCATACACATACTGTTCTCCCATCCTTCTCTGGACGTCTGGTTGGTACTTTTGGCGTCGCTACCGCTACCGCTTGCCGCTGCCGGTTCCTGGCTTCAACAGATTTTGAGTTTTAGGCCCTGAAACCTTGAGCGTCTAGGCTGGTCCCGGCGCTGAGCGTCTGTCTCTATTTGTTGCTTGCAGGAGTGGTTGCTCGTGCTCGTATCCCAGAGCTGGTTCTCATCCTGTCACTCGCCCTCGTGCCCTGTCACACGCCACCTTGGTGTTCTGTGGCGTTCTGAGCCCGACCCCTTCTTTGTCGGCTAATAATCAGGCTTCCCTGTCATGCTGCCAGCATGAAACCCGAAGACGATCAGCACCCCCTGGAACCCCTGATCATCAACCACTTGAAGGAGGCGCCGGATTCCGCCTCGGGCGCCAATGCCAGTCATGCCAATAATGACGACCATGTGCATGTCACGGTCGAGAACAACCAGCTCTCTCTTCGACAGGCTCCGCGACGCATTCTTTTCAAGACTCTGTCCCTGATGCGGCCAGGCCATGCATCTCGGATAGGCAAGCGCATCGCCTACTGCTTCGTACCTCAACTCTTGCGATCCAACATCTGGGACGACGCTGCGCCCAAGCCGAAGCATTTCTCGACCAGCTACCTCAATGGCCTACGAGGCATCACCTCGGTCAAAGTCTTCACCTTTCATTACACCTTTGCCTTCAGCGACTTCGGCTTTCAGCCCTGGGGCACCGACGACCGCCATCGGTACTTTCTCGAGCTCCCCATCATCCGCTACTTCTACGCGGGCTTCACCGCCCATATTTTCTTCGGCCTTGCCGGCTACTTGACCACCTTGCGGCTCTTTCAGTTGATCGACAAGCATGACCAGGCTTCTCGCTCTCAGGTGCTGGTCAATGTCTCGGGCGCTCTGTTCCGTCGCGCCTTCAGGCTCTACCTGCCGACGTTGATTGTCACTCTGATCACGGCGCACTACATCTACTTTGGCCTGTACGAGTCCAATCGACCCTTCCTGCTCGACCATGCCAAACTCTTCCCCGGAGAGTGGAACGAGCCGAAGCCGGAACAGTTTGCCACCTACTACGGACAGCTGCACAATTGGGCGCGAGAAATGTTCGACCTGACCAACATTTTCGCCCCGGGCGCTGTCTACCCGTACCATGACCAGCACCTATGGTCCATCCTGGCGGAAATGAAAGGCTCGTTGTTCCTGTATGTCGTCGTGATTGCCACGGCCCAATGCCACCGACAGATCCGATTGATAAGCTTGTGCGTCATGACCGTCATGTTCTTCCTCTGGAATCATTGGGAAATCTGGGTCTACCTTCTAGGTGCCATCGTCGCCCAGATCGACCTCTTCCTGACCGAACGGGAGCAAGATAGAAAAATGACGCTCACTCCAGACCGGCTCCCACCGTCTCCGCCTCGCTCTCCGGCGCCGGAGGAGAAACGAGCGGAGACATGGGACGGCTCCGACTCCAGCTCCAGCCCGCGCCGGTTTTTTCGGTCTTTGGCTTCGATATCCATTTTCCGGAATTTCCATTCCATCCTGCGCGCATTCGGCTTCATAGTGGCCTTCTACCTTCTGTCCTATCCTATCGACGGGTCCCGAGACTATGCACCAGGATATATGACGCTCAACCGGTTGATCCCAGAGTGGATGGACCGTAAGGACAAGTTCTACCCGAACTTCGGGACGGCGCTGCTCCTGCTCCTGCTAGCCCGCTCCGACCCTGTCAAGTCGACGTGGCGACGCATCCTGAATAGCGACATCCCGCAATACCTGGGTAGGATCAGTTTCGCCCTCTACCTCGTCCACGGGCCTCTGCTTCACGCGGTCGGATACATGATCCCCCACCGTATATGGTGGTCTATGGGCACTGAGGGCGTCGACACTACCAACGGGCCCTGGATTTTCGCCATCCTCGTCGGCTGGTCCATCAGCTTGGCCGTCTCGTTGTGGGCGGCCGATGTGTGGACCCGCGAGGTGGAAAGCCGATGCGTCAAGGCGGTCAAGAAACTCGAGGAGCTGTGTTTTGTGAAGAAATAATAATGTTGGTACAGTTGTAATTCCAATCCATGAGAGAGAGGAGGAAAATATGAATGTGAAGCAAATCATGCCGCATGGGGAAGGGAAGAAATTTGGATATAAATCAGTTCATGTGGCGATGGGCGGAGGACGGTGAACAGCGCACCGGCTGCACAAATCACCTATCACATATACATATCACGGAACGCATATCACAGATCTGGTCGACAACCTACTACTGCGACCGGGTTATGAGCGTTTAGCGATGGAGAATTGGCGTTTGGGTTTCGAGTTTCGGGTTTCGAGTTTCGGGTTTCGGGTTTCGGGTTTCGAGTCTACCTTGGATGAGGGGGTGAACGATGGAACTATGGGCCGGCACATGTTTGTCATATACATATATATACATATCGTGCATGATAGATGTTGGGCATGACTACTATACTTGTACTGTATGAGTGATAGTGACAGTGATGCGGGATTAATATTGTGTACAGCTGTACAGCAAGAACAATGAAGATAGCCTAGGGTATGGCAAGAATAGATTTAGATCTACTGTAATTACCGAATACCGAGGAGAGTGTTTAGAAAATGAGATGAAGACTTGATTCTGCAACATTGGACGAATGGGATGGCAGGTTCCATGTCATGACTAGATGTCGTGTAGATATAGAGGTAGATGTCGTGTAGATATAGAGGTAGATGTCGTGTCGATATAGAGGTAGATGTCGTGTCGATGTCGATGTAGTGTCGATGTCGACGTAGTTTCGATGTCGAGGTAGATGTCGTGTCGATATAGAGGTAGATGTCGATGTAGTGTAGATGTCGATGTAGTGTCGATGTCGACGTAGTTTCGATGTCGATGTAGATGTCGATGTCGATATCCGACCAGACGAACCCTAACCCTAACCCTAACCCTAATCAGACCAGACCAGACCAGACGCTCTATCTAGCCCCTAACTCTCATCCAACACACCACGTAGCACCCTCAACCAACACACCACGTAACACTCCCATCCAACCTCCAATCGCACTTGACCCGAGAATACCGGCCATCGAGCAACAGATCGCGTTCCGCGCGGTCCTGGTCCTCCCGCATGCGCTGCTCGTCCAGCTCCGGAACAGGAATACCAACCTGGCCCCACATGTCGCTATTGATGCCGGCGGCGAAGGCGGACGACGACGTGCGGATCTCGTACATGTAGACCTGGCCGACGAGGGATGCGTAGATGATTGGGTTGGGTTGATTTTGGGGCTGATTCTGATTTTGGTTCTGGTGTTGATTCTGCGTTTGACTCTGCTTTTGGTTATTGATGGCAAACTCCCTCGTCGCCACCATCACCCCATACTGCGCCCCCTCCGAATAGATCAGGCCCCATTTCCCCGGCGGCCGATACCCATAGTTGGCTCTCCAGCGGTCGGTCCAGTCGTGGGCTGGGTCGGCGTCCAGGCGCAATTGTTGGTCAGGATCGGCCCAGAACCGGGGGTGGCTGCGACAGTTGGCGCCGCGGGGGACGGGGCAGAGGACGTATGAGACAGCGTCGATTCGGAGGATCATGCATTTCTTGATGGTGCCGGTGGTGCCTCTGCCGGTGGTGGTGGTGGTGGTGCTGCCTGTGCTGCTGGTAGTGGTGCTGCTGCTGTCGATGGTGCTGTCTGTGGTGGTGGTGGTGGTGCTGCCTGTGCT